AAGTTCATTTTATGATGAATGGCATGGACAGAGAAAATGAACGGAATTAGGTTGGAATTAATGGAGACTGCAGGAGGCTGGAATATACATGTGGAAGCTCCACCATTTAATTAAGCAGTGGAAGGGAAATGAAACCCAACTTTGGCAGCATAATGTAATGTAATTAAGCCACTAACGGGAGAGAGTGGTTTCGGTCTGCATCAGTTTAATAAGGACATGACCAAAAATAACATTACTCCAAAACACAAAAAGGTCGTGGTACTGAGTCATGACTCACCAGAAAGATTGACCTTGCCGTTTCCTCTGACTCAGCTCTGACTCAATCCTAACACAATTCTTTAATTTCTTGTAGAATACTGCTTCTATATATTTTCTCCGTCCCAAAATTATTGTTTAGTTTGATATTTCAATTTTAATACAATTTAAAATAAAAATAAAAATCTAAAATGAATAATAATTTTAGGACAGAGGAAGTATATATTATTTGTTAATAAGAAAACCCCCATCTTTCTATTGAAAATATTCTATACTCGGTTGAAAATGGTTAAAAAAAATGAACTCTAGAAAAGAATATTGCAAATGAAAATTGCATGACTGATGAAATGGTTTGAAATAAACTAGCTACGAAAATATTAATTAGTTAAGTTAATCAGAATGCAATTCAAAAAAAAATGTATGCATTTAGATGTAGAGCATACATGTTATGTATGCATGTATCATGCATGCTCCATGCATCCATGATCCATGCCAAAGAGGAGGGGGTATGTATGAAATGGTTTGGGTTTGAGGAATCTGCTGGAATGTAGTGTATTTGACTCTTAGGATTAAGGATTAAAAAGAGACGAGTGACGTTGATTATCCACCAGACACGAAGGTGTTGTAATGGGACCCCGCCACGTCAGTCACACATGGCGCTATGTTGCAGTTTGAATTCCGCCTATCTGTCAAGTCAAGCATTCTACATACCGCCTTCGGGCCCTCGGACAAGCAGGGTTATTTTTGTTGTTAAAACCTAATTAAGTAGTAGAAAAGATGTTACTCTAAACGATATTTAGTTCATTGCTACATTTGATTTTAATTTTTAACCGAAGAGCACTCGTGAATACGGAGCTCTTATTTTTTCATCGAGGAATTCGCTAATGTCAATAAGTCTCACATCTAAAATTAATGTGATGAATGCAGTGTGAATTGACACAAATTTGACATGGAAAAAAAAAAAAAAAACCTGTTTTTAGTAGGAATAATTGTGTACGATCATGACCTAATTTGAAGACATTTTTTTTTTTTCGTCACGTAAATATTGAGCCACAAAAGCTTTCAACTATTTGCGCATGTAAAATAAAATCTGATTCCGGAACAAGTTTTCAATTGTTGCGCATGTTTATTAAAAAAAGAAAAAAAAGATATAATTCCATGTTCCCGGCCACCGGTAACTATTTTTGCGCGGCGGTGAAAGTATTTCATCGCATGAATATTGGTGATACACGGTCATTATTCATTCCCCCGACAAAAGGATTTTCTCTTCCTACTTCCTAGATCCTGCCTCCTTCCCTCGAACGCGATTCTACTTTCTGGCATTACGAATTTCTGAGGTGAAGTTGAAGATGTATAATGCCCATTTGCCCTGTTATCCATAATAGCGCATTAATTGAATTCTATGATGTAAAAGCCTAAAAGGAATAAGAGAACTGAAAACCAATTCTTCGCGACGATAGAACTAGCTGTAAATGTTAGATACTTTGGATATTGATGAATAGCTTTTGTTTTGAGTTAATTTGTCAACAATCAAACACAAATTAAAATAACGTCGCGCATGAAAAAAAACGGTACTATTAGTATTGGTTGTTGCTATTGATTAGTTAATTTGTCTTAAACCTATATGATCAACGGCAAGGGGTTTGTTTTTTCAAAGTGCTCATTAATGGCAAATGGTAGCCGAAAAGAAGAAGGTTCTAGCATTCAGAGACGAAGCAACAAAACTAGCATTCTTAATTTGATCGAATTATACTGTTAATAACTTCTCCGGATATGTGTTCTTCTTTTTTTTTTATACAGTATACTGGAAAATTCTAGTAATTTGTAAGTAGTGTCAACTAATGGCTACAGTTCTTTTAAGGTTGAAAGTTCAATAACTTTAGTTCTACGCTGCCTTTGTTCTCAAGTTAAAAACTACTATTAGACTAAGTATAAACGATTAAACTACAAAGTACGAAGATGGCAAAAGGTTGGTGGTACTACGAGACAAGCACGAAATTGCACGAGTTTTTGAATTTTCTTAGTTCAATGTTCTTATACTATTTCACATCAGCGCCTTTTTGACCTTTAGATTTACAAAAGCAGATAAGATCAAAGATCAGGGCAAAGTCAAACTCAAAATTCTGCGGTCTTATTTGAGGGAAACAAAATCTTTGCTAATGTTAAAAATTGAGGATTTGGGTACGGTTCATATTACAGTTTTTATATTCAAGTGTGTGCTGGCCCAGATCTGTTAGAAAATTTTACTTTTAACGGGAAAAAACAAAAAAAAACCTGTCTGAAAATGAATTGGTCTACACAAATAATACAGACGACTAATCTATTCATCCTGAAATAACTACGTACTTCCAAATTAGAAACATTATCTTGAACTCGTGAGCAACAAATCAAAAACTAAGGTTAATGTTATTAATTTGAGACTTATAAGACTTCTGGGGAGTGTCTCTATGATTTTTTAAACCATGCCTCCCTTATTGTACTATTTATAAAAATAAAAAACCTAGAACAGACCGTGCGCAATTCAGTCAAAACACTTTTGCGGTAAAAAAAAAAAAAAAAGTTTGAACCATTGCAAATATTATAGATGAGGTTGCGTTCAATAGTAAGTCATTGTTGTGTTTTTTGAGAAGGTTGAGAATTCGATTCCGTGTGGCAGTATGAAGTTTCTTTTGATTGTTTCTCTGCCTAGCTAGATTCAACATGCTTATGGGGTTACTAGGGATATGTTTAGGTGAACTACATTGAGCCTCATAATGCACCAAGAATGTCACTCACTTGTAATTTATTTCTTTGAAACAATGATGTAGGCTTCAACTTTCCAATCCGACTTAACAAAGCAATCATCTTGTTAAAGGGGAAAAAATAGGAAGGAAAGAAAGAAGGAATGTTTTTCTTAACAAGATCTCTACCTCAATGTAGCTCTTAGCCAGAGGGTTACTGTCCTTAATTTTATTTTATTTTTTCATATTACAAAATGTCTATTGTTAATAACAATGATTATTCCCTCTTCATTTATAGTAAACACCTCAATTTGCGATATTGAAATTGAGAATGAAATTAGTTAATAGACATCTCGATGAGTGGAGGAGTTGCGGCAGATCATTTGGTTAGTCCTTAATCCAATTTGTATGGTCCTTTACTCGGGATAGGTTAAAGATAATGTTGTCCCAGTAAGAATCATAAGCACAGTCCACTAGAATATATGGTGGGTTTTCAATGTCTAGATGTCTGTAATACGGACTTGTTAAAGCCTTCTGTAAATAACACCATTTCTTCAAATCACATATTAGACTCCAAATAAAAAGCCCAAAATGAAAATTAGCAATACACTCTGGAGCCCATTAGAAATGTGATTGGTTTTGTAAAGTTAGAGCAAGCATTTACGTCCCAATAAAATAACACGTTCACAACTATGATGTTAACTTACGGGTAAATATTTTGTTCAAGTGGTAAAAGTATTAGGTTAGTTTAATTATAGCTCGAGAATAAATTAGGGTATGAACATATAGAATTGATTAAAATACTTATTGGGAGAGTTTTACCTCTCGAAATGATCTTACCTAATTCGAATCCGGATTAGTTGGAATAGTGATTTCGATCACTAGATACGTAATTAAAATAAATGATGTTTATAAGTATTAAATGCCACACTTTGACTTAGATTTGGATTTGGGGGAAATGAATTCTGGTTTGACTTAGGAGGAGGAATTCAGTTTTTTGAGATATCGAAAAAGTAATAGCAGAAGTCATTTGATTTGAGCAATATAAGGGCTAAATTTTTATTTATTTTTAATCATATTGTAGGGTGTTCACAGTCTACGATTAATACGCTCGTTCATGATAAACACATTAATTTGTGAAAGAGTTAGCCAGAAAATTTAAAGTTGTTCTACTTATGACGAGGTTCGAATTCTCAACCTATAGTTAAGAGTGAATGAATCCTTACTAATCCAGTAATCCACCATACCCCCTTTGGTTGTTAGGACTAAATGTTTGAGATTCCCTGGATGAATACAATCGGACCACCCGTCAATACACAAGACTAATAACTGCAGCCACCACCAGAAGATATGCTCCTAGTATTGAGTATTCATCTTTGGAGATCTCGGGGCTGAGGAATGCTTAGGGAAGTTCTACATCTCAACATACAAGATAGAGAAAGTGGTATAAATAATTAAATATTCTTTTTATTTTAAAATGATTGTTTAGTATGAATTTTTATTTTTATTATAATTTAAATTAAAAATAAAATCTTAAATTGAATAATCATTTCGGACACGGAGGAATAATCCTTTCCAATTGGTATGGGTATGGTTTCATAGTAGGCTACCTTTAGTTTCACAGTAGAATTAGACATTTATTGATTAGTAATTGCCTTAATATGATACAGAATTACAATCTGATCTGATTATTATTATTGTTAGAATACATCTAATACAATCGGCAATCTAGATTGTAAAATATTGCGTGGATATCATACAGTAATTGAATTTTTTTTTTCAAAAAATAGAAATACAAATCTCCACCATGTAAGTTTGGGCTGCATAAGATTCTTCTCAAATGAACTGGGTTGCTTCTACTAAAAACTGTTCATTTTCAACAGCATCGGCCAATCCATAATCCATCATCAAACACCTCCAAAACTGCTACAAAAATTTGTACCACATTCTTCCAGAAACAGAGTAAAAGGAAGCTTCTTCATCTTCTTTACACGTTAAGTTTTGAAAACGATTGAACAAAATTTAATGGCATTGACTACTTCTACTACTAGTTTGAGGTGGCAGATACACCACCAAGTCCAACAACATTGTTGCTCAATCCACTGCGAATCCCTCTATATTCGGGAGAATCATCAAGCACTGACAGCAGTAGAACAATTCCTATGGCCCAGAAGAAGAAAACATGATTGTGCTAGTTTACAACAACGCAGCAGAACCCGATCCACCCGGTCTCCTCTTCTTCTACTGCCTTCTATTCTTCCTCCTTGCCCTCGTTCTCTTCCGATTCCTCATCGTTTTCTTCTTCCTCCTCCTCCTTTTCGTCCTCTGCGCCGACCTCGTTCACCTCCTCGGTTATTTCCTATGTCCTCCTTAGCCAATTCCGATTCCAATGCCAGTTCCTCTCCTCCCGCCACTAAAACGGTACGCTGAATTTCTGTCTGTGAGTGTGTGTGTGTGTGTTTTTTCATGGGTTTTGTTACAAAGGGGTTTATTGGATTGGGGTTTTGATGGATGATATATTATACAGGAAAGGGTTGTGATCAAGGGGAGAGTCCAGGGGGTATTCTACAGGGATTGGACTGTGCAGAATGCGACGGAATTGGGGCTCAAGGGTTGGGTTCGGAACCGGAGGGATGGCTCTGTGGAGGCCTTGTTTTCTGGGCCGGCGGAGAAGGTCCAGGAGATGGAGCAGCGTTGTCGGAGTGGTCCACCTTCTGCAATTGTCACCGGATTCCAGGCTTTCCCTTGCAATGACGATCCCGGGACAGGTTTTGAGCGCAGGCAAACTGTTTGATTAAATTGGCTCGTAATCAGGGCAATTGGAATGAAGTCTATACTCTATACTAGGATAAATTTCTCCTGGCTTTCTATATGTGGTAGTAGTAGTAGTATATGTATAGCTGCCTTTCATATATGTGTGTTTACGGTAAAATGCAACAGCTTTTTTTTATTCATGTAGTACATGTTTAACACACAATAAATGACATCATGTTAAAACTTGGGATGAAGGCTTCTTTTTTTCCTGCCTATAGTAATATAAGTATCATAAAGGTGCCGTAAATTGAAAGGATGATCAGCTGAAGATGAAATCATGAGGATTTGAAGACTGAATCTAATCTGTACCATCTTGGGTGAAGGGATGCTAATGACTTTGCAAGATTATATCCACAAACTTGTTTGCACTTCTATTTACGATTTCATAACTATAAAACATCGAGATCTAAAGAAGAAAGTCCTGTTTTTCCAATAGAAAAGAGATATACCAATGAGTCTATTGTGGTTGGCCTGTTACAGTTTTTGTCTTTAAGTTGGAAGACTTGCAGTTTATAAATATTGCCTAGAAGCTTCAATACCATGGCTTAAGGTTCAAGCTTTTTCTTATTAAAAATTGGATGACACCTGATAATTCATAGGTTAATGCAACCCATGTGTTGAGATATTCGTTTAGAATGTGAATTTTCTTTGCGGGTGGACATCCATGTTTCAGTGTTGCCTTCTGTAATCTGTAGATCATATGCAAAGTCTCCTTGCTAAATGCAGTTGCCGGTACTTCCACTGTGTCTTGCCACTGACTATTTTTAGGTTGAACACATGGATGGTTTGGATGTTAACAGTAACGAGTAGGTCATTTGCTGATCATGTCTCCTCAAACTTTTTGTCCTATCCATCCTTCAGCTCGTTCTTTGTAGCTGGCTCTTGATGACAGATGTCATGCCTGTGAGAAATTTTCGAGTTTCCTTCTGCAGGATATAAAGGGGTTTCCCCATCTGAGTTTGTAATACAGGTGACAAGGACCAATTTATTATTTCATCTACAAAAGGTTCTTTCAGGTATTATGCATGAGAAACTTGTTTTCCTCGTGTATTTAGCACTAAAATGCTTATTGGTTTAGACGGATATTGTATTCGAAGCCATACAACATAACCTTTCGGCTTGCTAAATTAATTCAGGCAAGTGATGGAATCTTATCATAGAAAATCACTTTTACCATTCTCAGATGTGGTGGCATGCACTAAAATATGCATGATGAAATCGGAGATTTATATCAAACTGTCGTTTTTCTGTGATGAAGATTCTAGTTCTACCTTCACATTGTTGCCACTAAACTTTGTCTGTAGTTCTGTACCGTGGTACCACCTTTAGAATGACAAGGAAAGTGATACATCATGGAGATGGCAGTGTCTCACACTGAGACACATGCATTCTCCTGACTTATGTCTTTCAGAACCAGATTTCTGTTTCCCTCCAAAGCTATTTGGAAGAAAGCCATAATCTTTTTCCATTATTTAAACATGCTACTACCTTAAGGTATAAGAAGTAAACTAAGGATGAGAGGTGGTTTAAGTCTCCTTAAACTTTTTAAGAAGAGATTACTGGGGTCGCTGCAATTATGGGCTAGAATGAGTTGCCTTGTTGTACATGTTGAGTATGATGAAGAGACTCACCTTCAGCAAAATAATCCACCAGAAGATGTCAAGGAGGGGCATTTTGTGGTGCATGCTGTTGATGATGGCGAACTAAGGCGATTCATTATGGCCCTGAGCTATCTGAGTCACCCAGACTTCTTAAGCTTACTACAGCAAGCAGAAGCAGAATTTGGTTTTAAGCAAGAAGGGGTTCTTGTTGTGCCTTGTAGACACAGTGACCTTGAGAAAATCCTTCGCTGGAGGGGATAATGAGAAGAATTCTTGATGTTTTACCTAAGCTGTATGGAGAAGTATCCGCCTTTCTAGATGCCCTTATTTTATTTCATTTTGCTCTTATCGGGAGTTGTATCATGGTATGATCTGATGTATACAGATTAGTGAATAATCTTTATGTATGGCACAAGTGGATATGTCAGCTAGACCCAAATTAGAAGAAGAGTCTGACAACATATGATCATAATCATAATTCATAAGAATGATACGCTGGAATTCTTGGCATGTTGCAGAGTTAAGCCTGCACTCTTTTCCCTGTTTCAAGGTCTTTTGAATTTTTATTTAACATGTTAACTTGCAAATTCTTCGAGTTAGGCCGGGGGAGTTTGACAATGATTTTCTTTTTTCATCATAATCTTGTGGGAACCATAGCATCAATGGGGTTTTCTGATTGAGCGCTCAGCAGGTCAGCTTGTTAGCCAGCTGATTGATCGTAGGTGTACATTTTTATAAACCACGTGAAGTACTTCGAAGCCTGTCGAAAACTCAGCACTGGGTTTTGGGTACATTATCCGTGGTACGGTCCATGCATCTGTAGCAAATGATTTTCTGTGGTTATGATTAAAGTTGGTCAGGTTTGATTAAAAGCTAGGATCAGCTTTTTGGGCGTAACGAATTTAATGTCGGTTTGTTTCAAAACTGTAGGACCCACTTGATGTGCTGTCAGCTGTAAACTTCTTCGTTTCCCCGGAGTTTACACTTCTTTCAGCTGAACCAATACAGTGTTTGGTTATGGCTATGAAAAGTGGCTAGCTAAGTTATGTGGTTTGTTACCTGAATGGCTCATTCGAGATGCAAGTCACTAAATCGCGAGTTTTTTTTAGTATTTATTTTTTAAATTTTTTTTTCATACTTGCAAGGTGTCCACCGTCGGCAACAGGGACTAATCTCCTTCCCTGAATTGTTGGGACTTCAATGGGTGACTAATCTCTTTCGCTGAATTGTTGAGACTTCAATGGGCGGGACAGCTGGCTAAAGTATTTAAGGTTGCTCCATGTCCATGACGAGGTTTGAACCCTCGACCTTAACCTAGTTGAGCGTGGAGGAGTCTCTTCCACTCCACCACAATCACTTTGGTTATTAAATTGCAATTTAAATCTAAAAAAGAGTAATACAAAACTGTAATTGTTGAATTACTGACTGAATAATTTTAGGGATGGGCCTATAAAATTTTGCATATTTAGGACAATAGCTCACGCGGAATTGCGAGGTAGGAGCTAGGAGTTGAAGTGATGTTTTCCCAGCAAGCACTTACTGTAGAAGAATGATATGTTGCTCTAAAAGTCGATGCATTATATGAACAAACTTATAATCAGTTACTCGAATTCCCATTTGATTAGTACCTGCTAATGCATTCAACCGCTGAAAACTTTCAACAAGACTTTGAATATAGAATTAAAATTGCCACGTATCTCGTTAGGTTTTTGTGATTGATAAAATTAGGTTATCACCCTTCTAGAATACCATCCTTGATTTATAAGGTCACCCTCCATTGCCAGAGAATAATTTTCTCTTCAACAGTTTCTTATAGAAACTTTCTAATTCCTAATAAATTGAAACCAAAAAAGAACAAAGAAAAAGAAGAAAAAGCCTTGAATGATGTTAACATTGGTTAATGTGCTTCTAAGTTATACTTACTTTGTCTCAAAATAATTATTGTTCCACTTAAGTTTTCAATTTTAATAGATTCAAGCTTCTTACTTCCTCCGCCCCGTAATCAAATTCAAACTGAAAAATTATTTTATGACGGAGCAAGCGGTGGTCTTGAATACTGATGTTCACATTGGCTTGTACCTCGCAAGTACACCTTCACTCAAGAGTCTCAGACAGCGTGGAAGGCTTGTAAGGGACAATTTTAATGCAGTCCATTGATTTCTTCAACCTAATATGACCATGCTTTGATATTTCCACATCCCTCCGCCAGTCATTTAATTTCTTTCCCTTACAGATGATCTGTCATGAGAAAATTATATGATTGCTGTACCCTTTTTAGATCCATGCAAATACGATTGATAGCCAAAACAAACCACATTATAGAGAGCTCACTAAGCTAGCGCCGAACCTCATATTGCTGATTTTATTTATTTATTTATTTATAAAAGAAATACTGCCTGAATTAAGGACAAGAATAAGCTCTCTTGTTAGCTGGCAACTTAGGTCTGCTGAGTTCTGAGTAAAGTGTTATGCAATGTTTGATAATTTGAACGGGGTTCAACTGGCATTTGCGGTTTTATAAATCCTTCGGCTCCGTCTCCAAACGAGAGTCATGTGTATTGTTTAACGCTAATTCCGTTAACAAATTCATAAGTATGTTATATGGGAAGATGAAAACGTGAAACGCGTCAGGCTTTTCTTGTTAACTAAGCACAGACAAGGGAAAAACATAGGGAACCATCTATCATATGTAGTAATTAATGATCCTTTTCAGCTGCTACCGTACATCATGGACCCCCTTTACCTTACCATCTTCGAAATTTCGTTCTTTTTTCCTCCCCATTACTCCATTTCATTCACCATTTTTGCTATAAAAATTTCTGAAATTTTGACCAAAACTTCTAAGGCAATGGTGACCATGCTCAAGCACAGCAAAATGTTTGAAGGGCAAAGGCATTTTATTGGAAAGCTGCAGGCACATCTGCATCATTCGCAGTTCAAGATGCCGGATTTTCCAAACTCCAAAAGATGTCGAAACATCCGAGTGGGACGAGCAGGAGTACCGGAAGACGTGAAAGAAGGGCATTTTGCAGTTTTAGCAGCCAAGACTGAGAAACCACAGAGGTTTGTAGTTGAACTACAGTTTCTAAACAATCCTGCATTTCTGAGTTTGCTTAAAAGGGCAGAAGAGGAATATGGGTTCGAACAGAAGGGTGTTCTTGCTGTTCCTTGTCGCCCCGAGGAATTAGAGAAGATTTTGCAGTGCAAGTGTTGAGGAAAATGAGGAGTAGTACTCTCCTGCCACTAACTATAACACTCAAAAACTTTGGAGATGATGAATTGATTTCATGAAGATGCTCAGCTTTTCTAGAGCAGCTTTATCTAACCACCTGTACCTTGAGAAGCTATTCATTTGTTATTCTTTTCATCAAGCTAAAGCCGATCAGTACTTATCTAGAACTTAGCTTTCCAATCACAATGTAGAAGCAGTTTTTTTCAGCAAAAAATTCAAGGTATTCCTTTGTTTATGAAAGGAACCAATGGGCCAAGTGTCGAACTTCTCATGCTTAGTTTGATTACATAACACAAGACATTACTTGCTACTCTTTGGCTGGTGAAGAAGAGGAACTCTTATAAACTATTTATCTCAGAACTTTCAACAAGTTCCCAAAATATACTCTTCCAGATCCTATTCCACATACATACAGGTACAAAAAAATAAAAATAAAAATGCAGAACTTACAGATGGCTGAAGGCTAAAAACAGGAATCAGTTGACATCAAGTAGACTTCTTAGCAAACATTGCTCCAAATGCAATGGAACTTCACGGAAGATGCTCTAATCTTCAATGTAGAGAGTTAAAAGAGAATCGCACTCTGCAGTGTAGCTATTGCACCTCTGAGCAATTATTTGAACCAACTGGTTCTCTTAAGCAGGTCCCTATGGCCATAACAGCAGCTTCAATTGATGCATCTTCTCCCTGTTTTTCATGTATGCAAAACAGTTACTCTAATATCTGTGATTATCTCAAGGGAAAAGAAAAAATGACATTCTGATGCCGTACCTTTTCTTTCCAGTAGAACATATTTCCATATTTCCCAGCTAATCGGCTCCAAAAGCTACGAGGTATATCTAAGTCCACGGAAGCACCCACATTGAAGTTCAATATGTTACCTAAAAACGTGGATGACAAGAGAGTAAGTAACATCACATAAAAGAGAAAACAAGGAAGTACCACGGTCATTTACCGAACGTAGGATCAGCAACAAAGACGATTGTTCTATCATCCACTTTCCAGAAATCTTTAATAGCCAATCCTGTCAAAAAGGTATCAGCATAAATTTCTAGTTGGGGTGTTAATCATTCTAATGACTTCCATAAATTCCATACGCAAATAAAAGGCCAACAAATGTACCAGGAGTGTCAGGGTAGTTCTGCGCCAACACTCTCAATTTAAATCCAGTATCTTTCTCAAGGGCATCGATCTCTTTCGCTATTCTGTTCTCCTGTACATGTTTGACCAAATGAGCTATATAAGTCACTTATTCTAATTCAACAGCAACAGCAAGCATGGAAACATACGGGTAGGGAAAACACTAGAGACCCTCGAGTAAGATTTTCCAAATCAAGAACCTTTTCTTGAGTCACGAATGATTACTCATAGGGAATAGTTTTGAACTTGACCTGGCCATCTGAGAGGAACCCGGCAACATCAATAACTGTTGTGAACTCTGAAGGAAGTAATTCAGGTTTGTTTACCCCAGTCTTCCCCTCAGCAATTCCAACTCCTACATATTTAGGTTTATCCCTTTTGTCATCCATATTTAAAACAACAATGACAGAGATGTCTCCATAACACGAGCAATTTCCATAAATTCAAAAATCTGTTGCATAATCAGAGCCGGAAAAATGACTACAATCATGCAACAGAAGAATAGAGCTTGAACAGAACTCAATACCTTTTTCAGTTCTAATTAACTAATAAGTACCAGTTATCCAACCAAGGATTCAATAATCATAATTTAGTGTGATCAAAGTTCAGAGGCTTCTTCACCTCATCACAATTAAGGTAAAAGAACAGTAATGAATGAACATACAGAAGAAATCAAGAAAAGGAGTAAGACTGTCACCGCTGCCAAAAACTATATTCAATTATACCTCCTTATCCAGTTATAGAACTTGGCTGATCAAAAATAAATAAATAAATAAATCGATAATGTTCAAGATTGAACAAAGATACTGACCAGCAAGAGAGAGTGAAAGAGCTAGAGTGCCGGAGAGGACACAGTTGATGGACTTGGATCGAAATTCAGAAGCCCAGTCAGACTTTGTAGACTGCTTCCAGGTTGATTTCCGGCCTTGTACGGGTACTTGATTCGGCGGAGCTGATGCATTGCATTTACGGTGGTAACCGGAGAATGCTGTTATGCGAGGACTTCCAGAAGTATGAGCAAGATTTAGCAATGGGTTTTGGAGAAGAAAACCCATTTGGTTTATCGTTCTTCAAAGTATGAATCTTTTTATCGTTTCACGATTTAGATAGGGTTCTTTGCCTTCTCGGGAGGCTGGCGTGTCACATCAATAACTGCACTATCCTTTTGCTCGTGTTCCTGAAAATGCTAGAAAGTAAATCGTTGATTTTGTCTGAAATTGTCGAAACTGTCCATGAAAATTGCTCATAAAGCAAATGGTAAGCCATAGCTTGGGAAGGGTGCTTTCTCCCGTGCCCAGATGCAGAGGTTGCAGTTGCTTTGTCATTTGAGTGATAAATTTAGTCTTTCCCCTTCCAGAATTGAGTTTAAGGTTCTATCGGTTTTGGTCATACCAATTACCAAGTAATAACTGAAAAGGAAATCAGATACCAACAGGAGCGTATATTTGAATTTCTGATCTCTATGGGCACCCATTTTGTGGATAACTGTATCAACAGTAGCCAAAGTGTAAAGTTTGCAATCCACAAGAAGAAAATAATTCGAAAAAGTGCTATTAGGATTTCTCCTGCTGTGTTAAAACATGGTTCATTCTACTACATTAAAAAACACATCTGGAGTTCTTTCTTTGCGACGTCGAACAAAAGGAGAGCGACAGCTGTTCAAGAAGAGCACTGAATCACAATTGATCAACAAGAATTCAGAAAGCGATAATTAAGGGAAATAGACCGGCCAATTGAAGTAGTAGTTGTCTCGAATCTCTTTGTCTATCTGATTCCACTGCAAGATGAACCAAAATAAAATTATCAATACAAATTACAAAGGAATCAACTGCTAAGAGGCCAAAAGAATTGTAAATACACAACATAAAGTCCCAGCCCCCTGTTCCGAAGCACCAACAGCCTACCCACCAAAGCATAAATCAACAAACTTTAATCCAAACATTACCTTGAATTTGTACGGCTTTCCCTGCTCGAGTGCTTTCTTCCAGTGATACTGCTCGAATAGCATGGCCTTGTCATGCCAACTGCCCATTAAGACCAATAACCAGAACAAATGAGAACTACAGAACAAACCTTTAACAAATAACTACAGCCAAGCCCTTTAACTCAGTAACCAAAGATGACTTTTAATGAAGTGGTTTCATCAGTTATAAATGCAATAGTTTTCCATCAGATAATAAGCTTAGGCCAATTAAAACAGTTCAAAACAAAAACCATCAAAGAATTTTCAGGCCTCTCAGTTAACAAGACCCTAAACTTGTGGTAATTAAAAAACTGTGTATCCACATGGCAATGTCACTTGAATGGAGCTTGACCGAGGTGGCATTAACCTAAGAAAACCCACAAAGCAGCGGTAATTTATCAACACACCTATTCCTATCTCGTCCACCCCCCTCCCAACCCAAAACTGTATTCTTTTGGAGATCCCAAATCAGTCATAAAAGGAAGATAAATGAGAAGCTCAGTGGAATCCTTCCCCTCTCCCAGTTCAACACATTCAGAGCTATAACATAGAAGATAGTTCTTTTCTTAAACATTTTCAACATCCTTATCTACCATTATGATATACCAATCATATTTTTAGTATTACTAAGACAGCTAAAAGAGCAAACCTTTTCGTAATTAGTCTACCTGTAAACAAAAGGCAGTCCAAGACTAGAAATTTTAGGAAAACCAGTAATCTCAAACAGCAAAAGGAAGAAGAAAGCAGTCAAAGTGGCTTCAATACAGAATAGCAGAAAATATCCAGTAATGGTGTTACAAATGCAGACATTCAGCTATTCAGTTCCAAACAAATGCCATAAAGTCTCAAACACTGTTTCTGACAAATCCAAAAAGAGTTAACGAGGATGAAAAAGGAGCGAACTTGAAAAGTTTACACCTTATAGTTTTTCCAGAGGCATCTCTCTCAATCTATCCCATAAACAATCCTCCAATAAAAATGTGGAAAGAAGTATCATTTCGAGAGCATTTCCCTTCCTTAAATCGATTAAAACCCTAAAACTCTAACAATTTCATAATTTCAAAATCGCCCATAGCAATCATCAAATCACCACACATAATCATCATCACCAAAAAGTAAACCAAAACCAAGGCAAGAGGCATGATGGGTCATTAAACCCTCGTGCCCGATACATGAAAGAAAACCCAGGGAATGAGATAAAGGAAGAGAAAATTTTCGAGGGGGAAGAAAAATACTTGTACTGATTGGAGAGAGTCCACATGTAAGGATTCTTCCAGGTGAGGGCGGAGAAGATGAAGGAACCAATCCATATGTTCTCGAAACGATCCGGGTCTGAGTGTGGAACTCCTGGGTCGCCTCTGTACGCGTTCCCGAAGTACTTCTCCATTGTTGTAAGCTTGTTCAATCCAACCTATTGCCTTATCCACATTCATCATATATCGCCGCTGGAGGTAAGATGGGCTCTTTTCGGTTTTTTCAAGCTGATGGTGAGATGGGCTTTATTCGGTTTGTTTAATTCCTGGACCTCCTCCACTCACACACACACTATCAGCCGAGAACCAAACACATAATATTTAGGCTCAATTTTTTAGTATTATTTTTTCCTTTTCCATCAAAAATAGTTACCCTAAAATCTAAACCTCAATTAAAAAAGTTGGCTTTAAATAAATAATTATTAAATTAAACAATAAATCTAAAATAATAAATTAACAAAATTAAATCCGCGAATAAAATAAGTAATTGCATAATTTTTAAAAAGTTAAAAAATATAAGTAAACTAAAATATAGAATAATTAAAACCTTGGGAAAAAAAATACTCCAAACATAAGTTTTCCTTCCTGAATCTAACACCTATTCTCTATCACATATATATATATATACATATATTAAGATTTTAATTATTTTATATTTAGTTTACTTAGTTTTTCATAAATTATATTAATGTAATATAGGCTCTTGAATTAAATTGTAATTAACTAATAAACTATTTTGTTATCTGAGTTAAGTATACTTTTACGTACAATATTGGTTTATTTAAATATTTTTATTCTTTATATTAGGAAGAATAAAATGAATTAAAAAAATAGTATTGTTAGTGCTAAACTATATTATTAAAAAATATTATGTTTATATAAATACAATCATGCGTTTTACAATAAACTAATAATATTTATAAATTATTAATTTTCTTAGGTCTTAAGTCGAGACCAGAAAAAACAAAGGTAATCAATAAAATAATAATCTTTCAGAAAACTCATATGTATATATATACAGGTCCCGTCAATATTATAAATTAAATAACAGATTGAAATATATATATATATATATAAGAAGGAACTAGTAAAATCTAATAATGTATTTTTTCCTCGACAATTTACATCTAAAGAGATTTTGTAACATCTTCTCCCACATCGCCACCTGGTAAAATAAATGACATGTATATAAGCCTCAGTCTCATAAACTACTAACAATTTAGATTAATAATTTTGAGCTGGTGAGGACGAAAGCCTAAACGTTGTTGGGCCAGTATATGAGACTGAAATGTTACAAACGGTATCAGAGCGAACCCTGGTATAATAGCTAAGTGCTACGTACGGACACATCTCTGGGCATACTGACGGCACAAGTGCAGAGACACTGCTGAGCCTGCAGACGAGACAAGTACAAAATACGGGAGCCACCTCTAGAGTTCTATTACGGGGAAGACTAGGCCACATTCTTGTTTGTTGGGTTTTGCGAGGACGTAAAGATCCAAAGGGGATGGACTATAACCTATGTTGTTAAAACCGGACCGGTCTGGACAGTCGAACCGGTTAGCCTGGGAACCGGATAGCTTGTCAAGCCGAGTTCACATACCGTTTGTATTGAAAACCAGTCAAAACCACGATTTGACCGGAAACCGATGAAACTGGCTGTCCGCGGTTCGTTTTTTTCTACTCAAAATAAAATGAAATCTATATTGATGGGTGTTTGTTATGGGAGTGTGAAATCCATTCTATGAGTTTGATATACATTTTACATGCTTGGCTCACTATTATCAAATGAGTAACAATAGAACACTCTACTAATATAATTCTATTTCTAACTCTAATGATATGGCAATCTTTGTTGACAATCCACACCACCTCATAAATATCTTGTGTATTTCTAATTAAAACTGTCATGTCAGAAAATTTAGGAGTAGAGTGCTTTATCACAAAAGACCCACGGAAATGAGTTTCACTCTTACCTTGTGGGTGTGAATCTCATGACATAAAATCTTTGCTTTTTCAACAATTTACCCCCTCAATTTTCTTTATTTTTTTATGCTCTGTTTACTACATTTAACAACCCATCTTCTCTCCCATCCATCGGCCAACTTCTCCTCCCCCCTCAACCCATTTCCATAGCCACCTCCTTTACCAACAACTATATCCTTCAACGCATTTTCATGGCCAACAAAACAATCAGAGCATATTCAAAAGCTTACCCCACAACTCATTAGAGATGAATCTTTCATCCACTCTCTATTTTTCACTCTTCTTTTTTTATCTGAAACAATTGTTAATTGGTTAGATGTTACTTATTGTTGTCTTTGCTAATCCGATTATCCATATAGGTGTCCTCAACTATTAATGGTCGAAAACTTGATTTTGGACGGCAAAAGTTGTTTTGGAGTGTGGGGTCAAAATTTAGTCGATAGTTTTTTGTTATTGTAATGTTGGGACAAAATTGAAATTTTAACTAAATCCCATCCAAAAAAATTTAGTTACCAGGCTTATTTATTCAAAACCATCTTAATCTATTTCATTGTGTTGGATTTTCTTACTAGGTCCCTCTTGAACAATCATTTCAGAATTGAGAGAATGGAACTAAAAATAAACATTTAAACTGTATATTCATTTTGGGACGGCGGAAGGAATCATTAATTCTTTTTACCATATTTATTGGTTACAAAGAATTCCAAATGATTTCATTTTCATTTTCATTCCTCTCAATTTTCGCCCTTACTTTGTCATCATAGTCTCTCAAATAAATTGATCGAACAATTTGCTTTTCAAACCATGTGCTCTAAATCTGTTATCCTACAAGATAAACTCCGAGTTTTATCATATTCTTTATAATCAGGCACACTAGTTGTGTATCTAGCTTTTTGAAAATATTACAAGCTAATGATACTCAAGAAGATATTACAAGTATCTAGCTTTTGAAGTACCTCTTTACAACTACCTAGCCACTTTACAAATATATGGTTTTATCATGTTAGTTGGAACTTTGAAAAGGGTTTATTTTCCTTCTAAATCCCTCAAGTATGATGCATTTATTTATTCATTACATCCCTCAATTTCGTTTTTTTGTTTTTGGAAAAGCCTCAATTTGGTTAAATCGGAATACATTGGGCAAATACCGAAATAACCGACTGTGACTGGTCAAATTTAAATTAGTATTTTTTTTAAAAAAAAAAAGGAAAAGAAGGGGAAAAAAGAAGGCAAAAAAGAATCGCAATAGAAATAAACTGGCAAGGCCAACCGGGCGGTTCTTGGTGTCTATAAATACAGCAGTGTTTACTCATCGAAGTTTTGACTCGTCTTCCTCAAATACAGGCTCCATCCTCTCTCTCTCTCTACTGTTCTCGATCTACTTTCTTGGCCAATCCAACCAAAGTCACTTGAGCAGGGTTTATCACTCCCACCATTACTCCCTAAACCCTAACCAAATTATCATCGGAATCTCACCGTCTCACGCTCCCGGAAACCCCCGACATTCTTCGCCGGAACGTGTACGGGTTGTGGATTCGCATTCTCCCGTATTCTCTCATTGCTTCAATTTTCTCAATCCGCTCCATTTTCAGTAAGTATCCTATGAATTCACTCTGAACATTGCATTATGATGCGCTTCCCACGTATCTCTGTTCAATTTTAGTCGCACTACTCTTGTTGAACGCAATTGCTTATTCTAGGGTTTATGCGTTTTTTGGCTGTCTGTAGATCAAAGTGGAAACTTTGTGTTGGAATTCATGAGCTACCGGTAATATTGTTGACCTGTGAATAAATCCTGCTAAATGATTCAACAACTTTTTGAATATGAACGATGGAGATAAAGCGGAGAGTTCCAGAGCGAGGGAGGATGTAACTGAGGAATTTACCTCTGTTGTGAGGCGAGCGGGAGCGAATGAGTTTGGGCGAGCTATTGCTAGGATTGCTGTTGCGCAGATATGTCAGAGCGTGGGATTCGAAAGCTTTAACCAGTCTGCTCTCGATTCCCTCTCGGATATTGCTATTAGGTACCTCTGTGACTTGGGAAAAACTTCCAGTTCCTATGCTAACTTGGCAGGTAGGACCGAATGCAATCTGTTTGACATAATCCAGGGGATGGAAGACTTGGGTTTGCTGAGAGGGTTTCCAGGTGCTGCCGAGACTTGTCCTTGTCTGCTGAGTTCTGGTGCGATGCAGGAAGTGATCGAGTATGTGGACTCTGCTGAAGAGGTTCCATTTGCCCAGCCAGTGCCTCATTTTCCTGTCCCTAGAGCTAGGAAACCGATACCTAGTTTCTCACAAATGGGTGAGACTCCAGGTTTCAAGCACATTCCAGATTGGTTGCCTGCTTTTCCTGATCCCCACACATATATACATACTCCTGTGTGGAATGAGAGGGCGACAGATCCTCGTGCTGATAAGATTGAATTAGCTAGGCAGAGAAGGAAGGCGGAGAGGTCATTGTTGAGTTTGCAGCAGCGGCTGGTTTCAAATGGTGCTGCTACAGCTTCAACCTCATTGGAGCCTCCTCCCATTAGGGTAGAAAATGCTGGAAGTGTAAACCCCTTTCTCTCAAAACCCGTACTTGCTGGAGAGAAAGACGTTTCTTCTATTGCTCTCCCTTCTAAGCTTATAGATGAGAGTCGGAGGGAAGATGCTGTTTCATTGTTGGAGACGTTTGCTCCAGCGATTGATGCAATGAAGGATGCACCTTCAGAATCTGGAAGTCATGAAGAGAGTATTCTTCCAGGACGGAGACCTGCTGTTTGTTTGGAGTTTAAATCTGGGAAAAGAGTTTTAGGTAATTCTTTGGATCTTAGACTCAAAAATCTGGCTTCTGGTAAAACGGCACCTTGGTTTGGACAAAATGATGAGAAGGACGATAAGAAGAGGAGAGCTGAGTTTATACTCAGGCAGTCTATGGAGAACCAACAGGAGCTCACTCAGTTGTAAATTTGTTCATTTAATTCTTTGCTGGATGAGAATTATCATACTTGCGGAAGAGAGAAACAATAGCTGCGGATTAGAGTAGTTCAAAGTTAAAGACTTACGGTAGTTGAGCTGTGATTGTGATGAGAAATCATTTTAGGGATCTGAAACCATTTGTGGCATTTTTGGAAGGTATGCGTTCCTTCTAGTTTCACTAGCTGTATCGATTTCTAGAGTTTAGTTTTTTGGTTTTTGATGGTGGAATCTCCCATTTTATTCAAGTAGCAGCTTAATGTTGAGTAGATGTGTCTTGTTCTTTGTTCTGAACTGACATTTTCCCACCTATTGTGCAACTGTACTTAGAAACGACCTGCGTACAAACATATATGTTCCTCCTATTTGTAGTATATATGATCATGTACTATTTCTATCATTATGAAATTGTGTTGGAAAACAAAGTTAAAAAGAGAAGATGAAATACACTGACTTTGTTTTGAGAGGTAAGCCATTCTTAGCTAGACACGTTCTACCCTGATTTCCAATGTACCTTGGTGATTTGGCTCACAAAACATGTGGTGTTTAGATACAACTTTCAGGGCCTGTTAAGTTTACATTAACTGAATGTTTTATGGACTTTGTTAGCTGAATGTTTGATTGTTAGATTATACTGTCAAATGCGAACTGAATGCGGGTGTTTTCCGCTCCTTTGGATCTATTTTTGGTAGTGCAATTGTAGATTGATCATGACACATGTTTATTTGAATCTCCTGTAAGCCAGTAATAACTATTTATGTTCTTTTTTTTTAAATGGTTCTATCTTCGTAATTGATTTGCCATGTGGAACATGCCCTAAATACACTCACATACTCTGATCAAGTCTCATTCATGTGTTGTGAACACTGAACACTTCCACACAAGAGGAATAAATTCTATGCCATCCTCTGTTTATCTAATTTCATCCCCACTTCTGTTAAATGGACTGTTCAGTGTCATTGCTACTGATAGTGCTTGCTTGACTGGCTTACTTACACCAGATTGATTGCTTTTATTTGAAACTCAATGTTTTGTTTAAGGGTCGTCGATGTTGTCTTTATTGCTTGCTCTTCTAAACTTGCGGAGACTGTACTCTAATTTTGAGAGATCAAAGGATAGACAATAATCTAGGGCAGTGTTCCTGGATGTCTTTTGTTTCAATTTCTTTATCTCATAGATGCATTCTGTCCTATGTAGAAAATTGTAGAGGATTGCAAATTCTTCAGAAACCTAATGACAGGCTTATACATTTGGGGTAAGCATCAAGTCATTATATCACCCCAAATTGCCTTTGTGATTAAAGAATCTTTGTTGCAATTATTATTATTATTTTTTTCTGGGGTGAACTTGCACCCATTGCGAGTGCAAATAGTGGACCAACCCAAGAAGTTAACCAAATTAACAGTTGTTTACATCTCAGCAGGCTTACAGAATTCAGGCATTTAATTGAGAAAACAGTTCACTATTACTGATGATTTTTAGGCTGTCGTCCTTACTACTTAAATGCAAAATCGAAAGTTGCAGAGAAACAAAGCATTCTCACTTTTTACTGTCCAATCTAAATTTCTCACTGGCACTTCCATAAGTACAATAGTACAAGGGTTTAAGAGGTCCTAATAACAGAAACTGAAAATTAGAAATTACAGTGTAAGAATCAAAAGTGAATAACGCCTTCCATCCCCAGGCCATTACATCCTAGGTCACATACAGTAACTATGATGTATTCCTTAGTTTAAACATCTAAAGATCTCTTCACTTCTCAAGTAGCATTCACTTCAACTTTGCATCAATTGCCAAAGGAATGGCTCTCCCACGATGATTGAACATCATGAAATCCAGATTTGCTGGTAAAGCAACCACTCTGCATTGGGAAAAGAAAATGATATGTATGCATCACTAATAATGGATTAAAAGCTGTACACAACCCGAAAATTGCAATGTACACAAGCGTGTAAATGAATCCAAGTTATGCTGTGAATCACATACTCCATTTGAAGGGAACGAAACATAATAACGCAGCTCAGGCATCAAATTTCTTGTCAATAGTTCCACGCGTTTATTTAAACCTCAAACCAAGATCACTTCCTATCAACTAGGAACCCATCATGAACATCACCTAGTTTTGCCTCTCAGCAGCATCTACTGAACCAGCATTTCTGATACTCGTACATCAGAGGTAGGTACCAAAAACTAACCACTTCACCTCTCTACCTGGATGGTTTATTTTCTTCTCTGATTATTCAAAGTTTACAAATTAGTAATGAGCTTGGGACATTATCTTTGCTAAGGTTTTGAATGAGTTATTTGAAAACTATGGTCCTCCCTCTTAGGATAAGTAACCGAGGTTAAGGTGTTAACCTCATTAAGACCTCATTCCCCATACACGGTAGTTGTTATTCACGGACATTTGCAGTGGTTTATGATTAATCATAATAACTCGACAAGGAAAACAGATCAAGCGTTTCAAGTATCAGTGACTACGTAGACCAATATCCTCCTAGTAAAAGAGCCATAGCTTCAACCAATTTCATACCGTCTTTGACACACTAGGAACCAAAATCAGCGCAAAACTATGTGGAATTGACAAATGCTTGCTATTTATAGTCCAAATACTGAGATCACACAATGAGGTAAAACACAAAATGCAGAACAGCCAATACTACACTCATTGATTCCTAATTCAGCACTAAAACTGCAGCAGTACCTGTTCTCATCAGAATGGGGAAGTATGGAGAGGAACTTCCCGGGAACAACAAGCGCGGCCCACATGCATAGAACTAATCCTACAAGTAATTCCATGACCACCTGCATTCAAGGTGAAAAAAGAAATCCTAAATTCCTTCAAATCACCAATCATCAGAGTCTTAAATATTATACATTGACTCAATCAATACATTATCTGAAGCACTAAAATCTGACAAAACAATTTTGCTGATAATCAAAAGAAAGGTCAGAAAGAAAGGAATTACATTCATAGGAGGTCCCGAAAACTCTTCCTCGGTGATCTTCAACAATGCCCGGTCTGCAAACAAGATAGGTAGTTGCTCAAATTGGTTTTTCTCGAAAGATAAACAAATAATTCTTTTTTTTTTAATAGAAAATTCATTGATGAACTAAATCAATATCGGCGGACATAATATCCAAACATTGATGAAATCAAAAGTAATTATTTGGAAAGAGCAGAAAGCAATCGTACACTGGATAGTAGAGTAAGCAGCATGGAAAAGAATCAGAACTCCGAATACACCGACCGCGAAGCCCATGCCCATCTTTTCCTTCCCCGACTAAATTAACAGATCTACTCTTCACTAAGGATTCCGGCAGCTGGGATTATAAGCGGCGGCGGTATTAGCCGGCGATTCAGACTTCAGCGGAGATAGGAAGGAAGAGTGAGTCCTCGATTTTTGCTTTTTGAAAAATTTAGATTATTCCCCGTACTTAAAAAAATACACGGAAGCACGAAGCGGCGTCGTTGTGACTATTATTAATTATAATAAAGCCCATAAAGTTTTAGGAATATGTCGACTGAGGCCAATTTCTCTCTCATTTTTTAGCCCCCCTATTCAAAAAAAAATGTCATCGATTAAGCGATGAACAGAAGATAGAAAGGAGGAGATGAGCCAAATCGTCGATTTTATTTGGCAGCAAGGTTTCCTCTCTGTTGGAAAGCCGTTGCTGCTGAATTCCTTTACGACTTCACCGCCATCGCAATCGCAATCGCGGAAGCTAGTTCTTCCGCGCCATCATCGTCTTCTTCCAGCTTCTACGTTCAAACCGGGCAAGCTAGGTTGATTTCCTTTTATTCATGTATATTTCAGATTTAAAATTAAACGTAACTATGAACTTTTTTTTTTTACTTTTCTATCTTTTGGGTGTTTGAATCCTTGTTGGTACTCCGTTTTGCATTTTTAGCAGCTGTTAATGGCAAGATTGTTGAGAATGCTGAGTTGCGTTTCATCCACAATGAGGTACGTTAGTATGTCACTATCGATTTTTAAGCAGCATTTCTGCCCAAGAAAGTGATGGACTTTGAACTTTTACTTCCCTTGTTTCATTTACGATAATAAAGTGAAGTAAAGATTTTAATGTTTCTGGTGTCAATGGCCACCAAGAAAAGAAGGAACTATTGTAAATAAGATACCACATAAATGACTGCATTACCGTATTAGTGGAAATTCAGCTGCATTCAGTCGTTTTTTGCTGCTTGTATTGTCAGCGTAGCTACTTTACTGTTGTCAAGTTTAGGCTGAAGATTTTGAAGGAGCAGAACTGGGCTCAATTCCTCATGTGCAAACTCTTAGACAATTTCCCAGAACGGAGCTCTCGGGAAAAGTTGTCATGGTTAGATTTGATTCCAAGCTTCTCCTCCGGCAACTTCAGGAACACAAGTCGTCTTTTGGCACTACTGTTGCCACCATCAAATATCTACATGAAGCTGGTGCAAAAATAACTCTAGTCAGTTCTTGGGAAGCTACAACCAGTTCAAACATTCTTGCTTCTGAATCACTTTCTGGTATGTATTTTGCCATTATTCTGACCAACCAATCTTCTTCTCTATTTCAAGAAAAATAGGTCTGCTGAGTTGAATTTTTGTAAGAAGACCAAAAGTAGCTTGTAGTTTTGTTGTTAGGAAGTTGTTTCTTGATTCTGGGATAAGCAAAAGAAAAAAATTAGTGGAAGTACCCTATAGAATTTGGTTGTTGGTTGTATGTTTAGTGATGTTGTTCTTCTAGAATGAATGACTTAGTAATGTCTTCTTCTGTATGTGGCAGAGTATCTTTCGTCACTTCTCCAACTGAAAGTTGTGCCAACACAGTTAACCACAAGACAAAACCACTCTACCAAGCAGGAATCTGAGATACTGCTGCTTGAGAATCTTAGTCATTTTAAAGAGGAACGAGCCAATTGTAAAAGATTTGCCCAGCTGTTGTCATCTGGGCTTGATCTCTTTGTCAATGATGCCTTTTTTGAATCCCATAAAAGTCTCGCATCAACTGTTGGAATTTCTCGCTTTGGCTTTTCTTGTATTGCTGGCTTTGATTTTGAGGCTGGACTCTCTCAGCTGAAGAATATTATCAGTGCCTGCAAAAGACCTTATCTGGCCATTGTATCCATCTACAAGTCCTTTTGCTTTAAGTAAAATTTCCCATTTACGCTATTAAATGTGGTGGAACTTTTCTTACACTCCTGTTGCAACGTCATGACTAACATTCCACTGTATAATGCAGGTTGGAGGAGGCAATCTTGTAGATAAAGCTGCGGCATTGCATCTTCTAGTGTCTATATGTGATGGTGTAGTGTTTGTTGGTGATATGGCTTTTCAAATAATGAATGCCTTGGGATTGCCTGTTCCCGTGAAATTGGTGGAATATAATGCTATTGAAGAAGCTCTTGCCCTAGTCAAGTCTATGAAATCTAAAGGCAGAGGAATTTTTCTACCGAAAGATTTTCTGTGCATCAATAAACTTGATCTGGCAACATTTGAGACATTTTCTGCCACTTGCCTCTCAGATGGTAACTTTGTTTCTTTGTTGATCTTTACCTTTCTCTGTTACCTTCCAAAGCAGAGACACTGAAGACATTCTTTCCTTCTTCATTATGATTGGAAATTTTTTATCTTTCTCGTCTTTTTTCTTTTTTGGCTCATTCTTTTCTCTCTAGTCATCATATTATATGAGAACGAAAGTTTACTGTCTCCCACATTTAATTGAGAACTCGTTTGCGTTTGATGTTTTCGTTTATCTTTGTTTTTAATCTACCTTTTTATCTCTGTGTTTGTCTTCTTAGGTTGGCAACCTATTGATCTTGGCCCAGATTCTCTTGAGGAATTCACAATATTACTTTCACAGTTTCAGGTATATCATGTAGGCTTTGAAGGCACATAATTAGATCCGTGTCCCATTATCTAGCTGAGGAACAAGTATTTAACATAGCTATTAAAGAATTTTAAATTCTTAACTTAGGAAAACACACCATATTATCATTTGTACAACGAATGATTTGTTCTTCTTCAGAAAGTTCTAAAGCAGAACTCTTTGAAATATGGGGAGTAAACTGCTCCATCTGATTCATTTTCTACTGCTCCATCTGATTCATTTTCTTTTGTTGTGTATTCAAGAAAATTTTGTGGATTGGTCCAGTAAAGTTTGGCTCCTCAAGTACTGATACTGGTGGTGCATCGAAATTGGCGGCAATTCTTGATAGGCTAAGGAGGCAAAACAACTTGGAAACAATTGTTGTTGGAAAAATGGCATGCAAAACCCTTCCAGTGTCTTATTTGACTTATAGTATGATTGAGAATGCTTCGCTCATATGGGATTATCTCAAAGGCAAAAATCTTCCTGGCCTCATGGCATTAGACAGAGTATGCTTATGATTAGATTGACTTGTTGACTTCTTTCTCTATACTTCCAATGTCTTGTATTTTTTGCAGATTATGGTCATTTAGTTGTGACAAGCATATCTACCTATATCAGTTTAAGGCCATTAAAAAGGACCTTGATTTTTCTTTGCAGTGTGCACATCGTCATTCTTGTTATTGCATTGTTTAAGAACTTTTTCTGTTTAGTGGAATTGTCCTGTTGTTAAGTAAAAAGCTTTTCTGATCAGTTGTGGTTTTTTCTTGGAGGGAAGTCTTCCCTTCCACTTTATGAAGGAAACTATCATTTATGGTGTTTATTGTAATTTGTACAGGCATATCCTTGTCAGATTCAGTGGGATGAAATATATGGTGACCCAACCCGGCTGCTTGTTGTTGATATTGGAAGTGGTATCTCTCTTTAACTTTGCTACTTCTATTATACATAAAAAGTTGAGGGACGAAGAATCGATGATGTGGCTATGAATGTGAGACTCACATGAAGAGGTACAAAAAGTAAATGGGAGAGTTCCAATAGCTGATCCCCTGAGAGTTAGCAAATCTTTTCTGTGATTGCAATCTTAACCAGATACCAGAAGACATTAAAGGCAAACAAGTAGTGTTTTTTGAGGAAAATAAAAGGATTCTGGTGAATAGCAATGTTTAGGAGGAGAGTTGTAGTTTCCTGTCTGTTGTATTTACATTGAACGATATAACATAACAAGGGACCCAGGAGTAAAACGTTATGAGTTATGACAGTGGCACTAGATAAAAAAAATTAAGTAATACATTATGAATTTGATGTTGCAAATGATAGGAAACGGATTGTTTCTGTCAAAAATGGCAAGAAAGAGGAAGGATCTGAATTTTCTTGGACTGGAGATCAATGGAAAGGTTTTGTTTTTCTTTCTGGAACTTATCTTTATCCAACACCTGAACGTTGAGTTGAAGCATGCCATCTATTGCTTTGTTTTCAGTTGGTAAACCACTGTCTCGAAGATATTTCTCAATTGGGCATAAAGAATGGGTATGTATTCTTATTCCAGTCCACTGTCAATTTGGTATCCTATGCATGTAAGTGTGGGTTTATCCATTGGCAGAATGTCCTTCACTCTGGATGGTGTGTCTGATAAAGGGAACCAGAGAACAGGATATGTGGATATTAATTCATCAATCTAAATAGAAACAGAAAGAAGTAGTCTTAAAAATTAAAAAATAAAAAAAGGTAACAAAAAAGGGCCCGTATTGGACATCTCTGGATGGTTGTTTCTTAAGACTCTGTTTGGTATGTTTCAGATACTTCATTAGAACAAATGCAACATCAACATTTCGATCCATTGTTTCGAGTTACCCAGGACAAATGACTATGGTCTCGATACAGGTATGTGTAGAAGTTAGTTGTAAAAGTATGTAGTAGCTCACTTCAATTGACCAACCATATGTTGTTCATTTTGCTTAGTGTAATGAAAGCTTGCACCTTTTTGGATTTGTTTACTTGAAACTATTTACCACATTGCAGTATGAGGAGACTCATTCAGCTGGACTCCATATAAATAAATTGAAGAGTGACCTCAAATATGGAAATTTGTGGGCCAGAATTTCATTTCAAGTTCTCAAACTTAATTTAAAATCCATGTATTGGATAGCTATTATGTGCCTGAATGTTTTATTTGTGAATTTTATTGTTTGGAATCAAAAGAATCTGCCGTATTACAGTTGTTCTGATGCTAGATTTCTATAAATAGTGTCCAAATCCTGATTTTAACAAACAAGAAGACCATCGGTGGAGGATGCTTCAAAGGTCATTAGTAGAAGCAATTGTTGATTTGCTTGCTCCAGGTGGAAAGGTACTAAAACATGCTGCCCTCTTGATTTCCCCTCCCTTCCCTCCCCCCCGGCGGAATCTTTGATGTTGTTTAGATCAACACGGTTTTACTTGGTTGCGGCTTTGTTCAGTTTCTCAAACGGTGGTGTAGCTATTTTGTTTGTGATTCTGCTGTAGGCACTGCATCTTATCAGTAATGAGTTTCTAGGATTTGCTAAGGCTTTTAACTTAACCGCTGAACAATTGGTCATTCCTGCAACTAGGTATTTCTTCAATCTGATATAGAAGAGGTTGCAATGCGAATGAAAACTGAATTTATGAAATACGGCAAAGGAAAGCTCAGGGTCATGCACGAGGCGGAATGGCTGGATGAGAATCCATTTGGAGTTCGGTCGGATTGGGAGCAACATGTCTTGGACAGAGGTGACAAGATGTACAGATTGCTTCTTATAAAATCAGCCGATGAGTGCCTCAAGTATTGGGAGCTGGATGGGAAATGCTTAGGCTGATTTTAGTGATTCAGCTGTAAGAATTTCCTGGAGATGACAATTTTGCCTAACAATATTGCGGATCATGTTTAAAAAGATAATCAGGTCAACTTTGTTACATATGTGACTGTTATTTTAGTGACGGTATACGAATAAATAAAATGTGATCTTATGACATTATTATTCTAGTCTTCAAATTATTATTACTAATAGGGGGTGGATTTTTGAAGCCACCGACTTTAGTAGTCAAAGCCACGAAAAAAAAGTTTTGGACCATTTTGCCCCTGTCATTTAACAATATTTATACTTTAATGGTTAAACTCTCGATTTTATATTTACTTGAAAATAAACAAGTAATTAATTTTTACTTGAAAATAAATTTAAGATTATTCGTTAAATTAATTTAATTGAATTGATATTAAAATATAAATTTTACTTCAATCATTATTTTAAAGATAATTTTTAATTAAAATAATAATTATACATTTATAATGAAAAATTATAATTGTACTACAAAGATTGTGATAAATATGTGCAAATAGATTAACTATTTTTTGTAATACAAAGATTGGTGATACTTAATGTAACTCAAATAATAAATTATTCATAAATTTAATGACCTAAAAACTAGATTAACTAATTACAAAAAAAATCTAAAATTTTAAAAAAAATTAAAAATTAAAAAAAACTCGAGACGGGCAAGGAACTCGTTCGGGTGAACAAGTGGAGTTCCTTGCCCGTCCCGGGTTAACTCGGGATGGGTGGACCGCCCGGTCGGCCGGTTTTTTTTTTTTCAAAATTTTTTAAAATTTTTAAAATTTTAAAATTTTTTTTTGTAATTAGTTAATCTAGTTTTTAGGTCATTAAATTTATGAATAATTTATTATTCGAGTTATTTTAATCAAGTTATTTGATTTGAAAAATTGAGAAGAGTAAAATGATCCAAATTTAAAAATGGTGGCTTCAAGTAGTAATCTTAGTGGGTTGAAAAATAAACACCCTACTAATAATCTGGAGGACAGGAACGGTGGAACCTACCACATTATTTTAGGGATTGATCACGTTCCAGTTTAGTGCACTCTTATTTTAGACAAAAAAGGGATGAACAAGTTGCTTGGGAATATACTTGGTGTAATTATTTCTCATCAACACACAACCATAGGATTCTCGTCCCTCTTTCCAAGAGCTATATCTGTAGACTGTAGTGGTAATAAATGCATTTCCTTTACTTTGGATTTTTCCCTTTCTAAAACCAACTGAAATCTCGTACAGATCAGGCTTTATGGGATTATATCCGTGATACTCCTAATAATAAGGTATAGATTTAAGCTAATTTTAGTGTTAATTTTACTTTATATTTATAATTCGATGGAATATAATTTTTTTAATATTGTCACTAGTTTTTACTAGTGCAAGACTCTAGAAGCTCAGTGGATTGTATCACCAAAACAAAAGGAAAAAAAAGAGAGGAAAAACTAAAAAAGAAAGAAAAGATTAAAGAGTGGTCAGCCATAGATTTAGAGGATCGCACGTTTAATTTTGAGATTTCTTTCTGCCCATTTTCCTCCTTAATTACAGCTTTGCAAACAAACCATTCCATCTCCATACCGACAGCAAACAGAAGTAATAACAGTTACATTTGAAAGCTAGTTTATCTACTACAATCACTACTACAAGAATTGTGACCTCTCCAACTTGACTCTTGTCAAGTAGTACAGCAATTCCAGGACCTGATCCAATACGCTTGACTGAAATAGCAATGAGGCTTGTTGCCTGAACAGATTCATGGTGGTAGGGAGATCCAATAACAGAAATGTCAAATTGACAGTGATTTTGGGGGTCGTTGGTGCGTTTCAATCTTGATATGGACCACCAATAAATACTTTAATGGTGCCTTTTTTTGGGTTCCCTCTTCTTTATAAACCGGTGCTTAAAAAGAGATTCCAATTTCCCATTTCCCAACATATGAATTCAGTATACTACTGGCTTAAAGAAAGAAGGAAATGGAGGCCAGTGTTTGTTTCGACCAACCAAAATAAGAAAAACGTTTCACTTTTCCTCCAATTATTGAAATAAGACTCCTTTCCCATCATCTTCTTTGCACAAACAAATCAAATTCATTCCTTTTCTCGAGCTCATCCGTTTAAGGGACGAGGAAAACAAATCATGGCTGGGAACTCCAGAAAACCCCATGCCATAATGATCCCCTATCCTTACCAAGGTCACATAAATCCCTTTGTTCATCTTGCCATTAAACTCGCATCCAAAGGTTTCATCATCACTTTTGTTAACACCCAATCAATCCATCACCAGATCTCCAAAGCCCAGAAAAACAGGGGAAACGAAAACTACGACATTTTCGCCAAAGCTCGTCAATCTGGTCTGGACATACGTTACGCCACCGTCCATGACGGGTTCCCGCTGTCGTTTGACCGGTCCCTGAACCACGACCAGTTCGTGGAAGGTCTAATTCACGTCTTCTCCGCTCACATCGATGAACTCGTCGGGAATTTATTGAATTCAGAATCGGATTCCCCTCCAACCTGCTTGATTGCCGATACCTTCTATATTTGGGGATCTACAATTGCCACCAAATATAAACTCGTCCATGTTTCTTTCTGGACCGAACCCGCTCTGGTTCTCACTCTGTATTATCACCTGGACATCCTCAGGAAAAATGGCCATTTTGCATCTCCCGGTGAGTCAACGGCATGAATTCCCAAATTCAATTCTTTACATTACTATTAAAAAGATTACATTAATTTTTTTCTTCTTTGACAGATAATCGGAAGGATATGATAGATTATATACCGGGGGTGAGAGCTATTGAGCCAAGTGATCTAATGTCATACCTTCAAGCCGATGATATATGGACGGTGGTTCACCGGGTAATTTACAAGGCTTTTGAAGACGTGAAAAGGGCGGACATGATTATCTGCAACACCATTCAAGAGCTGGAGCCCGAAACCATCTCGGCCCTGCATAAGAAACAACCGACATACGCCATTGGGCCCGTTTTCCCAGCTGGATTCACCAAAAGCAGCGTAGCCACCAGTTTATGGTCCGAGTCAGACTGCACTCACTGGCTCAACGACAAACCCGCCGGGTCGGTTCTCTATGTCTCATTCGGAAGTTACGCTCACACCAGTAAAAAAGACATCGTTGAAATCGCCCACGGGCTTTCCTTGAGCGGGTTGAGCTTCATATGGGTTGTTCGACCCGATATTGTCAGCTCCGACGAGACCGATTTCTTGCCACCGGGATTCGAAGAGCAGGTAAAAAACCGGGGTCTGATCGTGCCGTGGTGCCGGCAGATCGCCGTGATTTCACACCCGGCGATTGGGGGATTTCTCAGTCACTGCGGGTGGAATTCGACGCTGGAGAGTATCTGGTGCAGCGTGCCGTTGATCTGTTATCCACTGGTCACCGACCAATTCACGAACCGGAAGTTGGTGGTTAACGATTGGAAGATTGGGATAAATCTGTGCGATAAGGAGTCGATCACGAGGGAGGAGGTGGCGGATAAGGTCAAGTGTTTGATGAACGGTTACATTATGGATGGATTAAGAGCATCAATTAACGAAGTGAGGAAGAAACTGGAGAACGCATTATCGGCAGAAGGGTCGTCTGCGAGGAATTTCGATGAATTTGTGGAGAATATTCAGGCCCAGTCTCGGAAGAAAGCCGGGATCACTGCTAATGGCCATTCGAGCTTAGTGCATTAGCAAAATTACGCTTGATAGTGATATTAGTCTTTTACTGTCCTGTAATTTATTAAAGTAGTATTATATTATAATTCGGACTTTTACTTTGGGACGAATGAATTATTTTTCCGTTGCTGAAAGCATTTCACCAGTACACAGTATACAGTCTTTAAGTGATATCATTTGGTACTTGCCTGTGTTAGTTGTTTGCTAGTTAGCCGATTTTGTGTATAATTTTTTATAGGCAATAAATAATTCTTGTAATATCAAGGTTGAAATAGTTATATTTTGGCGATTGAAAGTAGCATTAGGCCTCATTTTTTCATCAGAAATTATATTCCGGTGATGAAAACTAGAATGTGGTGTCCAATCAAAAATATCAATGATGCTGTTTTGGAACAAGAAGGCCTTGGTGCAGAGTAAGGCCTTGGGTGCCCCAATTCAATTGAAACAAGTGATGCTGTTTTGGAAACCACCACAGCAGGGTTGGCACAAGCTCAATACGGATGGGGCTGTTAATGGGGTGACAGGGGTAGCATCAGCGGGGTGCTATCGGGGACTCGGCGCGGAGATGGTGCGGTGGATTTACTATGAATATTGGTTACTGTACCATAACGGAAGCTGAATTATGGGGCCTTTTCCAGGGGTTGAATCTAGTGTCGGAAAAAGGTTTCGGAAGATTGGAAGCTAAGGTGGATAGCGCTGCCATTGTGAAGATGATAAGTGACAATATTAGGTCTCTGTGCGTGCATGAAGGTTTGTTGCGAGCTATTCGGAAGCTGTTAAATAGGCATTGGAATTACAACTCAACCATTTCAACAAGGAACGCAATTTTGTTGCAGACTATTTGGTATCACTAGCAGCAAAAATCCGGAGAAAGTAACACGTTTGGATTTGCCTCCTTCAGGAGTTTTTTGGTGGCTTAACTACAATTTAATAGATGTATTATATCTTCATATGATTGTAATTTAGGCTGCGATTTAGCCTCCTTTTGTATTAAAAAAAAATGATGATGATACTTCCTAATGAAGATATTGAACTTAAAATTTATAAGCAATTTTAAAATTTGGATAAGGTCCAACAAAATGAACAGCATAATTTGTAACATAAAGATTAAGAACTACATATACTTCACCTATGTTCCTCAATTCAGCAAAACATTGGGGGAAAAAAATTGATGGACGCCAATTATTATTTTCAATATTTTATAGATAACTTTGAAAATAGTTAAAGTCAATGGACCACAATGTTAATTTTGTGTTTTCACAGCTACAGCCTTACAGGTCTTCACTCGTCCGCTTCTCCGGTCGAAGTCGTCTAAATCCTAATTCTCCATTTACAATCAATCCACCGTCCCCAACCCAAGCCACCGGTGCACCGCAATTTCCACCACCATTTGCTTCAGAGGTTTGTGTTTAATTGTCCTTACATCTGTTCCGTTTTCTTTTGAACTTAAATGTAACAGAAAGATCACATAATTTTGAGCAACTCGTGCCTGTCGGATGCTAGTGATATTAGGGGTTTTTCTTCCCAAAATAAGAAGCAAAATGATTACTGTAAATGTGTTGTTTTTTATTTCACCGTCCGCTCAGAGGTTAGCTTGATTAAGATGCCTAGAGCAACTTTGTTTTCTGCTATGCGATTATTGTTTTTGACGAGTCCAGAGCAACTTTGTTTCTTCCTAGATGAAGTGTATTTCGACTATTATTTCAGATTAGGCAAATAATTCGACGTTCTGAAATGCTTTGTGAAATCAGCATTGACGATTGCATGCCCTTTTGATGAACTTTTCTTAGTATGTTAGTTCCATCTTTTTTTTTTATTACAAAAAAAAAAAAAAGGATGGAAACTAACATACTAAGAAAAGTATGTTACTAAGAAAAGTATGTTAGTTCCATCTTTCACAAGGCATATTTTGTATCTTTTCAAATGAGTGCATTCTTTGCATTTCTAGTTCCCGTGTCAGTAGTCAGCTAAGCGATTGTTCCCGTTTAGTTTGCAATGTTGTCCAAAAATCAGTGAACTGTAAGTAGTTCAGGCTGAGGTATGGTATGCCCTAGGTTCAACTCAACCCTGTTTTGTAACTCCAATCTGTTTTCATTACGTATTGATATTTTGTTGCTTTAATAAACATCACTCAGCTTTTGATGGGCTTGCTAATCTTTGTTCCTGTGACAGTTTCAGTTTGTAAGGATTAGGTAGCAAAAATGCCGCTTGGTCTGATTCAAGCATTAGGAAGATCGATATATAGGAGGAAGCGCACATCTTCGCTTGACATTCTCACTTCCAAAAGGGGTCCTCGGGATTATTACAAGGGGAAGAATTGCAAGCCCACTGGTTTTCACACCCGCAAAGGTATTATGTTCAGTTGTTTGTCTCTATCTATGTGCCCGTGTGTGCTTGTGCTCGTGAAAGTGTTTGTGCCCTCCGTTTTCTTTGACCAATTATTATAAGCTTTTTTTTTTTCTTTTTTCTTTTTTTTTTTTTGGTACCTAATGAAGATTTCTCCATTGATGAGTCCCTTTAATTCAAAAAGGGCATCTCAATTGTGGATGTATATATGAGAGGAAGAAGGGTTTGTACATTAATATTTTTATGAACTTTGGACTTCTTTATTGTGCATGAGTTTGGGGCTATCTTATGTAGGTGGTAATTATTCTACATAGCCTGTTGATCCTTTATATATCTTGTTGTAGGTGGTTATGTTGTTGTGCCGGAAAAACTCCCAAATTATGTTGTTCCAGATTTGACAGACTTCAAGGTGAGTTGAAGCAGTGTGTCATATTTCATACTCTTTTGATACGAGGAAATGTAAAATAAGAATGGTACTCTTAAATGATCATATCCTTCGCAGTGTGGCATATGTAACCTGTGCATGTAGTCCTGTTTAATTTAAGAGTAGCTGAATGTTATCACATGAGAATCAGCTAATACCACAGTGAGACTAGGATCTTATTATGCCTTTTTGATGAGAGACAATGTTATCTATCACTGTTTGTTGATTGATCTTTTTCTTTCAAATGGATGTTTGAGTCGTTTCTATTGCATAGTGCATTCTGATGTAGCTATTAGTTATTCGAACTGCAGATGAAATAGGTCTCATTCTTTTACTTTAAAACACAACTTCGAAGCTGACGCCTTGTATCTCTGTTTTGGTGGATAATTTACGTTGGTTAGGAAAGACACTTAAAATGGGTTACACTCCACAATGGTTCTTTTAAATAGATCTTTAGCATCTCTGTCAAAGAATGCATACTTCTTTGGTAATGCGAAGGTCATGATCCTCAAATTTGCTGAATGTATTTGCAGTCTTCGGTGCTATTGATTCATGAAGACAAGTCTTAAATAGATTTTTAGGATCTCTGTTGAAGAATGTATTCTTGTTTGGTTATATGGAGGTTGTGATTGTCAAATGAGAATGTATTTTTAGTCTTCCACGATATTGATTCAAGAATATGAATGATTGATTCTTTGTGCGTGAAACAATTCAATCAACTTTGTTTTCAATTCTATATTTGCTCCATCCTTCTTACATACCGGCTGACCATGTTTCTTTTGCAGCTAAAACCGTATGTATCTCAGTGCCCAAGAGAAGTTACAGCCACCGAGGCAGCTGATTCTTCCAAATAACATCTCCATGCTAAGCTTTTTTGATCAATTTATATGGTTATGCATGTGTAGGCAGTATTAGTTCTTAGTTTGATATGATCATAACCTGTTTTCCCCTGGGTTGTAGAACAATAGTTGATGCGCATCATGGTCGAATGCCCCGGTTTGTTATTGTAGGGTTTAAAATGTGATCCCGGGAGGTGTATCTATCCAGTCCTGAATAAGCTAGACTCCTTATGGACCTGGTAGTGGATGGATTTTTGCAGCTGGTAGAATATTGCAGCAAAAATATGGAATTGTGTCTTTGTCTTTGGGATACCTTTTTGTACCTTGAGTAGAAGTTAAAGTATAGGATCTGCTTTTGTGTTTTTGGATTCTATGAAAATAAGATTTCATTGTGTGCCAGTGCTGTAAAAGAAGGATGATTACATGAGCAATGATGTTCTAAACTCTAAAGAAAGAACTTAGTTGCCAAGTTTATAATCATCATCAACCAGAACTTTAGGATATTTGGGATTTTTGTAGAAGATTCACTGCTAAAATATTGTTAGTTAACTGACATATTCTCGTCTTCTTAATTTATCTTTCCTCAACTCACGCAATTATGTACTTGGGGTTCAACGCGGTGGATGGGCCGTTCAGTTCTGGACGCAAAATATATGTGCACATTTTAGCATTATTAGTTTATTTCTGTTTTGGGTGATATGAACACAATAATTTTGGTTGTGGCTTTGGGACATTCTAGAATTACGAATTACTGGTGAAATTTTTATTAACATAAACAATAGCCCTAAATGGAATGCAATTTATTATTTATCAGTTCAGATTGTGCGATTCCAGAATGTTCTAATGTGAAAAATGCAAAGATGTACGTTTTTTTAAAGATTTTTATCAAAGAAAATAGCTATAATTTGGGAAAAGTGCAGACTGCAGAGGTTAAAAAAGGGAATGATAAACCCTTTTAAGGTAAGTACCAAAAAACTGCCTGGAACAGTAAAAAGGGTCGGTCAGTAATAACTATTGGAGTGGGAATGCTGAAAGAAAAAAAAAAAAAAGAATTCGTCTACAGTAGCGAGAAAAACAAATTAAAGAAGCAAAGCACAAAATAAAAAATAGAATTTGGAACAAAAAAGCCTTTCTTTTCCTACAAGAAAACCGATAAAATTACCCTATTTAATAACCCCCAATCTCCCAGATCTCCCCCACCACTTCCCCATTTCCACAGAAATTCCGATTGTTTTCTCTTCTTTTTTCCCGATTTCAATTCCGGCGAACTGTACCGGTTAATCGATTCATCCAGTCATGAGTAACCAAGCTGAATCGTCCGATTCGTAAGCCCTCTTCCACCTTCCTCTCATTGGTTTCCAGATCTCTCAATCAGGAATAACTAGAACCGTATACTAATTTTTCTGTGTCATTCTTATTCTCGTGTTATGATTCGCTAGTTTCTGATTTCTTTTTTTGTGGATTGAATGCTGTGTACAGGAAAGGTACGAAGAGGGACTTTAGTACGGCGATATTAGAGAGGAAGAAGTCCCCTAATCGCCTCGTGGTGGATGAGGCAATTAACGATGACAATTCAGTTGTCGCTATGCACCCAAATACTATGGAAAAGCTCAACCTTTTCCGTGGAGACACCATCTTGATTAAGGTTTTTATCACCCTTTCCCATCGAGGGTTCTTAATTTTTAATTTTTTAATTTTTTTTTTTGTTTCTAATTGTAATACGCTGAATGAACTTTATTTTTTTAGTGATTAATCGTCTGATTGTGTTCTGCACTTCGAATGGGTACTGAGAATTATGGACTATTTGGTTGTTTTGTTATTAGATCTGTGGTTAGCTATCTGTGTTACTCTTAAGATTTGATATTTTTAGACTAGGTTATTGGTAAACTACACAGAAGAGGCTGTATATGATATTCCTTTCAGAATTATATATTACTGCCTAAGCAGTAGTGTTTTGCCTCAGGAATTGTATTTTAGAGGGTATCACATGTTGCCGGACTTCTGATGTTTTTGGTTGAATTTTGGGAAATTCTAATTCTTTTATGTTTCTGATGGGGGTGAACAGGCAAATTTAATCCTTTTTTCCTTCTCTTTTACATTTTGCGGTACATAGTGTCCTCATTGACTCATCTTGTGTCAACATTACTTAGGCTTTGTTATTTTTGTGTTTCTGGAGCTGTAGTTTGATTTCTATTGTGGTTTAGAGTCTTCAGTGTGCACTGTGCTGCATTATCTTGTGAAATATATTAATTGACATCTAAGACAATTCAGCAGTTGTTTTTGTGTTTTCTTCGGGATCTTGTTGTCTGTATGTTGTCTGTATGTGACTCTGTTTTATTTTCGCTCTACAGGGAAAGAAAAGGAAAGACACTATTTGCATAGCCCTTGCTGATGAAACTTGTGAGGAACCAAAAATTAGGATGAACAAGGTTGTCCGAGCTAACCTTAGGGTTAGGCTTGGAGATGTTGTTTCAGTACACCAGTGTCCTGATGTCAAGTATGGGAAGCGTGTCCACATCCTTCCCATTGATGACACTATTGAGGGGGTTACCGGAAACCTTTTCGATGCCTATCTGAAACGTAAGTGTGACATTAAACCTGAACTTATATCTCTGCATTTTGAATTGTGCTGTTTCTTTTAATCGGTCAAGCTGCTCAACTGAATAATTAGTGTTTTCTGCTTTATGAAACTGTGTAGATATCCCCATCGGTTTAATTAGCTTCATTTTATCGATGGATTATGTGCAAGCCTGATTCGATTAGAGAGTTCATATTCAGTGGCTTTGAACGGTGAAGCATTATACTGAACCGAGTGAATTTGTGAATTTCTTGCATGCAAACTGTTACTCTTTGTCATCCTTTTGATATTGCTTGGTTGTCTCTGGTGTCCAGTGGTTGTTTTTGAGAAATAAATTTTGAGGGCTTAAATTTGGGTTCATTTTTTAATTATGTTGCTGTATATCTTTGATCTCATCTACTTGATTACTACTACAACCTGTCTTTTCTGATTCAATTCTAATCGATGTTGAACTTGGTTCAATTTATTTTGAATTCTGCTGTTTTTATGTCTCATCTTAATTCTTTTTGCAGCCTATTTCTTGGAGGCATACCGTCCCATCAGGAAGGGTGACCTTTTCCTTGTAAGGGGAGGAATGAGAAGTGTAGAATTCAAGGTGATAGAAACCGACCCTGCTGAATATTGTGTGGTTGCCCCTGATACAGAGATCTTCTGCGAGGGAGAGCCAGTGCGGAGGGAGGATGAAGATCGTTTGGATGAGGTTGGTTATGATGATGTCGGAGGAGTTCGTAAGCAAATGGCCCAAATTCGTGAACTGGTGGAGTTGCCTTTGAGACACCCCCAGCTCTTTAAATCAATTGGTGTGAAGCCTCCAAAAGGAATCTTGCTCTATGGTCCTCCAGGTTCAGGAAAGACCTTAATTGCCAGAGCTGTGGCTAATGAGACTGGTGCTTTCTTCTTCTGTATCAATGGACCAGAAATCATGTCAAAACTGGCAGGAGAAAGTGAAAGTAATCTTAGGAAAGCATTTGAGGAAGCTGAAAAGAATGCACCATCCATCATTTTTATTGATGAGATTGATTCCATTGCTCCCAAGCGTGAGAAGACAAATGGGGAAGTCGAGAGAAGAATAGTCTCTCAACTTTTGACTCTTATGGATGGACTCAAGTCCCGTGCTCATGTTATTGTTATTGGTGCTACAAATCGTCCCAACAGCATTGACCCTGCCCTCAGAAGGTTTGGGAGATTTGATAGAGAAATAGACATTGGTGTTCCAGATGAAGTTGGTCGTCTTGAGGTTCTTAGAATCCACACGAAGAACATGAAACTTGCTGAAGATGTAACTTCAATTTTCCCTAGACTTATGTTTGAAGTTTGTTTTTCCCATCTTCAGTTAAATTTTATGTTAGATGACATCTGATCCTTTGTTCTCAGGTGGATTTGGAAAGAATTTCCAAGGACACACATGGTTATGTGGGGGCTGACTTGGCAGCTTTGTGCACTGAGGCTGCTCTCCAGTGCATTAGGGAGAAGATGGATGTGATAGATTTGGAGGATGATTCTATTGATGCAGAGATACTCAACTCCATGGCGGTTACCAATGAGCACTTTCAGACTGCTCTTGGGACAAGCAACCCCTCTGCCCTGCGTGAAACGGTAAGAGTAATGTTCCATTTGGTAATGAGAGATTTGGTAATAGTCAGTGGTTGCAAGTGGCTAACTAATTTCCCATTGGAGATCAGGTGGTTGAAGTTCCAAACGTCAGCTGGGAGGATATTGGTGGCCTTGAGAATGTCAAGAGAGAACTTCAGGAGGTAGTTATATTATTTAATTAATCAATCAAGCCTTCCTGATTTTAGGCCGTATTTTGTTTTTGTCACCTTGGCTTAACACCTTTCTTGCCATGTTGTGTAGACTGTCCAATACCCAGTCGAACATCCTGAGAAGTTTGAGAAGTTTGGCATGTCCCCTTCCAAAGGAGTTCTCTTCTATGGACCACCTGGATGTGGTAAGACTTTGCTTGCCAAGGCCATCGCCAATGAGTGTCAAGCCAACTTTATCAGTGTCAAGGGACCTGAGTTGCTTACCATGTGGTTTGGAGAGAGTGAGGCCAATGTCAGGGAGATTTTTGACAAGGCTCGGCAATCCGCTCCTTGTGTCCTTTTCTTTGATGAATTAGATTCAATTGCTACTCAGGTATATTTCGCTTTCAAGTTATGGTTGTGATTCCCTTGTATCTGCACCAAACTTACTATCAAATATGATATCATGCAGAGAGGAAGTAGTGTAGGTGATGCTGGAGGTGCTGCTGATAGAGTATTGAACCAACTTCTTACTGAAATGGATGGAATGAATGCAAAGAAAACTGTTTTCATCATTGGCGCCACAAACAGACCAGACATCATTGATCCTGCGCTTCTGAGGCCTGGGAGACTTGATCAGTTGATTTACATTCCCCTCCCTGATGAGGATTCTCGTCACCAGATTTTCAAGGCATGCCTTAGGAAATCTCCTGTTTCTAAGGATGTGGACTTGAGAGCTCTAGCCAAGTACACCCAGGGCTTCAGTGGAGCTGATATTACAGAGATATGCCAACGGGCCTGCAAATATGCTATTAGAGAGAATATTGAGAAAGTAAGTGCATTGTATTTATTCGTTTCTTGTGGTTTGTAGAATTCCTCTCTCCTCTTCTGGACATGAACTGATATGTTGTTTCTGGTGCTCAACAGGATCTTGAAAGAGAGAGGAGGAGAAGAGATAATCCAGAGGCGATGGAGGAGGATGTTGAAGATGAGGTTGCTGAGATCAAGGCTGCTCACTTCGAGGAGTCAATGAAGTTTGCCCGTAGGAGTGTGAGTGATGCCGACATACGGAAGTATCAGGCATTTGCCCAAACTCTGCAGCAGTCTAGAGGATTTGGCTCTGAATTCCGATTTGAAACTAGCACCACTGGGGCTGCAGCTGCTGATCCGTTTGCATCCTCCGCGGGTGGAGCCGATGAAGATGACCTTTATAGTTAGGTTGTCATCAGTACCCCTATTTATTCTTGGCATGTTGAATGATAAGTTAAAAGTACTATTGTATCTTATTGACATTAATTTGGTGTACAATGGGGGCTAAGGAAGCTTTACATGGGATAATTTATTTAGCAGCTAATCACTTTGATTAGGCTTTTGCTAAACCATTTATTGTCTTTGACTGGTTGATATCAGACAGTTTCCATTGTACTCTCTTATCTCGTTAACATTTGGAACATGGAGATACAATAGTCATATTTTAAGTTATAACTGTGCACCTTGGTCTTTATCTATGTTGTTGGATGGATATAGGTTAAAGTGATATGTTTCATGGACGTGAACGAATTACTGGGGAAACAAAACAGCCAGCGTTTTTCTGAAAAACGGGAACTGCATGCAGTTGTAGGGTTGGCTTTCTGTGGATTTTGCTTTCTAACGAAGGAAGAAAATGGAGAACACCATAGTTTCTGTGTCAGGCTTCTGCGCTATCCTTTCTGTCCGCTTGGAGTTAAATATCCATCTCTCTGTGGTCTCTCCCTTGTAGATATAATGGTCAAAATTGGACCCAAAAAATGCCTTTGGTATATTATTGTCGTCCGAGGTATTTGGGTTGTTGGGGAAGTGCATCGTGGTGGGTAGGCCTGACTTCAGCAATGGAGTTCTGTCAGTTTTGGGATGGGATTAATGCAAAATGATGCTTGGCTGGACGACATTATCGCAGATTATCTTCATCTAGGTCTTCAGAGACTTAGCAGATATTCACATGGGGATAAAGAACGATCGATCATTCCAGAGGCTGGGCCATCTTTTGTCTTAAAGACTCTCATTAAAACCTAAACCTGCAGCGGGAGCTTCTTCGCACCAAAAAAATTTAAGATTTCTGCAGATAGTCCTTGTGTGTTTTTTTTTTCAAGTTCACACTTAATTCAGCCATCATACCACTAGTTTCTAACTTGAACCCCGTAAATTTTATAAGGTTAATTAATTAAAACTTATGCTTGAGTCGATTCTACTATTGCAGGATCCACGAAAAAATAAGTTATTAGGTACCCGACACACCTAATCAGTCAGAAAAATCCCTTGATTTGATCAAGATTCATGGATAGCAAAGAAGAAAGCTGCCAATCTTGACTAACATTTCAACCATCACTACATCAAACTGTGTCCCTTTTTCGCTACTGAAACATATAAACGAAAAGAAGTAGGTGATCATAAAGAGAAGAAGAAGATCATCTAACAAAAGAAGCACATATATTGAAAGCTTGGTTAGTTTAAAGTTTGAACTGTACTGTGTCATCAATGCATCACATCACAATTTACATATACTTCGGGGACCCCATGGAAACGCACACGCGATCCCGGTCAAAATTATATTAAAGCCCTTAAAGTCACTCTAGCTAACACAGTAGTAGAAAGGAACTTAGCTAGGGTCTGGAAATGCGGGGGAACATGATGCATGTTTCTCAAATTAAGGCAACCAAACTGAGGCCAGTTTTATATAATAAAAGTAAAAATCGTTTAAAATTAAAAAAAAAAGGCTTTATCTAAGTATAATAACAAATTGTAAAAGGAGGTGAGGGAATGAAAATATAATGTTGATTAGACTTATAACCCAAGCTTTTTAGCTGGAAGAATATCGACAACTTCACATGATGGCTGATGCAAAAGAGAAATATGAATCGGCTAATGTGTCATAGTTTCATAATTGCTCCATTTTACTTTCTTTGCCCTACTAGTCTATACTCTATAATCTATATCTTTTGCATTCAAAAAAAAATCAACCCAAACCGAAATCCATTGTTCATCCGCTTATCCACATATACAAATAATGCTTTCTAGTCTTTTCTTTGATGGAATAATTGCTTCGTGTTTTGTCCATATACATGTATTGAATTGATTAATCTAAGCAGGAAAAAAAAAGTGGGGAAGCATAACTGTTGAGGAAATTAAAATTACAATTCACATATCAAACACGCACGAGTACTATTTCTAAACAGCTTCCACAATTTGTCCTTGCAGCTAATGCTACCACTTCAGTCCCACATCATTTGACTGTCAAAACTCGAAAGAACCTTCTTAAACCTATACTCCTTGGTTTTCCCTTTTAAATAGTTTATTTCGTTGAATTAAAATAATAGTACTTTTTTGTCTCAAAATTATTATTTAATTTAAATTTTTATTTTTAATACAAATTAAACTAAAACAAAAATTCAAACTAAACAATACTTTCGGGACGGAAGGAACATAAGACGAGAGAGTATTTGTTAATAGGAAACGACATACAGTCTTGTGCCGATTTAGGTGACGGAAAGAGATCCTCTGATCATGCGAGCAGCATAAATTACTTGAAACAGACACAACTTGCATTACATAGAGTTCTTTTTTCGGGGGTATAACATGTAGAATATTGCACCTTATTCAAAATGGTATAGAAAACATGAGATTTTTTTTTTTCCTTAGTGAATAGAAAATCAATCAGTACAATGTATAGTATAGTAGTGGTACGTACCACAATGAACATGTTGTGTATCATGTCCTGTCTTATTATTTCTGCTTTCAATCTTTTCAGGGGAGCACATTGGTACCCTACTACTCATACCTAGCTATTGCCTAGTCTGATTCTACTGATCTCTTCCAGCGTCGATCCCAATACCTATGTTTTTGGTAAACAACCAAGTTGTTTCATTTCATTTTCTTCCTCCTTTAAGCTTTAGGCTTAATTAAGTTTAAGGGCCACTTCGATTTTTAAACTACCAAATATCCTCTTCCAATTTTGCAATTTGTACCGCTTTTTCGTGGCAAATCAATGTAAGCATTGTACCTAACCTGTTGAGAAAAATTATCGAGATTATCAGTCTTTTATAATCACCATCTACAAAATATCACTGTCTCTATTTTGCTATTTTATCACGTATTGTGTTCTCGTTTACAGAACTAGCCAAGCAACTGACCGAGGTCTTTTTTTGCACTTTTCTACCATCATGAATACCTAAAATATCTTTTTTCTCTCGATTCAGTAATAAATTAATCACGGAAGGCTATCCAATAATGCATCTCTGCTTTGCAAAGGGCTAATTAACTCTCTAATTACTTTAGAGCTCTACATTCCATCCAAGGCGTGGGACTTAATGGAAAACAGAAGATGATTGATTTGTAGGTAAATGTTTTTTTTTTCAAAAAAAAAGACCATTTATAGGAAGATGTGGAAACAAGTAAGCCATATATGTGTATATTCAATGATCATGAGCTGGGGAGACTAGATAGGATGGGATTGGATAGTACGTACGGTGTTCTTCGGGTGTTGTTTTTTGACACTTGAGGCTGTGTCTGTGTCTGTGTGTGTGTGTGTGTACCCCAGCCCACAACCACACATGCGGGCAACCCATCTTCAATTTTGAGTCAAATCTGAATCTACTCCCCGATGAGAAACTCTGTAATAGGGTTAAAAAAAAAAAAAAAATTAATAGCAGGCCAGCTTAAATAAGTGTCATTGCACCATTTTCTTGACCTTTCGCACAGAATGAATTCTCTCTAGCTAGCATTTCTTCCTATACCCACTGCAAGCCAGTCAGGATCGCACGTGTTGAAAGTTTCTTTTTGCTCATTTCTTTCTTCACCAAATCTACTTCTTCCCCGGTAGAATATACATGGGGAGAGAATCGCATTTTGGCGTTTGTGAAATCTGAACTCTGTAACTTTTTTTTTTTATTGATGTCGTGAACGCCTTAATCAGTTGATTACTGAAAAGAGTGAACCTCAAAACAAGTCATCAATCTTTAATATATTTTCACTTTAGGTCATCAATTAAATTTATTTGTAGCACAGATTACCTTACTAAAGTTTTAATTCATTTCAGATCATTCTGTTAATTTTGACCGTTATTAGTGACGGAAATCCATTTTTCACATGCTTTTGGGTTCAGGGGTATTTTTATCATTTTATTATTATTTTTTTTAATTTTTTAAATTTTTAAAATTTTTTTTTTACAATTTTTCTTCTTATACTTCCTAACTTGTATACACTGGTAGTACAATTCTAAATTTTAAAAATTTATTTTCCTTTTGTATTTTAACTTCTAGATTATAAAAAAAAAAATTTAAAAAAAATTAAGAAATGAAGAAGAAAAATTCGAGTTAAAGTAAATATGAAAATTAATAATTTAACATTTTAAACAAAAATAAAAACTAAAAGAATTAGCTAAGACAAGTTATTTCTTCTAGGTTATTTAATTTTTTTCAACTCGATTGAATTATTTAATTATTAATTTTCACGTTTCTTATTCCTTTTTTTTATAATCTAGAAGTTAAGATACAAATGAAAAATAATTTCGTTTTTGAAAATTAATTTTTTATTTGTATATTAACTTGTAGATTATTAAAAAAAAAGGAATAAGAAACGTGAAAATTAATAATTAAATAATTCAATCAAGTTGAAAAAAATTAAATAATCTAGAAAACACAACTTGTCTTAGCTAATTATTTTAATTTTAATTTTTTTAAAAAATTTTAAATTATTTATTTTCATGTTTACTTAAACTCGAATTTTTCTTCTTCATTTCTTAATTTTTTTTAAAAAAAATTTTATAATCTAGAAATTAAAATACAAAAGGAAAATAAATTTTTAAAATTTAGAATTATACTACTAGTGTGTACAAGTTAGGAAGTATAAGAAGAAGAATTGTAAAAAAAAAAATTAAAAATATTTAAGAAATAAAAATAATAATAATAATAAAATGACAAAAATACCCCTGAACCCAAAAGCATGTGAAAAATAGATTTCCGTCACTATTTAACGGCCAAAATTAACAGAATGATCTGAAATGGATTAAAACTTTAGTAAGGTAACCTGTATTACAAATAAATTTAATTGATGACCTAAAGTAAAAATATATTAAAGGTTGATGACTTGTTTTGAGGTTCACTCTACTGAAAAATGATGTAATTTTCAAAAGGGCCCCCAAAAATGGTACAAGAAAAAGTGAAAAGAAGAGCGGGGCCGCACGAGTGGGAGCTCAGAAAAGGCCCTGCAGAGTTGTGAAGGACTTCCAAAAAGGATTCTCGCTGTCGGCTATTCCTACTGCTACACTTACTCCAAACTTGTTTCTCCACAATTTCAATCAATCAATACTACTAATTTTTTACTTTACACAACAACCTAGTAACATTTTTTTTTTCTTTTTTGTTTTCACACTTCACTTCATAGTAGTTAATGCATCTGTTCTTCTTCGTCTCAAAAATAATAGTCCTGTTTTGTTGAGGAACCGCGAGAGAGAGAGGGGGTATGCTTTTTGGACGGTGTAGTGTAAAATACGCTGATTGCTCGATGCATCTTTGATTTTCTCTAATCAAAGAAGAAACAGGCTCAAACACCAGGCCCCTGGTGGTGGGATTATGAATTCCAGTTCAAATCTAAATGTATTGGTCTAATAATGAGGAAACATAAGGCCCTCACGGTGGGATTTGTTTTCATTTAAGTGTTCCATTTAACACTCTGAAAAAAAATCAAGGTAGTATGCTATAATTAATTGCTTGGTCTAGCGAATCGAAAACGACCCCTTTTGGGAGTGGTCGCCTAAATGTTCTGCTAATGCTCTTTTTATAGGCTTTTAGGAACCCATAATAATTGAATGGAACGACAATTGGATGCATGGACAGATTGGTGGTTGGGTAACCAATCAATCATACAATACAAAGTCGGTTACTGCTTTTAAACTCGGCATTTTCATATTTCATCTTACGTTCTTCATAACTGATAAAGACAAACTCCAAAACTACTCCCATGTTATATGTAATTGGAAAATTTTGAAAACAGAGATTTGACATTGACCCTGTTTTTTGCTTCATTAAAAGAAACAGATGAAAGTAACATGATTTTAAGCTATCTTAAGCTATAGACGTTTCTGAAAATAAGAATAATGTATTGTGTTTAAGTTAAACTAATAATGCTCTTATTAGCCCCGACAATGATTTTACAACCTAAAACCTAGTACACACGTGATTGCTTTGGAGCTCAGAACAACATCATCAGCTATGAAGAAACAATTAATGTAGCCTCAAAACAGCAAGTTATAACTAAATGGCTCACTAATCAGTTGGACTAGCTAGCTAATTGGCCTGTTTGAGGATCTAAATTAAGAAACACCGAAAACTCACATCAACGTGAGAGTAACATGATTTTACATAGGAGAGATGATATACGATTGAAACATGACTATTGGATGGAGATGCATGGCATCTTTTTATTATTTTCTTTCCCTGTGCATTTTAGGACAAACAACAGTGACTCTTTAACAGTTATAAACTTCAACAACAGAAAACCTAGTGCAAAAAATACGCATAGGCGAAGAAGATCTGCAGTACCTTAATTATAAGAGGTGAATGACATGATTTAGGAAGTACTTCCCAAAAATGAAGCATATTTGCATAATAATCATTATACATAAATGGTTCTCTGATATAAATGTATACATATATATATAAAAACCCCAAAATGGATAACCGAGTAACGTACCTTTAACATGGCCTGGTTGTGAGTGGCCTAAAATATATATAGGCTCTCTCTCTCTCTCTCAAGCATTGGGAATGGAAGTACTGATGTCTGATGTTAAAAAAAGAAGAATGTCAAAATTCTGTGAGGCCAAAAGAAGCAAAATCTGAAACCAAGGGAGAAATCCCAATTCAGGGTTGTTTCTTTTTTTTCTTCTTTTATGCATTCATTCATGATTGAAGTGTTCTTACAGAAAACAACCCTTTCTTCACCAGAGAGCAACTAGCAGCAGCAACAGCTACAACAAATCGTTTTGACAGACTAGCTAGCTAGCTAAGCTAGGCACCTTACGGAAGTACACTCTACTTTTATCATATGATTCACTAAAATATTTATATATATATATATATATTGATGAATCATATGACATAAATGCACTAATTAATCATATAATATGTAGGATTTGATCTCTAAGGATCATTGCGCTCGTGCCAACAGATAAGCATCATGACGCAACGCCTGACAATGTAGAACTTTGCTCTCTGCTTTTTAGCCAATAATCTGCATTTCTCTTTCAGGGATTTGTTGTTGTTGGATTCTTGGCTGTTCTGAATAATATTGCTGCTGCTGCTGCTTGAATGAGAACTTCCTCCTCCTTCCATCTATCATATATCCTCACTCTTTCAGCTTATTTCACCTGATAAGTCTTTTCCTTTTTGCTTTCTGGTTGGTGACAAGTTGATAGAATATACTTAAAAAAAAAGAAAAACACTTTTTGTGTTTTTCACTGTAGTTAATAATAATGCAGCAATGGTGATGAGTAGAAGAGTGATATGAAGATTGAGGATACTACTATATGGTAGTAGTGGTTGTCACTGTTATTTATAGTGGTACTTTTGGGTTGACAGATTTCTATAAATTAATCTTGGGATTTGGGTTTTGGAGGATGGCATCTTGTAAGACAAAAGAGTAAAAGTACGAACTTGATGGAGAGCATTGAAAAATATAGGCCGAAACAGCGCGCTACCAGTATCATTGGAGTTATTACACTGATTGGGGTAAGCATTTATACCTAACTTACCTTCATGTAAAATTTTAACCTTTCTCAAGGAAGAAAAAAAAAAAAAGAACTTGTTTGTGTAAGTTTTTCATTTCTTTCTTTGCGTGGGAGATGTCTCATTTGTCTTTTGGTGATATTTTTGGGATGGTTTTCTTCCTTTTTACTGCAAACCAACCGGGTTGAATCGTTTTCACGCAATACCACAATAGTACACTCTTACTATCTATCTGTATCTGAAAAGAAGACAAATTTTGTATACAGTACTATCACTCACGTTGATTTTCATAATTACCAAATTTCTATTCTCTCTTCCCTGCAATATCTCAGTGAGCCAAACTGCCGAACGCATCATCATCAATGGAACCATGGAAGTATCCAAAAAATCCTATGGATATGGATGGCAATTTGTTTAACCTTTTCACCCTTGTTCTTTTTCTGGGAAGTGAACTTAAAGAACTCTTAGTACATTTTGCACATTCATAACTCATTCATTTTTCACTTCCGCAAGCAACACAGTTAAAATGAGAGTGTGTTGTATGTTCATCAAGATCCATTGCATGTGGTCAATTTCTGTGTCATAACTCACAACAATATAGCCTGGTTTATTAAGCTGACGCGACAAACACCGCATGTGTGACACAATTAGTGTATTTGTTACGTTATGAAAAATGTAATTATGAAGGATCGATATACAACACAACCAGATCATGAGAGGCGCAATCAATTACACTAAAGCTTGCTGAAACGTGTAAGGGCTCGGAGAAAAGATTTTCCAAATATTGAGTAGCTGTTGTCAAACCCGGTTAAATACTTTATGAAATGACCGAAGTAACGGAAAATATAGCTAGAAGAGCAATTTCAATTGCAATCTCAAAAATGCCTCTACAGACTCAATTCATTATTTCGAGAAAAGGAATGAACGAACATAAATAAAGTAGAAGTACGACTAAAAGAAATAAAAGGGATATTGAAAAATGGCTCCATAATCCATTACTTATTAGTGGCAAGTTGCAGGCGGATTTGGGCTTTTGAGCGCTCGAAGTCCGAAGTATTAAGGTGCTTCTTGGGCCAAGTTCTGTGATTTTATTACTATGATCTAATATTGTTTCTAGATGCAAAAGTTCTGGGAACAAAACGAGTGAATTTCAAATTGCTGAGTTGGCTTTCGTTTCTCATCTCTCCCTAGAGTTTCCGATGTCCAAATTTTTCAACACTGTCAAACGGGTGTTCCCGGCGACTTCAAAAACGCACCAAGACATTGCCGATTTTATCTCCAATGCCTTAATTTCTTCTCCCTATAATCCCCTGCAACTCTCATCCATTACTCATCTTGATCCCAAAGTAATTCATCTCGTCCTCACCAACCCACGAGTCCCGCCGCAGAGTTGCTTGCGCTTTTTCAAATTCATCCAAACGAACCCATCATTAATTTCTGGCTACAAACCCATTCTTCAATCCCACGTTGCGTTGGTCTTGCGCTTGTTTGAAGCCAGAAAATTTGGCGAAGCCAAGTCTGTATTGAACGCCGTTGTGACCACCGATGATTTGAGATGCCCCCTTTCGGAATTGGCATCTTTGGTGAGCAGAGAATCTCTGGAATCCAAAATTGTTGAGACGCTGTTTGATATGTTGTTCAGGGTTTATGCTGATAATAAGAAGTTTAAAGAGGGGTTCGAGGTCTTTGATTACATGGTAAATAATGGGTTATCCATTGATGATAGATCTTGCATAGCAGTTTTACTCGCTCTCAAGAGATGTCGTCAGTTTGAATCATTGTATGCATTGTTTAGGAAAATGGTTGAGGCCAATGTCAAAATTACCGTCTATTCAATGACAATGGTGATTGATGGTCTCTGTAAAATAAAGAAGATTGATGAGGCCAGAAAGGTTTTGGATGAAATGTTGGGGAAAGGAGTAAAGCCAAATGAATATACCTATAACACGTTGCTGGATGCATATATAAAGAGCATGGACGCTGAGGGAGTTGAAGAAATCTTAAAGGCAATGCAGAGGGATGGAGTTGGCTTCGATGTGACCACTTACACGCTTTTGATTGATGGGTCGAATAGTATTGAATATGCAGAGAAGCTGTTCGATGAAATGCGCGAGAAAGGCTTACCGGCTGACGTTCATGTGTACACTGCAATGATAAGTAGGTATTGTAAGGCCGGGAATATGAGGAAGGCATTTTATCTGTTTGATACGTTGGTGGAGGAAGGTCTTGTTCCAAGTGTTCACACCTACGGGGCCTTGATCAATGGGGCATGCAAAGGTGGTCAGATGAAGGCAGCAGAAATTTTACTCGGCGACATGCAAAGCAACGGAATTGATCCTAACCGGATCATTTTTAACACGTTGTTGGATGGCTACTGCAAGCTAGGGATGTTAGATGAAGCAAAGAGACTTAGAGGGGTCATGGAAGGGAAAGGGCTTGGACCTGATGTGTATTACTATAGTATAGTTGCTACAGCATTGTGTAAAGTTAGCAGATACGAGGATGCGAAACAGACTCTGTTTGAAATGCTAAGTAAGGGTGTGGCTGCCAATACTGTCACTTACACAACTCTGCTTGATATTTATTGTAAGGAAGGGAATTTGGTGGAAGCAAGGAGGACATTTCGAGAGATGTTAAGTAAGGGGGAGAAACCTAGTGTGGTAACATACAATGCGTTGATAGACGGATATTGCAAGAAAGGAGAAATAAATGAAGCCCATCAGTTAATGGCAGATATGCAAGTTGAGGGAGTAGCACCTGATACTTATACATACACTTCTCTTGTGCATGGTGAATGCATACGCGGGAAGACAGCTGAAGCATTGAAATTGTTCAATGAGATGCAGTCTAGGGATTTAGTTCCAAATGTTGTAACTTACACAGTGTTGATATCTGACCTTTCGAAACAAGGGAGATCAGATGAAGCATTTAGATTATATGAAGAGATGATAGAGGCTGGTCTCACACCTGATGACACTGTATATTCCTCACTTGTGGGAAGTCTTCATAGTTCTGAATCTAAGCCTGATACCGATGGCAAGCAGAAGTAGAACAAAAAAGCTTGCTGCTGTGTCCATCTCTTCAAAACTCAATCACATTGTCTTTATAAGATCTCTTTTTGATAAGATCATGTTGACCACTGGATTTTGCGCCTGGTTTGTCCACTGATAAGACACTACCAAAGCCTGTAAAGAGCTCAGAGTCTCCAGCTGTTGAACTCTCTCTTTTGACAATCCGATCACAGAGCCAATTTTGAGTAGAGATTTTTGCTTGCCATTCATGTGTGTGACGACATTGTATATTCCTCATCCGTGGGAAGCCTTCATGAGTTTGAACCTTAGCTTAAAACTGAGAGGAACCAAAGGTAGCATTTCTATGTACATATGTGCTCTCTACTGCTTGCTACTATGTCATAATAAAAGTCTCTTGGGAAAAAGTATCTGCGGGTGGTTTCAGACGCCGTTGCATAGTAACCACTGTACCTTTTTTCTCACATTTTGCCAAAAAGAAAAATAAATAAGATAAATGAGAGGTTGCGAATTTTGAAAAATTATCACGAAATTTAGAAAGAAAAAACTTGATGATATTATCAACTATGTACTGAAACTATAATACAAGTTGTGCTGTTTAAAATGACTCAAAAGTATTTGCATTATAGAAGCTACTGAGAAAGTAGAGTCCTGCTGCCCTAACATCTAAAAAGAATGAGAAATACAAATGAGGAGAAGTAAATTTGCGTGCATGTACATTCCGTAGCCGATGAGTTTAGTCTTCTTTTCACCATTTCAGACAAAAACCTGTTCTTCCAGAATTTGGACACCACCAGAATATCTAAAAGAGAAAATTTTCATAAGCTTTAAGCCCTTGGCTATTAAGACACTGCTGCTTAAGCTTGTAAAGAGCTCGACTCTCCAGCTGCCGAACTCTCTCCTTTGACAGTCCAAACACAGTACCAATCTCAGATAAAGATTTCTGTACACCATCCTCGATGCCAAATCTCAGCCTGATGATCTTTCTTTCTTTAGGATTAAGAATACTAAGGAGCTTGCGCATATGGAACCTCATGAGGTGCTTTGAAACACTCAGTTCTGGGGCCTCCATTGACATATCAGCAGTGACTTCCTGTAGGAAAAAGAAGTTATGAGCTCAGCTAGGAATAAAACTTTCATCCTTAGTACGCCCATTTGGTTGAACAAAAATCAGGCTAAAACCAAGGCAAAGGAGATCGCAGCAGATGTGCTGATAACATTATTTCAAGACAAATATGGTATTCAAACCCAGGAAATAGCAGACATCCAACCGATACCCATTGACTCAAGAGGTAGTTAGATTTGAATCATCCACTCTAATTTAACTTGAATCAAAGTTATCATTTGATTCTTAGGTATTTTCAAGTCATTAGATTGAACGTTGTACAACCCATGTACCCTTGTTCAGGCAAATCTGGCTTAGATACTTGAAAAGACATGGGGGACTCTTCTGGGAAATATATTAATGCCAAGAAATAAAGAACTAGCTTAAGACAGTTGAATATTCATCAAAACTGGAAGCAAAGAATTCATCTTCGAGCACCAATGGTGAAGATATATGTTCAGAATCACAACAAGAAAATGCTAAAACAAACAGAAGGGAACCTGAAAGGTCGTCTTTTGATCTGTCCACACAGTCTGTTGCATAGAGACGGGCATTCTTGCAGTAAGTAGCAAACTTTCTAATTTCTCAACTGTAATCCCAGCCTCCGAAGCAACATCTTCTTTACTAGGATAACGAATACCTTTTTGAATGCACTGTCTCTTAGCTTCCTTAATCTTTGAAAGTAACCCATACACGTTGTCCTGTAACATTGATTGCGTTAATTCTTGACTACTGAACATTGAAATGATATCAAAACTAGTGCCCTAAGATAGATACCAAGAAATGTTGTATATAAAATCTTTCATGATACAAATTGCAAATAGTGCAGGGCATTACTGGCAACCGGATTGTCCTAGAATGATGAAATATGGCCTTCCTAACAGCTTGCCTTATCCACCAGTATGCATAGGTTGCAAATCGACAACCAGCCTGCGGTTTGAATTTCTCAATGCTCTTCATAAGACCCATGCTACCCTCCTGCAATAAGAAACACATTTGTAAGCTAAGAAATACTAAGAACTAAAAACTCTCCTTAAAGCGATGAGGATTATGAGCTTGTTTTATCAACTTGTTCATTTGCTAAAGATCAGCGCCAAACAAAATAACCAACAGAATAAAATAACGTTTGGTAGTTCACCTGCAACATATCCTGAAGGCTAAGACCACGCCCTTGATACTGCTTAGCAATGTGTACAACCATTCGATAGTTGGCATGAATCAACTTTTCCCTGCTCCTCCTCCCAGAGTGAAGTTGTGTCCGCAAAACTCGACAACTGATGCCAACAGCATCAGCCCATTCAACTAAAGTTGGTTCGCGCTCAAATTGATTTTGAAGCCTACACTTCACTTCAACTAATTTTCTGAAGTCCTGATACATACAACAGTAGACATCGGAGTCAGTCTTGATTTTGAGAGAAAGATGGGAAGAATGATGAGAACTGACTACAACCTGTATCTTGACAATCAAATCAGATTCCTCAGTTAACGTCAAAAGTTTTGTGTCTGGACCCGATAAGAAAGGCCGCAAAGGATCATTATGATCAAATATTTCATTAACTTTTCTGCGTAAATTTGGCCTTGCAAGAGGTTTCATGTCCTCAACATCAATGTTATGCTTTGGCGCCCTCCTCTTTATGGATCGCCTTTGCCGTAGACGTGTTGAGCTCACCTTTTTTCCTTCTTCCAGTTGAATATCAGTCAGACTTGTGGACAGCAAACTGACATGACAAGGAAGATATTAATCTTCGATCACATACAGCTCAAATTCTTGAAATGTATTATAGTAAACAAGAAACTGACTTTGAACTGAGAGAGGCGTCAGTACTGGAGTCAAATAGTTTGCAGTGTTCAGATAGTGAGGCGGCTTCAATCGATGCGGATAGAGCCTCTCTGGCAAGAGCAACTACGTTTTCTGGATTAACATCGGTAGAATTGTCACTCTTCCTTGAAACAGAATGCTTTATCTCTGTGGACTGAGATCTGCTACCACCACCACGAAACAATAAAAGAAGCTTGAAAAAGATGAAGGAAAACACTAAATTTAAATAACCAAAAAGGTACATCAGCATAAAATATTTTAAGAGGTTACATGTTCAATCTTACAAATACCATAAACCAGGCAACTGAAGAAGTTGCACTTTGGAGTCGCTATTGAACTGATGTGGATCCCGAGACTCATTTTCTTCAATCGAGTATGATGCAGCACCCACAAGCTTCCGATCTAAAGCTACCTTCAACAGGGAAAATGAAGTCCATATCATTGAATTTAGCAGTAAAAGTTGAAGGAATGATCCACTCATTTAAGTAAAAGGGTTTGACAACAAACGGATCAATTTGTGCTGATCTCTGACCTGCAATGCACCCCCATCTTTCACCAACTGAAAGGACGGATTTTCATCGGGTTTCTCCTGGATATGAATTGAAGAACTAAGATAGCGAGCCACAGAAGTAGCTCGGATATGAGCAAGTGCTGGAGCAACTTCATGAAGCATCAATACTGCAAAATTAGGAGATCATTATGCTTCTTAAAGAAACATGTTTGAATGGTAGGATGCAGATTGAAAACTCTAAGAAATACTGATTATCCTCTCAAATCCATCAGAATAAACTAAAAGCAGCATATGTTTTTCTGTATTTCACAGATGGCCATCAGGAAACAGTAATACTTAAAATGTAGGTCATCCCGGAAAAATCGCTTTTAGCTTATATCACTACTGCTGATAATGTTACGTTATTTTACAATATCTGAAAATAAACTTAGATTTTCTTTTCAACTACTCCAGTTACAGGTATGCTTTAAAGTACAGCAAGTTTGACGAATTAGACTATACCAAGTTCCCATTCCAAACTGCTACCAGTCCCTTAATTCTTAATCTTAGTCCAGAACTAAGACAACTCAAACAAAGGCAATGACAAACCAAAAGAAATTCTGATCAATTTTCATTGGCAAATGAGCCATTGGCCACAACAATAGCTCCAAATGCAGCACATATAGGGAACCATCTTTGATAAGTGGAAGAGATAATAAAATGGCCATAACAAGAACTGTATGCTTCCGTTCTCAAATCCTTAGTTTATGACAAAGAATTAGGATCTCGTGAACATTCATCAAACATGAAAGATACATACATACATACATACATACATACATCGTAGCTTAAGGCAGAATTTAGTCAAAATAGTAATCTGGGTGCAAACCCAACAACACAAGCATACTACAAAACATACAAACAATGAAGAAATTCAGACCAGAGGAATGGGTGCAGTTCTTGAGGTGGGTTCTTGAAGAAAATGTTGGCGGTGAAGAAATGAAGTTTCTAGCTGCCTCCATTTGGTCAGGATGTAGTTAATCCTTTCATTTACAGAACCAGAATCCCAACTTAGCAGTAGTGTGCTGGGATGGGAGCATTCTCTGTAGTGAATCATGCAAGAAAATTCATGGAATAAAATAGAAAAGATGATGAGTTTATGAACTGAATTGGAGGTTGGATTTGGCTTATTCTTTGCCTCAAAATTGATGGAATGTCATCATTCTAAAGGATGAGGATATCAACTCCTTAATATCTTTTGCAGGTGGGGTGGGCTTTATTACCACTATTGAACCCCTCAAATTAATGGGCTTTTAACAGATTCGGCCCAAGTAAATGGTCTACAGTCAAAAGCGGCCCAAATAACGAGAGGCTTCCAGCCCTCCATAGAAGTAGTATTATGAGGAGAATGACCTCCTAACAGCTAGATTAGTTTTCCCGGTAATCCACCTCAGCTTTGATAGTTGATACAATGCCTGTTGGGAGTCTGATCAACCGGGCTTGTGAATAAGAAAATGCTGAAGTTACATTTGATTTGGTATGCTATTGTGATTTAAAAAGAAAAAATTGATTTGGACTAGGATTTTGGATTGGATCCTTTGGTTTCCTATTGTGAGTTAGAAATGATGGTTAGGTTATGCCTTTAAATCCACGGTTTGTTTTGTTGCCATCCATCCAATAATAATAACATCAAAAGGTGAAAGCCCGGATAACTTGTGAGTTCTTGCTTACATACATTTCATATTCTATATGTCTCATTTTAGTGATTCGATTCGTTATAGTATAATTTTAGTGACTAATAAAATGGTACGAAAGGAGTGATTAATTATCTCGTCTAGTTAGGACTTACGAGCTAAGAGACTATCATAGTTGATTTCACAATTCACTCTTTTAAATGTTAATGCACAGATTGTCGATCTATATAATTCCCTAAACCCTAAAAACAGAATGTGTTGGTGCAATTTGAAGTTACCTTGTTTCAATGTTTGCCAAATCAATGTGCTTCAGCATCTCAAGTCTCGTTTGAGGGTTGAGCGTATCCAGCGACACATTGCAGATGGAGCTCCCAACTCCCAACCCCAAGTACTTAAATAAATTGTTTGCAAGTGGGTTGCAGTTTTATTTTACACCAGTTTTACACGTGCAACAACAGACCACAGCGATTGACTTTGACTCCCACCATTACTGAATTATCTGAAACTCACAGAGCTTTTTTTTTTTTTTTTATGCAAGCCAGCTCTACTAGTAGTCTAGTACTACTAAAAGAAGTTTGGATACAATCAATCAAAAGAAACTGTAAAAAAGTTAGAGTAGGTGGAAATGCCAGTTTGGGAATGAGAATAGAGTTGGAGTGGGCAGTCAAAGTTGGGGGGATAGAAAGGAATCTCGAAATAGATGCCGTACAGGTTCGGGTTAGGGTTTGGGTTGGACTTGGAAGACGGGGAATGCTCACATCGGACCTGGCCCTTTTTTGAACACACATTGAACTGATGCTCTCTGCCATTTCTTAAATTCGTGAAGAATCCCTCTCACCAAATTGATTAGATTTTATAAATTCGTGAAGAAAAACAGCATGGCTATGTGATGGAAGAAGACTAGTGCTGGAAAAGTCTTTTTGAGTTGAGGAGAGGCATTTATGCAATTGCAGAGCCCCCCTCTCTCTCTCTCTCTCAGGTCACCAAAAACTGTAAACACACAGCACACCTTGAGTGAGTGAGTCAGTTAAGTGTGTGTGTGTGTGTGACTGTGCGTGAGAAGACGTAAAAAGTAGGACCCGCAATTGACGGATAAAGACAATGATTCTTCTCATGGACCCACTTTTAGAATAGAAGAGGCCCACAACTAGATTACTGAAATGGAGCCATGAAAACTGTGGGCCCAATACACACGCGCACCGTACCCGAGGATGAACAGAGAGATATATCACATTTATCAGACACACCCTAAACTCATCTGGTCCGCTCGATCCGAGTCTGCTTTTATCATCCGACCGTCCAACTTAGCATCCAAAAATCCACTGATTTTTTGCTTATAAAAAGCCATCAACCTTTCTCAGGTGGGGTCATCAGAATCCTCCTTCTCCAGTCTCAAGTCTTCAGTTCTCACCGCCCAGGTCCACCACCACCCTCCACCACCACTACTCTTGCTTCATTTTTATTTTTTTTTACTTCTTCAGTCATTAATATTTTTCATTTTTTTACCGCAGGACTTGTTACCGACGATGGGTTCAGAGATCATTCTCCTTGATTTTGCTCCGGTGGATTCCCAACCCCAGAACACCCAAATCGTTGACTCCCCTGCTCCCGCTGCTCCGATTACCTCTTTGACTACCACCACCAACGGTGACGACGCCGGCGAGGTGCAGCCCGCGACGAAGCCGGCCAAGAAGCGGTCAACGAAGGACCGTCACACCAAGGTCAACGGGAGGGGTCGCCGTGTCAGGCTGCCGGTGCTCTGTGCCGCCAGGATTTTCCAGCTGACCAAGGAGCTGGGACACCGCTGCGATGGGGAGACCATCGAGTGGCTCCTCCGCCATTCCGAGCCGGCCATCATTGCCGCCACAGGGACCGGAACCCTCCCCAAGACCGCCGTCACCACCTCGGGATCTCTGCCGGTGAACCGCCACCCGTCGAATTTCGCCGGGAGCATGATCCAACCGTCGACTATGGTTGTGCCCTTGGTGCACTTGCCTCATGGAAGCTTCTATGATCCTATGCCGCCCCCTAATTGTCGGTTGGACCTCGGCCCGCAACCGCCACAAACGGGGCTGGAAATGGGTATGAATGGCTTTCATCACATGCCGTACACCGCCTTGTTGCTGCAGCACCCTTCTCCGGCGGAGGAGCAAGGAGAAACTCCGTCCAAGAGCCGGGAGTAATCTTTAGGGGTATAACTTGAAAAGTAGTTTTACATAAGTGGTAGTAATATGTTTAGGGGTAATTAAGTTGTTCAAGTTCAACTAGGGACATTTTGATTTAGGGGAAGAAATGTGGGACGGATTTTGAAGGGTTTGCCGGAAAGGTGACGTGGAATCATCGTTTTGTTTGAAAGCTAACAAACGCTCCTTTTGGTTGAATCAATAATTAATATACTTGAACAATTACAGTTTTACTATCAGGTCTGTCTGTCTGATGATATGAAATGGATTCATCATTAATCTTTAATTAATGTGATAATTAGTTAATCACTTATCATGATGATTAATTATTGCTGCATATCCAACTTGGGATTTGATGAATTCTTTGGAAAATCAGATGTTTTTGTGTAGGTGGTCCCGTTTCTGCAGACCCCCATTGAACTCAGGTGGATCCCAGTTTCTTTCCTCTTTTGGATTAGGCAACAGTAGATATTGCAGTCAGCCATTAGTCAGTGTATTAATTATGTTTAGTTATTATATTATTATCACCTTATTAATCATCTGCCTTGATATATCATTAAGCAGCTGTTAAATAATTTAACATTGTTAATAACTTAATATAGGTCCCTCCTCCACTACAACTACTATATACAATTACAGCTTATGTAACTCTTTTTGGGCTTCAAAAAGTTTCCGGGTTAGTCGTGTTTAAAACAGGAAACCCTGGTAATTCCCGAGCTTTATATGTTAAAAATAAGCTTTTTCCAATCTTCAAACCGAAACGGAAGCATGGCAAATGCAAAACATGCAGTGCAAAAAGGTCCGGCAATACGGGGAGGTCTCTCATTCAAAGCATGCCCTATATTCACGAGAGGAAGACTGTCTGGTTTTGAAAAAGATGAGTGTGTTTGTAGCTTCCACTACAAACATAAGCCAAACAGATTTGCAGAGCTTCATTGAACATTGTAATGATCATATACCCAAACGTTTTTTCTCCAATCTACAACTTTCGAAACTCAATACCGGAAAGAATATTATGGAACTCCAAGCATGCTTAACATGGAAAATCAGCATGCATATACAGACCTACTCAATTGCAGGCAAGTGGGAAAGGAAAAAAAAAAGAATGACCTATGAAAAATTCTATATATTGCATTGTGTATATCTTTTTCATTATAATATTTCATAACTAGTAAGTGTATAATAGTTGAGGCCAAAGAGAGTTCACTGCTTATTTCCAAACTTCCACCACCTCTTCTTCTTTTTCTTCATATCAAGGCTGATAGGGAAATCTGCAAACAAATGTATGAACACAAATCAGAAACTAAAAGCTAAACCTAAACAGAAACTCTTAGCTGCTTTAGCGAAATTGCAGAGAAGATAAAATCAAGAGAAAGCTACCTCCTTGAGGATATATAGAGTTGTAGTGCACCTCTGCCCAAAAGCTAAGGTAAATAACTGCATCAGAAAAAAAAAATTAAAAATGGAACTCCTTTATGAAATCACCAGCAGCGCAACAGAAATGATCTCAGTATCATCCTATACTAGCTCAAAGCTCGCAACGTGTATAGGGACAATTAAAACATCAGAAACACAAGTCAAAGCTCGAAAGAGTTCTGAGTTCGTGTGATCGTGATGGTAAGGATAATCACAAGCTTGCAATGCAAGAAACTCAAAACACATTTTCAGCGTTCTACATATCAGAAAACCGTGACGTACCAAATGATATACTAACAGAGCTTTATTCCGAGATTACAACATAAAATCAAGTGAACAAACGGATGAACAGATCCAATTTACCTAATTGATTAGGGTTCAATTACTTCTTTTCATTATAGTGAGATATCATGCTGCATGATGCCGAAGATATCTCAATGTGTCCAGGTTTAGCTAATAAACTGAAAAGCTCCATGATATTTACCTCTTTCTGACTTTTGCATCTTCGGAAGAATCTCAATATAACAAGTGTCCCTATACGACGTGATCACAAAAATCTTCATGCCATACTGCAATACACGAAATGATGAGATTTAGTCACTTCAAAAGACCAGTTTTCACAAGCTAATTATGGTTTGTGTCGAATTGTAGTAACTTCCAACAGTAAATATTTGAAGAGACAGCTAGAAGTTTCTTTCACAATTGCCTTTGAGTTGCCGCATAATGAAGTGCAGTTTTGGCAAAATGCAAACGTTTAATCAAAACCTCCATGCAAAGGAGACACAAATGCATCAATGTCACAGGGAAAAAAAGTATGGGTAGAGAGAGTGCAGGCAACATGAGCAAAGTTTAAGTGTGGCCAAACTAATATAGAAAAAGGACACATTAAAATACACGAAATGTAAAGAACTAACTTAGATAAAGGATAAAGTAAAACACAAGACATATACCGAATCTGCTGCTGCCTGCAAAGTGACGTGATCTCCCCACTCTCCGCTCCTAGTTTATCAAAAGAAAGGGAAAAAAGTTAGCTCGATAAACTTTTACATGTACAAGAAGCAAGCGAAAAATTCAACAACGGCACCAAAAGAAAGAAGATAGCACTTGAACATACTTTGACATCCTGCTTAAATATTCAGAATATTCCATGGGAACATATCCCTCGTACATCTCCGGATTAGCCTCTAGCTGGTGACAACATTTATTTAAGGAAAGTTATTAGCTCATGCATGCAGAAGTACGTTCGATATGTGCTAAAACGATACTCAAGTCAGTTACCTGACCAACAACTTGTTGCCTGACAAACTCGTGATGTTCTTGGGTACGATATATTTGATCTGATAAAGCCCGAAACTAGAGTAAAAAGGGGAAAAAATAAGAAGGATTAATCACCGAGAGTTTGATACCATAGATTTGGTCAGATGCTCGGAGTTAGAATGAAATATCACGCAATATCAGTTTCCATGAGAAAATTGAAAAGGAATATTCCACGGGTGGAATTCTTACTATTGAAGACTTCCCTTAAAAAAAATTCATACGAAAATGCAGCCAGGTTACAACAGGCTTAACAGTAGTGATAAATGTATTTTCAATCAATGCTCCAACAAGTTTTTGTAACTCAAGTAGGGCCAATAAAAGTTAAAACAGAAGCAGATGCCTGATATTTGTGTACTTTACTGTGTTGTAAATGTACTGGGTCAACACGAACTAATTGCATGAAGAAGACAGTTTCAATGATCAGATAAGGATAGATGGACCGAGGTTTAACTAAAACACACTTAAGAGTTTCAGCATATACAAGCCAATAGAAAATCTGAGGACACAAAACACAGAACGTAAGCAACCAGAACCTCTACATGAAAAGAACACAAATAACCAACAGAATTTTCAAGGGGATAAACTTGCTAACCTGACAGTTTCCATCTCCATCAACTTTGTTCTCAATTAAGTCATACAACTGCAATCTTAAAGTGAAGTGGCATCCAGTATTAAATACTGATGACATATTTAATACAACATTTCTGTAAAACTGATATCAAATATGCTATCAATAAAACCCAACACCCAGAATGGAAGCTCTGTAATACCTGTATAGCAGCCTTTCATGGTCAGAAGTGGCTTCATCAACAGATGGTATATCTCCGTTAATTCTAGGAACATGCTGCATTAAATACAATCACAAACTTAAATTGATAGTTTAACTTGATTGTCACAATTAAAATCTCCAACATCACGTAATTTACCCATAATATGTTCCTTACATCTAGCACGTTTTTTAAAAACCTCAACAATCCAGCAGTTTGTATTAGATTCAATTTTTTGTCCCAGAATGAAAAATAAAAATTAAGAGATCTCCAATTAACTCCCAGGCAAAAGCGTTCACCTCACATAAAAACCACAATAGCACCATCCATATTCTAGGTATATTATCAGAGATATTACATCAGTGGAAGTACAAGCTGGTTAGGCAGATTGTTCAATCGAAACTGAGTTAAACAACATTGTTTGTCAAACATATAACTTCTCCATATAAAAGCAGTATAGCAAGAGTTAACAGTATAAACATATGCATAGGCTAAAACCAATCAAACCCACGGAGGATTAGAATGTAAAAAAATGTTGATATGTGTATTTAAGCTATACTTACAGGAATTGGGACCATTTGGTTCAACCTCTTGCCAACTTCACCATCGAGCTCTAGTTCATCTGTTATTTCCAAGTCATAGGAGTATTCATCCCCGTCACATGATCTCTCCCCGTCACTAGAATAAGAATTTGAAGGTCTACTAACATATGCTTCTTCAGTGCAAAATCTATAACCTGCAAAAATTTGGTAATATATACCCAATGTTGCATAAGAAAAGAAGAAAGAACCAGAAAAAAAAAAAAAAAAATTAATCGAGAATCAGAATAGAGGGGAAGAATAAAAAAGTAAAAGACATGTAAAAACTAGTGGAAGATACCTGAATGGTGAGCCCTGGAGTGACTGTGATAATCTTGAACATTTGAGTCTTGAAAATACTCATCTCCAGTGTGTAAGGATTCGGGAGCCTCTATAATAGATAACTGAGAGAACTCCTCTTGAAGAGGATGTGTTGTAATCTCCTCACAATCAATACAGTTGCATCTTGAAGGATACTGATCGTCTCCAATATATGGGTCACGGGAAATATTAATGTCATATTGATTATTATGACCATAATAATTGTTAGTGAAAACATGATCCACATTAAAAATATCAAAATCCCATAGAGATGATTCTGATTCTCGTCCAGACATAATTAGTTCGACTAACAATCTTCCAGATTCTAGATGGCTCTCTCTCTCCAAGAATAATAATAGGGAAGAAGTCCCACATACACTAGATTCACAGAGATATTCTTACATCTGCACTTTCAAACCTGAAAAGAGCAAAAATTACAGAGAAACATCAACAAAATAACAAAAGCTGATAATAAAGACAGTCACCAAGTCAAAAGCAAACATCTTGAAACCATTTGACCAACTAAAGAAACATGAAGAGGGGCATAAGACAGTGCTCGTTGTTCTTCACAAAAACATGGTCCATCATCTGCCATTCTAAGTTCTTGTACTACATAAGGTCTTCAACTCTCCTCACATCAAAAGCACACATTTACATGTACTGCATGCTCAAACGTTAAGCCACTAACTTACAAGGAAACTTAACTAAATTAAATTCTTCAAAATGCAGAAAATAGACGAGTAGCTTTTATATTTGTACTACTTATAGTTGGTTAACTAATTTTCCTGTTACTCCATGCCCATATACAGCATTCCCAACACGGACATATGGAATGGGCAACTAAACCTAGATCGTTCAAAATGTTAGCTATACAATTCCTCATTTTAATAATTAAGAAGCTACAAACTTTGCAGCACTAATCTTTCTCTTGAAAAAGCCAACCCAAGGTGCAGCGGAACAAGGTATAAACAGATCCTATTCAACTTCGTTTTATATACAGGGTTGCAGTTGAGTTCTCATAGACTACTGTTCCCAGGATTTCCTATTTCTACATGATCCATGGAAAATACATAGCAAAATTATCACTCTTTTTTTCTTAACCAATAGCCAGAATTACAATTGTCAGAACGAAAAGGAAAAGAAGGATATTCTATCCTGAAAAAGTAAACACCCTGTTTCAATACTTCAGTCAATAACCATATTGATCCTAATTAGATCACAGATGTCTAGCAGCAAATTTTCACTAATTGCCTCAACTTACTCTCTTTACTGTTAAAGACAGAATCAACCTCAAATATTACCAAAAAAACAAAGCGAGGAGGGATGAGGAAGAAACAGGAGAAATTTTTTTTTTATAATAAAAGTAAATCAGTTAGGAAGAAAGGTGATACCCTTACATATATAGATAGTTTTGGAAAGGGAAATCACTTTTTCGAAGCTACTGATCTCATACCAATACATTACTTGTATACCAATAGTTTCCCGGGATAATGAGTCATTCACATCCACACGCTAAGCACAAACATAAGATGGTAGCACAAACAAACACGAAAGAAAACACTACATTTCAGACAGAAAATATACTGTAAAGTTTCGAAATCGATCACAATCATTCCCCAAATACTCAAAGCAGTACAGGGATAATAAAATTCCAACTTTGCAGCATAAGATGATCCCAAATCCAACAAGCAGAACAAACAAGCAATCCAGAACAATTAATCAAAACGATAAATAACAATGACATGTAGCATCAGCAAAACAGATCACAGCTAAAAAAGAAAAACAAGTTGGAATATGTGATCTTCTCACCCTCAATTGTTCCGATGTTCAATTGAAGAGTAAGCAGGTTCTATCCACAATTCAATGGGAATGAGGCGCAACCCAGGAGCAGGATGAAAAATAAAGTTTGGTGGGATGAGGATAAAAGGTGGGCTAAGTGGAAGAAAAGGATTTGGGAATGTTTAAATTCAAATTGGGTTGGCCAGAATTGAATTTTCAAGAATGGTGGCGGATTGCCGTACGATGCAGGGACCAGCCTGGTTAGAACGGGTGGAGGTGGCGGAAGAGGAGGAGGAAGTGGTGGTGGTGGCTTCTGAGTGGAGCGAAACATGCCGTTAGTCTGTATAGTTCGGTAAGTTGTAATTTAAGCGGCTTTTTTCATGATGAATCCCTCATCACCCTTTTCTCTTTTATTTGGTACGAAGAATCCAACATCATCAAGGAAACCCACATACAACACCCAAACAAAATCTACGCGGTTTCTTCTATTATCCCTTTTTCTGGCTTTTCAATTCCTTTTCGAATCTTTGGTGGTGGCACAAAGCCACAAATTATTGTTCAATTTTTTCTTTATGGAAAAGATAAAAAAAAACAAGGAAAAAAGGAAGAACTTTAACAAAATGGAAGAATAATAACCAAAAAAAAAAAAGAAAAGGAGGAAGCAAACAAAATACTAGAACAAATGGGGAGTCTTGTCTCTTTGTCATGTGACATTAAACCCAACTTTCACTATGGGGGGAAAAACAATGCAAATGCACAGAGATTGATTCCTTGACTCCCAACTGTTTGTTAATTTGTCCTAATTGTCGAAGTGAACAATGGCATACAAAAAATTACAAACATACATACTGTGACATTGAGCATAAGAGAAAAACAGGGGCAAGTATATTATTACCTAGTACAATGGTGTATAATCATCAATAGAATGAAATGGCTTAAAAAATGGCTGATATGAATTTATGCAAATTCGTATTGAATGCGAGGCGGCACCTGTAAGTGTTAGAAGGGGACAGCTTTACACCATATTTGACCTTTCAGTAAATTGAAAGGAGACCGTTCCAATTCCAAAAATTCATTCCATGATGGAGAAAACGATCGATAAAGAAAAGGTTGAAATTTTCTCGTACTAACTTAAGCTTAGCTTAAGGGGGAGTGAATTATGACGCCTGTATTATGTAGGTAAACATCCCAAATTGAAACAACGTGAGAACAACTGAACAAGTGGGCATTATTAGAGACCTCTGAAAGTGCTGTCCCATCCTCTAGACACAAAATTTACGCGATATTCATCTTCAACTTTTGGTCATTTTCATGATTCTAATCTAAATACGTTGTAAAGTTTAACTTTTGAGCCTAAAACGCCATATGTGTTGAACACGAAACGAACGCAACACTTGTCGAGTTGCATGATGATAACTTAGTACGCAGCTACAAAGCTTTGGAGTGTGTATGGGCAGAATGTCCACTACATAGTATATGTAGAACTCCCTCCTGTCCTATTATGATTTCTGTTATAATTAGTTTTACTTTACTACACATTTTTAATTGACAAAAAAATCTTAAAATATTTCCTAACAATTAATAGAAAACAAATGTGAAAATATATTTTTAAAATTTTTTAATTAAAAATATATACTATGTGAAACTCAGAACAAATTTAAATGCATTATATGAAGGACCGGAAAAAGTATATTAAAGCTTTATGATCAAGCCAAAAAAAAAAAAAGGAAACAAAAGGGTATGTATCAACAACTTATCCTTTGTTCGAATGCAAAAGAAGCAAATTGTGTTAGCACACCGTTTAATCAGACAAGTTGTGTATATTTCTGTCGGCATGAACCTTCCCTTCACAGCCATAGAATAGTACTGTAATCCATTAACAATGCAATAATAATAATAATGATGATAATAAGCCATGAGAAAAGACCAAGTAGTAATTATTTTTTAAAAAACGTCGTGGCGGGGTTAACTATATAGCGTGTATTCATTCAACAAAATAAAGCTAATAATTACAAAACAAACGAACGTGTGTAGTACTAGAAGAATTAAGTATTCCCTCCGTCTCGTAAATATTGTCCAGTTTGGATTTTCATTTCTAGTTTAAATTGTACTAAAAGTGAAATCTCAAACTGGACAACAATTTTGAGACAGAAAGAGTAATTAACACGAAAAAGAGTAAGAATTAGGAACTCACATCTTTTTCCACTAGTTAGCGTTTTCTGAAATTGATTGATGTCATGGTTTCAAACAACAGATCATCTCTTTATATAGAGATTGGAATTTTATTCATAATACGTAGCTTTATGCCTCAAATTCTACAAGATGGATATAAGGGGCGAATAAGAACAATATGAGCTTAGAAGTAGTAAAAGGAGTCAATAGTATGAATTTATCTGCGAAGATTGCTACTGAATCGGTTGATGAAATCCCGGGAATATTTGACATTCATTAATAGAGAAATATCGTGTCAATCAAGAAAATTGCGCTGTATTTATTTCCACAATGTTCAATCAATGAAAAGAAAAGGAAAGCAGCCAACGTGTACTATTATTAATATTTTTTTGAATTTTTGGTAATAATATCGGTCATCACTCAAAGTCAGAAACTTTATTTTATTTTTATGTTTTGTATTTTCTTCTTATAGGCTGAAGATATGCGCATTAAATTGGAGGAGAAGAAAGAAGAAAGATTAATCAAATTTTTTATGCCTTCACGTCTCTTCTTCCGTAAGGAATTCAAGTTGTCCACATTTTACTATTAAGAAGAGATATAGACGAGTAAATGATAAAATTTACTCCCTCAATTTGTTTCAAGACATAAATTTTTGAAGTTTTTGTCATTTGGAAATTTTCATTTGCGGCTTACACATGTGAGGTGTGTGTGTGTGTGTGTTTTGTTTTGGTTAATTGTTTGGTTAGGTCATGTTCAAAGCTATAAATTTGAGGACAAAAAAAAAAAGTCAAAATTAAGAAAAAGATATGATCAAATGCAATGGACCGTCATTAATTAATGAATGTCACAAGTCCTGGCTTTTTGTACAATTCGCATTCATACAGTTGTCGGACTTTAGCTTTAAGCCTTCAAACTGTTACACTTTTAACGCGCCAAACTTTTGTTCCGGCAACGTTGCATGTTGTACGGGCGCCGGGAGCCGGGAAGGATCAGTCAGTGAGTTGTACGGAACAGGCGGGCTGACAACGTTTGATTTCAAAATATCAGGGACTTTGTTTTCGTCTTTACTGATGAGTGATGAATGATGATGATGATGATGATGATGATGTATAATCACGGAGTTGAGAAGCCTACAACAGAGGGAAAAGATTAATGCATCAACACGATGATTCATACTATATGAAGCTGTGTCTGGTATTACGAGAGAATTTAATAGTCAAATCTCCTATCGTGGAAGCACAGAAAAATCTTCACTGCCTTTACAGATCAAAGAAAAAACAAGTCATAATTCTCCAATTCCCCCTGGTTTTGGTTTCTATACATACATACATACACGTATATACTCACTATATCTCAACCTTCATATTAGCTTGACTTTTCTCTACATTGACCAAGTCAAGAAACTTTCTAAAAACCTCTGTATTCAGGAATCAGGATCACTATTTCCATTCCTAGGAACTTCCACCATCAATTCACATTTCTCCCTAGAAGTTTATTGTAATTAGTAAAACTGACATAGCCCCTACAAAGCTTTAAAGGAATTTCTTTTACTATATGGAGCCCTCAAACAGGGAAAGGATGTAGATATCCTTATTTGTTCTTGTATCAGCGCAGTTAGCAGGTTTTCACGTGCTTTGATGACAATATTCGAACTAGCCAGCCACCATCTACAACTCTTATATCCATGAATCTTCGCTTACCCTTTTTCGCCGTTTCCTCTGAGGGATCTTTTTGTTTGACTGGGGGGTGAGGGCTCCCAAGTCCTGCAGATGCCTGTACAACATCATTCACCATTTGCAGTATTTCGCTCATTTTTGGGCGTGTTTTGGCGTGTCTTGCCAAGCAGCGGTTGGCTACCAGTGAGAGCTTGTGTGCTGACTTCCAGATAGTCTTTCTTTCAAGCCTAGGGTCTATTATCTGCTGGAATTTTTTAGCATCCGAAAGATAGGGCTTTACCCAGTCCAGGAGCTTTTGTTCACTCCTGGGACGATTACGGTCCAATGGGCGTCTACCTGTAATTAGTTCATAGAGAAAAACTCCATAGCTCCACACATCGCTCTTTGCTGTTAGACGACCAGTCTGAATATATTCTGGAGCAGCATACCCCAATGTGCCAACCACCTGATGATATAAGTGATGTTAAGTTGAATCTCTCAGATAATTAGGCATGTGAAGTGTTTTCAAGATTTATAGCGATTAGAAAAACAGACGAACTTGGCTGGAACAAGAACACTTTATGCAATGCAAGTTTTGATGCTCCAACACCATAAGCAAATTAAGAAAGAAATAGATCCCACACAATAAGAGATCAGCTTACTCTGCAAAATTTTGTAAGGACCCAATGGAATATCTTGTCATTAAATGTACAAGCTGAACAAAAAATAGCCACACATAAAATTGCAATTTACAAATTTAAAAAGGCTTGTGCATGACTAGCTCCACATTAAGTAAATCGAGATAATAGTATACTAGCTGGACATACCGCTGTGGAGACATGAGTTAATCCCTCTTGAGGACCCAATCTAGCCAATCCAAAATCTGATAGCTTGGCATTCCACTGCTCATCTAGAAGAATGTTTGAAGATTTGAAATCTCTGAATATGATCTGCATAACTTAAAAGAGACTAGGTTAGGCCACGCTAGAAACCTCCACAAATACACTCTCAAAGTCACAAAAGAATAAAGAATGATTATGATGGTACGATGTTTAACGGAAGAAGATAAACATGCTTCTGACTACAATAGCTTTAGGGACGAGGCAAACAGAAGCACCTGAAAATCCATCTCTTCATGTAAATATGTTAAACCACGAGCAGCATCTTGGGCAATCTTTAGCCTCATAGCCCAAGACAGTGGTTCTACAGCCTTAACTGATAGATGGTCTTCCACGCTTCCATTAGGCATGTACTCATAAACAAGAAGCCGCTGAATTCCTCTCTCATCATCTTCGGCACAGTAGCCAACAAGTTTTACAAGATTTGGATGATCAACGACCCCCAGAACATTAACCTCTGTCACCCATTCTTTGTGGCCCTAATGGAGAAAATAATATCAAGTTATACATTGAGTTAAGGAAAAGTCATGATGCATTGGAAACTGATACTACTACTGCAAACTAAGGAAGAACTGAACAACCAAACTTCCAAACATGATTGCCTTTGTGTGCTAATTGCATAATATTCATCCCAAGCAACACCATATTCCACCCCAAAAAATGAAGTTTCCGGTAGCACACATTCCATTCCCTTTTCCATTTTTTACTGCATCTATCATATTACTTGCGCATTGGATCCAAGCATGAACGTGCTAATAACCACAAACATAATGTGCTTTCTACCCGAGGAAAAGGACCCTATTTCTAAACTTTTCCATATCCCAAATAAGAAGTCCACAGTTCATTACCTCGTCAAACACTCTTACTAATTAACTTATGCGAAACCTACAGACAGTAAAGAAGGAAGTGGAGGAAAGTTAACGAGTGTAATATTTGAAAAACCCATAACAAGTTGAGCCCTTTTCTGCATGGAAGAGTTATTAAAATGCCATAAATGAAAGCTGTCTCAAGTGTTGAATCTTCCTAATTATATAATTATACTAAGTTGCATTATGTTTTGCCTTAAGAAATGAGACCTGATTATCAGAAAGAAAAATGATTTCGTGTTAAATAAGTAAACTACAAGAGACATCAACTAGAAATCTTGCCTGCAATCCTCTTTTGCCAAGTTGTTTTACAGCAACATCTACTTTTTCACCCGGTTCTTCCAAACTCTTGATAACACCTTTATATACGCAGCCAAAACCACCCTCTCCTAGCTTTGCAGAGCGGGTGAAATTTTTTGTGGCTGATTTTACATCAGCAAAAGTGAACACCGTAAGATTGCTAGGCTTATCAGACAAAATTGGGAATTGATTCCTTCCCCTAGACTCTGAACTAGCGTCAGACGCGGTCTGGGAATTTAGTTCAGAACCTGATCGCCTAACTCCTGGATCAGTGAAGGTAGAACCTGAGCAAGGAACCGAGCTGGACCTTTCGGTCTTAGACTCGTCCTTCTTTTCTCCAAGATAAAACTGGAAACACCTCATAGCCTCCAGAGACCACAACAACCTGGTTCAATCCAATTCTGAACATCAAGCAGATGAACAAATTGTTAAAACCCTCGGTCCAACCTCTATATCCAAAAACAAAAACTTTCCAGCCAATCACACTCTAACTTGCAAAATTGGAACTTCCTCTTGCACTGCATTGACGAGACAATATCCATAATTCACGGCGATCTCAATAAATCCGCCTCAAAAATGCACAAAATAGAGGGTCCAATCAAACTATAACAGACTGGAAACCTACTCTAAAGATATGCAAGACAATTACAGCTCCAAGTCAAAGTAGCAAAAGAAAAAATCAACCCATTTCATTAAGATCCAAGAAGTGTTTGAACAACCAACGCAAACTAGTCCCAGCATCAAAATTAGATAATTGCCTGGACTAATAGCAAGATAATTTATCTCCCGGGCTATAAGTAGAGTAGAAGTCAAGAACATAGCTTTCAGCTAAGAAAAAGCTATGGTCATCAAAGCAGAGTTAGAAAGATGCAAGATTAAATTAATATTTACACGCGGGTCACATGAATTTCGAGAAATAAAAAAGAAGAACTCACCTTTAGATTCCTCAATCTGACAGCAAAGCCCAAAATGAGTAAAAATCCAAACTTTCGGAACTTAACAGGAACAACCCAGAACTCAAAAGGACAGCCAGAAAATAGTAGTGGTAGAGTGTCGGATTGGATGACTGAAGAAGGGAAGACTGAAGAAGGGGAAGTCTTCACGCGGCAAACCCAAAGTCTGCTTGCAGAGGTAGGAGAAAACGAACTGTTGAATTCTTTAGTAAGCCCCACAAACAAGAAAACCCACAAAAGAGAATTCTTTTTTTTTTTTAAAGCCTTAAGTAATGATTTTGTTTAGCTGATAATAGTAATATAAACAAATCGGGAAACGACTGAGAAATTCCGCTCAGCGTTTGGGTGCTGTTGGGGACGATTGACTGGCTGACTTTGGGTGGGTGGAAGACTCTCTCTCTTTCTGATCAAAACAGAGATGATATTATACTTGTATATATAATAAAGAGCAAATTGGCGTCATCCTTTTTAAAATAAAGCGGCAGCGTTTTCCGCTGTTTTGGCAGTAACACTGTGCGCATTTGTTGAAATGGTCTTCCCTGAAGTGTGAGTGAGAAATGAGAATGGGTCACGGGAGTCAACCCGCCTAAGGGTCCCACATTATTGTCCATATTTAATTCCAAGAGATTAACAAGTTTGAGATCATTAGTCCGTCCTCCTTACAATGTTTTTAATTATTTGTAAGTGAATTTTTGGATATTATAGAAAAATAAACATTAGTCTTTTTTATTCTGCATTTTTGGATATTTGTTTGTTTGGATTATTGAGTATATCACATTATTCTTAGCTAAGAATGTAAAGATTGGATAATCCTGTTTTGGCATGTACATTTTAATTGTGTCTTCTATCAGTTTATTACGTTTGGTTATTTTGGGTTCGTCCACCCCCTCTGTGTGTTGAGTGTTGGGATATGTATTTGTTTGTCGAGGGAACTAATGGAGGAACCTTCGAAGGAGACTTGGAATTAGATCTATAATTGGAACCTTGTTTCAACATGTGATTTCAAACGCCAAAATCTGATTGAGTTGAACGTTTTAAAGTTTCGGTTTGTTGGCTTTTTAATTTTTTTAATAATTTTTTCAGATTATTTTAATAATAATTATCCTATTTTAGTATTTTTTTTACATTCATCAATAAAAAAATACCTAAAAACATACATAAAAGACAATCCAAACATATTTTGAAACGGTTAACTCTTGGTTAAATATATTTTGCTAAAGCCCAAAAAAGGAGTAAAAGATTTTTTTTTTTTGGCATAATGGGAGTGGATATGGATAGATAAAACACAAGAGTTGGGTCAGGAAAAAAAAACACAAGAGTTGTTGGGTCAGAAATGAGAGTCATCTTGAAAATTAAGGGCCTGACAGACTCGTGAAACAAACGGATTTTTGTCACTATACGCTTTGATAGCAATAGATTGCGGCTCTCTTGCACCCTAAACATTGTTCAAAGACTTTTCCGGTTTACATTTTTGCTAGGAAAATGAGATCATCACCCAAGAAAAATTATTGGGTACAACTGTTTTATCCTGATTTTTAGCGCAACAAGTACTAGCACCCTATATTTTAGTGATATAATTCCCGTAGAAATTATCTCTCCTCAAACTTACTACTTTACTCATATTATTGTGTCTGGCTGCAAAATCTTACATGGTACAGCAGCTGCACTGAATAATTTCTCGAATATCAAATACAACAATGATCAAAACAAACGGAAAAAATAGTAAAAATTCATGGTAGCTGAAATTAGGAGTAAAAATATATTTTTGATGGAAAAAATAAATTTTAACGGGAATGGGTCAACAAAATAAGAGATCACGATATTCCACATCAGTCATTATTGTCTTTCACTAGTTATTTTTTATTGTGTATATCATTTTCCAATTAAATACTTCCCTTACTAGGCTAATTACTTGTCCTGTAATATTTTTTTTCAATAAATGATAATTATATTGATTGAGAACACAAAATTTTGTACTCTATATGTCGCAAAATGATTATCTAGTTTAGATTTTCATTTTTAGTAAAAAAAAAATACAACGTAATATTAGTGATGCGGTATAATTATTGCTTGCAATAATTTCTTCTATCGCCGCTCAACAAAACAGCGGACATCTATCAGAAGACATCAAAATTACGTCTAGCCTATCTTACCAAACTTGAATATACACAAGATGCCCAAGTTTTGGAGATACTTTTGATCATTACTTTTAAATTGGTTTGTGTAGTGATGTTGTTCAGAATATTATCTATGTAAGTGGCATTTAGTTCGTTCATGAGTTTATTATAGAATTTGGTATGATAACAATAAAAGATTACTATCGATATACCTATTCCAAAATAATTATTTAATTTATCAATAAATTTTGTATGATGTAATAAATACAAAATAAACGAATGAGGTATTGGTTCAATGATAAAATCATCTTTGCTTTTAAGAGTAGGTCATGAATTTAAATCTCCACACTCTCATAGCAGTGAAGGGTGACTGTAACTTGCCAATTGACACCTCTAGAAGTCTTGTTATGCCAATTTCACTCATGAACTTCCGATTATGCACCCGAACATGTGACCCCTGGCTTGACTGAGGTGGTTTAATTCTCATTGTGGTTTGGAGGCTATTGCAGTAAGCGTAGATTCACCCATCTCTGGTGGGGTTATCAAAATAAATAAATAAATACAAAATAATGTAGGATGCAATACTGTTGATGTTGATACGATATATACGTTGCTTGCAGTAATGCCCTTCTATTAAAACTCGACAGAACATTATTTATCACACTATATCAAAATTACATCAAAGCGAGCTTACCTCTCACTGTGGTTTGGAGGTTATTGCTGTGAGCGTGGATTCACCCGTCTCTGGTGGGATTACCAAAAAAAATAAAATAAATACAAAATAATGTAGAATGAAATACTGTTGATACTGATACAATACATACGTCGCTTGCAGTAATGTCATTCCATTAAAACTTGACAGAACATTATTTATCACACAATATCAAAGAAATTAAAATTACATCAAAGCGAGCTTACCAAAATTGACTAAATACAAATGCATAAGTTATTAAAGAAAAGGAAAAAAATCAGAGCAAATGTACAATGAGATAGATGCTATATTATATATAAAAATACCATATTTGATAACACGGCGTACTCTATCACGACACAAACACAAATATTCGGACAAATTTTGAGCACTGATCTTCATTGTTTACTATTCACCTCGTCACGTACTCATCACTTACTAGATTTAATAGCATAGACATTGTTTACTATTCACCTCGTCACGTACTCATCACTTACTAGATTTAATAGCATAGAATATGTAAGGGGTGTTTGGTTAATGGGCATCAAATGCCTTGGAATGAAAGTGCATATTTGAAACCCATTTTTAGTTGGTAAGTTCAAGTTGGGAATGCATTGGGTTTCAAATTCATAGTCTCATTCCATACCAAGTTGGTTAGTATGATTTTTATTTTTTATTTTTTTACTAATGGTGGGTATGATTTGGGAACTCCTTTATCCCTTTCTTTGCCTCCGTCTCTCTCGTCCTTTCCTGCTTTGTCTTTACTCTTTCGAGTTTTTTTCCCCACTCTACACCATCGTCAACAAGCGTCGATGTCTTGTGTTTGGTCTCTCTCATCTCACGATTTGGCAACCGTTTCCCACTAAAACTTCATCATTTCGACCAGTGTATAACAATATTTCTAATTTAATTCATCCCAACAGTGTCAGAGGATTTGCAAAATCTATTATGCAGGCTTTTTTAACCGTTTTTACTATCACTTTCTTCCTGATTCTCTCTTTCTTCCCGTCAAAATATATCATGTATTTGTCTATCATTTCTTCTTTTTTTTCATCAAATTATTATCTCTTCCTTTCGAATTGGCGTAAAGCAGCAAGAATGTATATTGTAAATAGTATAATAATTCGGGTTCAAGGAGTATTAAAAAAAAGAAAAAGAAAATTACCATAGGTCTAGCTTTCTCCAAATTAAAAAATTCAAAAAATTAATTTGATTTCTCCGGCGAACAATCGAGATGGTGGTGGTGGCTGTCAGTGGATTAGAAAAATAGTGAAATGTTGTAGGAGGCTAGGGGAACAGAAAGAGGCAGAGGCGGTGCTGCTGGTGACCAGTTGAAAGGGAAAATCTACGGGAAAAAAAAATGAAAAGTTGAAGACAAGGACATAAATGAAATTATTATATGTTCTATTTCAAAATTTTATGTAACCAACCACTGCTATTGAATCCAAGATAGTTCAAAATGATTCGTTCATTCCAATGTATTTCACGGTTTAATTCCGCCTTCAAACTCCAAGAACAAGGCACCCCTTAGTCTTGTTGGAGTACTTGCTTGAATTGTTTTTTTAGTATGTATTGTTAGGGTTGTTTTTGTTTTTTTTATAATGTACAAAAGTGTATTGAAAATATAAAAAAGTATTTTGAGATGAAACAATTATTAATTAAAAATTATAAAAAAGAACCATGGCAAAAAAAATCCAAATAGAGGCATGATTTATTCAAATTCTCTATAATTCAACTTTCTAAATAAATTTTTTTCCATCACATAGTGTATGTCACTATTTAGTGAAGAACAACAATCGCCAAATAATTTGTTGACGCAGCTTATTAATGCGCGAACTTTAGTATAATCCGTTTTTGGAAAATCGTTAATCAGATTAGAAAAATCATTAGCGTGCAGATATGAAAGAAAAACATCGTACCAAAGTTTTTACAACATAAGCTTGAATAGCGCCATGAATCTCTCCGCGCCCTTTCTTGTTCCAAGAAGAGTGGAGCTCCTTCCGAACAACAAAAATTCCCCCCTCTTTCCAATTCCAACAAAACTATCTGAAAATGCTTTGGATATTTGGGCTCCCCTGCAACTCCCTGCCTTATCATCATCGTCATCACCATCTGTTGTTACAAGTGACCCAATCTCCAGTATCTTCACCTGCCATTCATTTTTCTCTGTTCTGGGTAAAGGGTTTTCTCGCATGTCCAGGTTCAATTGGGAAAAGCGAAATAATCACTGACGTTGGAAAGGGATCTTAAGGTGTTCTGTAAAAGGGCTAAGCCAATTTTTCTTAAATGGGGTGAGTTTTTAGGGCACCCTCAAAAAATTCATTGCTTATGTACAAAAATTTTACCTAGCTCTGCATGTGTTTGTGGGAAAGTGGATGAAATTCTCCATTTGGGATGACTGAAATTTGTGGAAGGAGGATAATATATGCCTCCGGCATTCCACGGTGGTTGTTTGTGATTGTGTTATTGTGCTGTTGGCGGCTTACGTGTAGTCAACCCGAAGATAATGATAATGGCGGACGGGCAGGGCATTCTGCAGCCACATCACTTGTTACATCTCTCATTTACAGCCAAATTTCCAATCTTACGAAGATATTTCACAATGATATCAGTCGAACTTTAGGATATTGCATCAAGGATGCGTAAGTTCTTTAACTGCACCGCCTCCCTGAATTGTACGGAGTGCCTTTGTTATTTACCACCGCTAATGGATGATTTTTTTGGGATTTTCTCTTCCAGGGATGTAGATTTGGATGGGGCCTTTAAATTTACCAATTTGGATTTTTTGAATAACTGTGTGAAACAGACAAAAGGTAAACTTTTCTGTGTAATCCCATTTGTTTTGGTTGGGTTTATTTGGAAAATAATTTGAATTATGTGGCACAAATTTGCAATACTCAAATAGCAAAGGAATGATCTTCAATATCAGCGTGCTAGTTATAAGCTTGTCTGAAAGTAAAATGAACCCTGTATGATTTCATATAGTTCAAGCAAGTCCAAGAAAGTGGAGGGAGCATTAGTTGTAAGTTAAAACTGGTAACTACCTGGACAACTGGAATTGCAGCCATTTTGGAACTCTGCTGGGTTTTTAGTATGCAAAGACTATGTAAACAGACTTAATCATCATATGCTGCAGTAGGCTGGTCTTCGATATTACTAAGCTCGCGACTGTTCTCTTGATGATTCATGCAGATGTGACCCAGAGATTATGTACAGCTGCAGAAATGAAATTTTACTTCTCCAGCTTCATGGAGAGCAAGTCAGATATTGCTCAATTCTTGAAGCCCAATCAAAATTGTAATTTGACCTCCTGGGTTTCAGGATGTGAGCCAGGATGGGCTTGTAGTGGTTCTTCCAATGTAAAAATTGATATGAAGAATGCCAAGGACGTTCCTGACCGGACACGTGATTGTCAGCCCTGTTGTGCGGGCTTTTTCTGCCCTCGAGGTCTTACATGCATGATACGTAAGTGGATTTAAGAAGTTCGACTACGATCATTTCTTAGCATCTTCATTTTGCTCAAACCTGTTAGTCTGCTATCTTATAAGTTTTAGCTTTAACAAGTATTGTCTGCATGTTTTAAAAAAAGGCATCTCAAGTTTCAGTTACCTGCATTAATCTAGGTGGTCAGTGCTACCTGCTAACATATGTAAGTGGATTATGCAAGTGTAGAATGTGGACGTAAGCTGTATCAAACAAGCTAAAGCATTCTAGTATCTATGAATCTATGACGACACTTTGCTCCAATACTGAAACAGATTTACAAATTTCTGTACCAAATATTACCAAAGTTTCAATTAGAATTAGAAGTCCACAATGAAAACATTTTGATTGAGCCATTGATAGTTGTTTAAGCTTTGACTGACGTTCTAATTCCTGTTTGGTTGTTTGCAGCTTGTCCTTTAGGCTCGTACTGCCCGCAGGCAACACTCAACAAAGCTACCGGTGTATGTGATCCGTGAGTTCTACTCCCAGCTTGACCAGATATTTCTTTTTATACAGGTCTTAGTTGATTTGTCCTTGAAATTTTAATACCTATGTTCTTAAGATATATTTCAGATATCGGTATCAGATACCTGCTGGCAACCCAAACCACACTTGTGGCGGAGCTGATATGTGGGCTGGTGTAACAAGCAGTGAGGAGATGTTTTGCTCTGCAGGATCTTTCTGTCCAACTACCACCAAGCAGATTCGTTGCTCTGGGGGGTAACATTTTTCTGTTGCTAGATAGATGATCCCATTGAACTTGCTGCTCTGTTTCCATACAATTTATATTTTTTAAAAAATACCATGAGGACCTTTTCTTCTTATGGACACCACCTTTGTTTAACTTTCCACTATTGTCATGTTTTTCAGGCATTACTGTAGGCAGGGATCGACATTTGAAAAAGGTTAATGTTATTGCTCCATGGAATAGTGTAAATAAATCATATTTTCCATCTCAACTATGATCATGTAGCCTACGGGTTAAGATCTCCTAGTACCTTCTTAGCATGTAGTCAATGTTAATTTTTGTGCCATAACAGCAGCATCTGTTTTTCTTCTCTTTTCAGCATGCTTCAAGTTGAGTACATGCAATCCAAATACAGATACGCAAAACCTCCATGCATACGGCATTATGCTGATTGTAAGTATTCTTTGCTTCTTATTACATGCCTATAGATGTGCAATCAGGAAAAATGTCAACATGTGCCATCATGTAGTCTTTCTTATTCAGTCTGTCTATAAAACTTTAAAATCAGTTACCAATAGACAGTAGTTAGATTGTTTATCTCAGAATTGCATCCTTCTTCTTTATCCAATAACCGATGAACAATTTACATAGCACATAAAATTTCAGACGGTATTGTGAAGAACCCTTATTTTCTTTTTTTGCTTCTTATGTAGGGTATTTTAAGTTTTATACTCTTCATTTTCTACAATTTTTCGGACCAAATCATCACAACTCGATATAGAAGACAAGCGAAATCCAGGGAAGCTGCTGCAAGAAGTGCCCGAGAAACAGCACAAGCCCGAGAAAGGTGGAAGTCTGCGAAAGATGTCGCCAAAAAACGGGCCACGGGATTACAGCAACAGTTGTCTCGCACATTTTCAAGGAAAACAAGCAAGGCAGAACAAATTTTACCACCCAAAGCTCCAGCTACCTCTGGTGGATCCAAGGCAAAGAAAAAGGATAACAACCTCAACAAGATGTTACAAAACATTGAGAATGATCCCGAAAATCCTGAAGGTTTTGACGTGGCAATAGGAGATAAAAACATTAAGAAGCAAAAGCTTAAGCCTAAACAACTGCAAACTCGCAGCCAGATATTTAGATATGCATATGGGCAACTTGAGAAAGAGAAAGCTACTGAACAGAAAAACCAGAACATGACTTTCTCAGGAATTATTTCAATGGCCACAGATGAGGATATTAGAACTAGGCCCACAATTGAAGTAGCTTTCAAGGATTTAACACTTACTTTGAACGGAAAAAACAAACATTTGATGAGGTCTGTTACTGGGAAACTCTTTCCTGGCCGAATTTCAGCTGTTATGGGACCATCAGGGGCTGGAAAGACAACATTCCTTTCAGCTGTGTTAGGAAAGGCAACTGGATGCACTATGTCGGGGTCAATTCTTATAAATGGAAGGCATGATTCCATTCAGTCCTACAAGAAAATTATTGGTTTTGTGCCTCAAGATGACATTGTTCATGGAAATTTAACAGTAGAAGAGAACCTACGGTTCAGTGCACGATGCAGGTCTGTTTTTCAAATCTTAGTATGCGAGTGATGAAATCTTAATTCAAGGATTTCATTACCTTGTGCATGTTGTCTTTTTTGTTCTTTATTAAATTGGCATTACCAAGTGCGGCTTATTTTCTCTTGAAGCTCAAATCTAGAGTAGTTGAGTTATTTCCACATGTATTGATTACCTATCTCATTTGGCTCAAACATCGTGAAGGCTGCCTGCAGAGATGCCGAAACCTGATAAGGTTCTTGTGGTAGAAAGAGTAATTGACTCCTTGGGGCTGCAGGGAATAAGGGATTCACTGGTTGGAACAGTTGAGAAGCGGGGAATTTCAGGAGGTCAGAGGAAAAGAGTGAATGTTGGACTGGAATTAGTCATGGAACCTTCCTTGTTAATTTTGGATGAGCCTACATCGGGTTTAGATAGTTCTTCTTCCAATTTACTTCTTAGAGCTCTGCGGCGTGAAGCTCTTGAAGGTGTAAATATTTCCATGGTTGTTCACCAACCCAGGTTGGTGACTATCTCAGAATAAATCTTTTCTTTGTACTGATGTTTTACTGCTGGATGTTTGATCTTTTTAAGTTCTGGTTTTGCTGCTACAGTTATACGTTGTACAGGATGTTTGATGACTTGATACTTCTAGCCAAAGGTGGTCTTATTGTGTATCAAGGTCCGGTGAAGAAAGTGGAAGAGTACTTTGTGGACATGGGAATCAGTGTCCCAGAACGTGTTAATCCTCCAGATCACCTGATTGACATACTTGAGGGTATAGTAAAACCCGGTGGAGGTGTGACTGTTCAACAGCTGCCAGTTAGATGGATGCTTCATAACAATTACCCAGTACCCCATGATATGATGCAATATTTGGATCAAATTGCTTCATCCTCGAAGGCTGCAACTTCTAGTGGAGCTCCGGCTGAAGATGCATTTCAGGAAAAACAAGATAGTATGCCGCGTTCTTTTGCACTATCCAGTGACTTATCTAATCGAGTCACTCCAGGTGTAGAACGGCAATTCAGATATTATCTTGGAAGGTACTTAATTTTGTTTCGTTCTTATAATCTGGAGTGTGTCTTTTGCTTGATCAAATGGATGTGACCAAAGAGTTTGTTGTCCCGCAAGGGAATTTTGAATAACAATTTCATGACACATGAACAATCAATGTTGTGTTTCTTATGCTGTTTGCACAAGGGACAGAAAATTCAATTCAAACAGCCAATTATTTATTTTCATCTTTTCAAACGGATATGACTTTGAGTAACTTACATCTGTTTACCATTTCAAAAAAAAAAAAAAAAACTTAAATCTGTTTTATCATACTATGACTTATTTGTGTAGGGTTGGAAAGCAGCGATTGCGAGAAGCTAAGATACAAGCAATGGATTATCTAATCCTTTTGCTTGCTGGAGCTAGCTTGGGAACTCTTTCAAAAGTGAAGGGCGACACATTTGGTTACCGCGGTTATATGTATACGGTCATTGCTGTTTGTAAGTGGAATAATAATTTAATGTGTCCCTTAATCATCCTTATACTAAACGTAAAAAGTCACTATCTTCCTTGTTCTATGATATCTATTTCTCATAAAAATCTACTAAAGAATGTACTTGTAAAATGATATTGAGCTACAGTGATCAAACTTTTGACTGATAACATTTTGCTTGTTCATCTACTTTTCATTTTTTTTTTTCTTTTTGCTTATTTCCTTCATTGCCAACTTGTAGCTCTCCTTGGCAAGATCGCAGCTTTGCGATCATTTTCACTGGATAAATTGGAATACATGAGGGAGAATGGTAGTGGCATGAGCAGCTTAGCTTACTTTCTTTCGAAGGATACTATTGACCATTTCAATACACTTATCAAGCCTCTGGTGTTTCTTTCAATGTTCTATTTCTTCAACAATCCTAGATCAACCTTCTTGGACAATTATATAGTCTTGGTTTGCCTCGTCTACTGTGTGACTGGCATGGCCTATGTATTCGCCATCTTTTTCGATCCTGGTCCAGCACAGTTGGTATGTAGGGGCCATATCATTTACTACCTCTGTCTCAAAAAAATAGTCGACATTGAGTTTTGAAATTTGTACGACTATTTTTTTGAGATAGAGGTAGTGTGTATATTAAGGGTTAAGATTCATACTTCGAAATTTCAAATTTACTTGATTACGTGGCTGATTGTCTTCTTTTCTGACAATGCAGTGGTGTGTCCTACTTCCTGTTGTTCTCACGCTTGTTGCAAACCAGGATCAAGAAGATAAAATTGGAAGCCTTCTAGCAAACTATTGTTATCCGAAATGGGCTATGGAGGCCTTCGTGATAGCTAATGCTCAAAGGTAGGCACTCACATTCATTTCCTCATATAATTACTGATGGCTAGGTAATGCTCGAAAGTAAATAGTTCCACCAGTTAATTGTGAAAGAATGTCAATGGAGAGTGGCGAACGCTAGAAACATATCAAAATCGATAACTGAAAAGAATTCAGGCTTTAAATTTCTTCATATTTTCCATTGATGCCAAGCTATTGTCTTATCAATGCAATGAGCATTGATCATTAAATACACTACAGTTAAGAATCAGTATTCGGCTTCAGTTTCATCTACTTATATCGACTTATTAGTCTGATTCTGCTTTTTCTGTTCAGATATTCCGGTGTTTGGTTGATAACTCGATGTGGCACATTACTGCAACTTGGGTACAGTCTTCACGATTGGACGCGGTGTCTAGTTCTTCTAGTTCTTGCTGGCATAGGTAGTCGTTTTTTAGCTTACTTTTTGTTGGTGACTTGTGGGAAGAAATGAGATGATACAAATCCATTCTTGCCAGTGCTAGTTTTTTTTTTTTTTTTTTTTTGTATGAATGCGGAAGCCAGAAGGTAGTGTACACTACTACTAGTCCAGAGCTGTGTATAGTTTTAGCTTACTTTTCAAAAGTATCAGAGCATAAAAGTTTTTCCAATGCCTCCTTATAACAGATCTGTTGAATTTTGCCCTTGCAAGTTTTGAAATTGACCACTGAAAAAGAAATTAAAAACCGACATTAACAAGGATATGATTCGATGACATTATTTTATTTATTAATCGGGTCACATCTTCTAAGGTTAATTTTTGACCTTTCTGTTACAATCATGGATCTTTGTTATCTTACTTTCGCATTTTCAATATCACCTGAAAATGATGTATATTAGCAGAAAAAATTGTGTAAAGTGTATTAACATATGTAAAAAAGAAATAAAAAAAAGGAAGAAAAAGAATAAAAGACGAGAACAAACTGTGCAAAAAGAAATGAATAAGTGAATTAGAAGAGTAATCGATGATAATGAAGGCGGTGCTTAGAAACAGCTTCTTCAGTGCGGCACTCTCACTCTCCGCCCGTTCCGTGACCTTAAACCCTAACCCCTTCCCTCTCATTCTCAAATCCGTCGTCCCTCCTCGATACGCCGTCGTTTTCCGTTCGCAGCCCACCACCTTCAGTCGTTGCTTCACTTGTTTTGCTTCTAGTTCTTCCCCAATGACTACTGGGGTTGAAGGCGAAATGGGAGCTCCGGCATCGCCGATCAGTGAGAAGCTTGAGAAACAGTTTGAGGACTTCCGGAGCAACCTCGAAGATTCCGGCAACTTGCGCGACCGTATTCGTGCTGTCGCCGCGGAGATTGAGTCGACGACCAGGCTCATTCATTCTAGCCTACTGCTCGTCCACCAGACCCGCCCCATTCCCGGTACTCAATTTTGATTTTACTGTATGATTTTTTGCCGCATTTACTTGTTCATCGAGGAGTTTTAACTGTGGAATTTTCACTTTTATCAGAGGATACGGTTTTGTTTTCTAATTCGTTCTCTTTTTTGGTGGTAGAGATTTTAGAGAAGGCGAAGGCCCAAATCACCGTGCTGAGGGAACTTTTTAGCAGGCTTGCAGAAATAATTCGTGAATGCCCTGGCCAGTACTACAGGTTAGTGATGGAGTGGGACATAGATATTTAGAATGTTTTTTCTTAATGCCGTCCTCTTTGTTACTTTTCCTTATTGAATGAGTTATCTATTTATTCGAGAACAGGTATCACGGTGACTGGAGAACTGAGACGCAAACTGTTGTCTCATTGCTAGCTTTTATGCATTGGCTGGAAACGGGGACACTTCTTTTACATGCTGAAGCTCAGGAAAGACTTGGATGTGCGTTGTAATTTCATGACTTACTTATGATTTTTGTTTTGATGCATCCCTCATTTGTTCATTGTGGAAGATATACTTTGTTTCATTCCTTATTTGTGGATAATATCCCTCATCATACTTTATTTGGTTTTTGCTCTATGATGTTTTAGGTGATGAGTTTGAGTCCCTGTCTAGAATTTATTCATTGTTGACGAGTTCTGTCCATATAAATTCTAAACTTATTATTCCTTGTTTTATGTTACTGTTGCAGTAAACTCCTCAGAGTTTGGGCTAGATATTGAAGATTATCTGATTGGTGAGTTATCTGAAATTTTCTGGCGCAGAAATGCTGTACTTCTTGTCAAATAGTTTCAATTGGCTCTTTCTTTCTTTTTGTTTTTTTTTTCCATGATGTTAATAAAGCAATAAATTCTGGAGCTCTTAGTCATATTTGTTGCTAACCTGACTTCACGTCTGTCTATATCTGCACAGCTGAATAGCTGATTTCACATAGTTCCTAACACCCTGCCTGTATTTGGTTCTAACCTGCGGTGCTGATTTCACTTAGTTGTCTGTGTATATCTACTAAAGATGTTGAGATTCAAAACTCTGCCTTGGTAGTTTGTTTTACTTCTGGAGAAAAGTTGGCCTTTTCTGGACACATGATATAATAGTTTTAAAGACATGAGGGCGAGAATCTTACAAATGTTTGGTTTTCCACTTATCTCTCTAGTTTAGGCTCCCCTGCAGCTGTACACGACATACTATTCTGCATTTTGTGATTAGTATGCATATCTCCATCTCTCTGGCTTTTATCGTTTATGTCCTAAACTCACCGTGCTTGATGATTCACTGATCTAGAACCTTGTTTCTGTGCAGGAATATGTTTCATGTCGAACGAATTGGTAAGAATGAAATTTTATGTTCAAAACCATGTGCATGTGTCATTTCACATCTATTATCATTTTTCTGAAGTTGCATAAACAATAGCATTTCACGAGGATTTTCCAACACCTATAACATGCTTAAAACCAAATTAAATAGCGTAGAACTAACCTTATTGGGAAGCATCATTAGCGGTCTCTCTCCTCTCTCTCAGTGCCCTTCCCTTTTTATCAAAGTTTTAATTTCATTCTGGTTGGTAGTTGTTGTGCCGTGGTTGTATTATGCAAATTTCTTTTCAAGTAATAAGTTACGGGATGACGCTTTTGTTTTACTCTAGTTGAGAAAACCTTTAGTTCGTCGGTAGAGCATAAGTTCATTCTGATGTTTATTTCCTCCACTGTTACAGAATGAATAAAAACCATATTTGTAACTGATGTGAGATTTTTGGGATGCAGCCTAGGTACGTAGTGAACCAAGTGACTGCTGGGGATTATGACTGTCCTCGCAAGGTCTTGAAGTTCTTAACAGATCTGCATGCATCCTTTCGCATGCTTAATCTCCGGAATGACTTTTTGCGGAAAAAGTTTGATGGTAAGCCAGTTATTTCATTGGAATTATTCTAAGATAGGAGGTCATTCAATTTATTCATCTCGTGTATGACATTACGATATCCGTTGTTGGTTTTTGCTATTCTACTTCTGCTTTTGACTCTGCAACTGTTGAGTGAGGCAATTTGGCATGTATTCTAGAAAATTATCATTTAACCTATTTGAATGGGTTCTTATTTTCATCTCAATTTGTTAATGCAGGGATGAAGTATGACCTTAGAAGAGTGGAGGAAGTATACTATGATGTCAAAATTCGAGGCTTGGCAACTGGGGGACAAGGGGGAGATGCAGGAACCAAAGAGCAATCATAAGTTGTGCCATTTCCCTTGATATGTAAATCTTCTATCAAAAAAGTCTTAATCCAAAACTTATGTAGCACCGTGATCTAGTTTTAGTTTAGCGCTGCAGTGTTATCTAATGGCTGAAAAGATTTGTCCATGCCCGTATATTGTTTTTGCGTTTTTTGTTTGGTAGTGTACACCAGAAATCCAGAATGTTTGCTGGATTTGTCACGACAGTTACATCCGCATCTGGTGCTCACTCGGTGAAACGTTATTTTGCGGAAATCCATGACTGAAGGAGTAATGAATATTGTCATACTATCAAAAAAGGGTCATGGGAACTCGACATATTTGGTAAAAAAAAATCCTGTGCTGGACCGCTTTATCATTCGCTGAGTCTGATTGTAGTTCATTTTTTATTTTTTTTTGGATCAAACTTTTGTAGTAGTTCATTTTCTAGTTGCACATACGCATTTCCATTTTTTTTTTTTGTTTTTTCAAATCTTATGAAAAATTAGGAAAAAATAGAAATTGAGGGGAGTTCAACAATTTTTCCAAAATTATGTTTAGTTACATATTATAGTAGTAATTCATTCAGTAGTTGACAAATCAAGTAAATCAGTGAATGGACAAGTAGTCAAATCTTAAAAAGGTTGACTAATTTTGACAACAACGGAATTGTCCGAGTTCGAGTTCTCTCTCTGTGTCTTTAACTCACCCTGGGAGGCGAGTCACTCTCATGAGCCTCGTCTTTATCCTACGCTCCCAATGACGCGTCGCCACAACGGATTCCAAACTCTACATTAAACTAACCATCTTTCTCTCGTACTCTAAACAACCCTTTCAATTCCGTCGGAACTAAAATTGAAATATTTGTCAGCACTCCCTCCCCCGACTGTGAAATGCCAATCCTCCTCCTACCTTCTTTTCATCTTCTCTGATTTCTAACAATAGTAAAGCTAATCCCTTCTCGGGAATCGCAATTTTCTCATCATTTTCGTTGGCGGTTTGCTTTCTTCTTCTCTGTTCTGTGTCGGAGAAACCTTGAGATAATCGAAGCGGTGGGGGGTATTGCTTCTAATTCCACAGTCATATCGAATTGAACCGAGTAAGCCGTTTTTTTTTTCCTGCATAAATACTGTTCTTTCAGCGGCATATGCTAATGTACCTTGTAAATTGCTTCGCATGCATCCATTCGGATGAATTTGGAGTTCCAATTACCAATTCGGTTTTTTAATTTTTTTTGTTTTAATGCTTAGTGTGTACTATTGTTCCATTTCTTTTACCTTTGTTGGGGCAGTTTCTACGTGGGTTTTGGTAAAGCATAATGAGCTGGTATATTGCATTTTCATTCACAGTAATATGGAGCTGGGCAAAATTATCTCGCAGAGCGGTGTTATGATTTGAAATTTTGATAGGAGGTGGAAGTGGTTCAATTAAAAGAAGCTGATATTTTCATAAGATTTGTAGAATTATCGAATTAGAGATACGCTTTCTATGGAAATTGGAGTTCAGAGGCCAAGTTTATGAAATTTGGTTTAACTTTATTTGTTGATTCTTTGAACTTTGAGTTTGTCAGGGCTATTGAAGGGGATATGAGATTGACAGTTTTAGGGACAATTTATGTAAGAAGAAAATTGCCCTTCCAGATTCTGAATGATACAGAGAACATTAAGAAGCCTACCTTCTTTTGCTGTGTGCTAAGATTTTAAGGTTATGATTATTCTCTAGCTGACTGAATAAATTATCTTTTACATCGTCAGAGGGGCATCGTAGTCAATGATCTGAATTTTGTTGGGATTGCACAGTTAATAGTCTCTAATAGTCATTTTGGAAGACCATAATTTGTTTTACCCACCTCTGGTTTCTTTTTTCTTTTTTTTTTGGGGACTACATTTCCATTTAAGGGTAAAATCTGATGAGGCTGGGTTTATTTAGTATCTAGCTGCATATTTAGTTTGGAATAGCTTTAGATATCTAAGTGAAAGTTGCTTCTAACTTGATTAAATTTTGATGGGCTTCTGTTTGTGAGACACTTCATTTATTACCTATTTATCAGGTCATGGAGGATCACTCTGCTATTCCTGTTTTAGAAGATGAGGCCATTCAATTTGATTTTCTCCTTGTTGATCCCCAAGATGATCATGTTTCAGTGGATGCTTTCTTATGTATTCATAGAAATAACTCAGAGAAGTGCATGCAAATGGATGATATTCCCTGCAAATTTGGTATAGCCTGAGAACTAATAAACTGCTAGATTATTCTTTCCTCGCCACCAATTTTTATTGTTTTGTAACATGCTTTTCCACTTGGATTAAGAAACTAAGAAATATTCGGTGGAGAGAAGAGGCTTTATGCGGGAATTTATGGCAACCAATAATTTGCCATATTTGGCATTACGGCTATAAAACTTTGCTGCCTCCCTCACCATAAGCTCATTTCTGTCTCAATGGAAATGGAAATGGAAATTTTAACTTAATCTGGCTTCTTTAGATTGATCAAGTTAGTTGAGCTCGCTCCGTCATCAATCTGCTTTTCCATAGTTCAAATTTTGAAAAAATAAATTAAATTTTCTCATCAAGAGAGTTTAGCTTTCTTTCAGCAATCCAGTAAACAGGGTATCTATAATTCCTGGTGCCAACTGACCACTTATGTGCTATATTCTGCTCATTTCCTTTTTTCACTATAATAGAGAATAAGTCTGGGCTCCTGCTGATGAACAAATTAACCAAAGCTTTACTATTGAAATTGGCTGTCTGTCTATGGCCTTGTGAGACGTTTTCAATTATTGTAATTTAATGTGTTTTAGTTTTCGGTGGTGTACAATAATGTTGTGAAGTAAAATGTAAGCTGCCTGTGTTATTTGAAAATCTGTCTGTTGGTAAAATTATCAAGCCACGGTCTTTGCATGCAACGGAAAAAAAAAAATTAAAAAGAAAGAGTGGTTAAATTTGAGATATTAAGTGTCATTTCACAACCAATGTGCATGACATTCTGTTCGAAATCAATAATTGTTCGGTTGCATTTCCGAATATGCGATTATCTACTCCTTTTTCTCCAGTTCGGTTGCATTGCCATGCCCAAATTTTGTCTTTTAGTGACTTCTCAACACTAAACATCTTTTTCAAAGCTTATGAGCTGAACTATTAGCTTCCTGTGTTTATGAAATTGGGTTGGTTTAATGTGTGAATGTTGTTTTCGTTTATGAAGGTGGGATCAATTTTGGTACCGACCGGGAACAACTGCATCCAAAGGCTGGAGAGGTATGCAGTCTATCTTTTCTTTTTTCTTTTTTCCGCATCTAATTGGACGAGTAAATGGTTTCTGTTTTGTGGTTATTTTGTCATCCATATTGTTGGAAGTCATACCTGCTAAAGAAAAGGGTGAAAAATGGATAACTGAAATGTATCTATTTGGGACATTTGAGTTCCATTTTAAGCTAATATTTTTTAAGATGTGATATCTTAAGATTACAAACATGTTGCAGTTTGCCACTTACCAGTGTGTCGTATTGATTCTGTTCACCATTGTTCCTTATGCTTCCTTCATATACATGTTGTCAGGTTTTGAGAGTGGTTTTCGTTAGCTTTAATATTGCTTTATGCTGTTTCTTGGGAGTATTGGTGTCAGTGTGATCCAAATTGAAGTGTTACACTTCTTTTAGCAAAAAGCTTATTGGAAACTGTGTAACTACATTTTCTTGCTTATTTGCCGACTGAATCTTGTGTGATCAGAGCCATGTAATCCACTTGTTCTTTAGCAGGTCCCTGATATAAAAGCCAGTGAAATTGAAGCTGGGGAATTTGAAATACTAAATGGTCTTTCTAGTTTTTGTGAAGATTATCTTTTAGGTGAGCATATCTTCTTCAACTCACTCGTGGTTTTTGTGACTGCGGCTACTCTTTTTAACATACTCATGTTGACCATATTTTGCAGATGGTGAATATGAAGAAAATGGAACAGAGCTGAATCATGATTCAGGCGCTGGATTGCTGAAAGTGGTATCAGGAAATAATAATCAAACTGATAGACCTGGTGCTAATGAGACATCACAGAAATCAGATTCATCAGCTACTACTGATCAGGTGGACGTCTGCCAGCGAGGTCTCAATGTGAATGACTCTGACTTACATGGTATTTTTAGCTGCACCGGTGATAGTGAAAAGTCGCTAGATAACTGCTGGTTCCAGTATCCTACATTTACAGTAGAAAATATGGAGGAGGATGTTTCGAGCGTGTTTTCTGATGGAAATGGCCGATTAATGAGTGTCAAGTCTGGTCTTATATCAGAGCAACTTCCTTGCAGAGTTACTGCTAATCTAGAAAATAGACATATTTTTCCGGGCCAGGAGGTTATCGAGTCTCGTCTTCATATAGATGGGGCACAGACACACAGAGGGATCCAAGGTTGCAGTGCTGAAAATCATGAAGAGAAGAGATTACGTAAGCCCCCGAAGAGGTTCATTGATGAACTCTCAGAACCCAAATCAAAATCTGTCTGTAAAAAGAGAGAAGTTTCTGCTCCAAATTCAAAGGATAAACTATCTAATGTTAAAGCCGCGAAGCACCATTATAAAAAATCTAAAGCAGAGGTTTCGTTTGCAGAGGATCCGATTGGTATAGCTATCCAAGTACCTTTTGGTCCTCTAGAACAGAACGAGAGTAAGGTGGAGGAAGATTCTAGTCCTGTAAAGGTGAAATTGGATTCACAACCATTGGTGGTCTCTTCACCAAAGTTGAAGGTATGGATAAATTCTAGTGGCAAATATATGATTAAGAGGACAATGATTAGGTTATATAACTGAAACTGATGTGAGTAATAGTCGAAAATGACATATGTAGGGGATAGATTTAGTTATATAACTTAACCGCTTGCTGTCAAATAACTTTTAACTACTCTTCAGCCGTCTTATGTAGATGCTTTCTTTAGGCTGCCGAACTAAATTTGTAGTTTCTTTGTTCAGGACTTGGAGCTTGATAGAGAAGCGCCAATGTCTGAGTCTGAAGAGGACAACACTACCGCTGTGAAATCGGAAGAAGATGGGTTTGGACGTCGGAAGCATCATGTGTTATGGACTGTTTCTGAGGTCAAAATGTTGATTGATGGTGTTTCTCAGTATGGTGTTGGAAGATGGAGTCGTATTAAAAAAGATTTGTTTTCATCATCTGCACATCGTACTCCTGTAGATCTGAAGGTTGTCTCGCTATTGCCAATTCTTGTGAATGAATTTTAAATTCTAAATCATCTCAAGCTGATTGTGCTTCTGGATTTTTTTTGCAGGACAAATGGAGAAATCTTTTAAAGGCAAGCCGTGCTCAAAGGGACAGCAAGAAAGGGGTGTGTTAATAATCTTTCTCTTTTCTAAGCTCTACTTCTCTTCTTTTGAATGTGGATTTGAAGCATCTATGGAAACAAATATAGATGATTAATTTTTGGGGACGTTCATGCCCTATGTGTACTGTACTGAATGGGGAAATGATTTTTGCAGGAAGATGGAAAGCGAAATCTGGCATGGCGGCCGTTGCCCAAATCCATTTTACGACGGGTGAATGAGCTCGCCACAATTCATCCATACCCAAGGGACTTGCGATCCAAATGCTGACTCTTCCCTTTCACTTTCCTTGTTCAACAACCGTGCTGCAGTTTGTACGGAGTCGCTAGAATATGATCCTCCCGAATCAGGTCACATCTGGGTGGATATGGACGTGTGTGTCGATTTGGGTTGTGATTTCTGTAGCGGCATAGCTCGGGGAAAGATGAAAATAGCCCCTACGCAGTGCATAGGATTACAAATTTTTACTCTTATTTTTCTTCTTCTCCCTTCCCCCGCCAAAGGTTTTAGAGATTTGTAGTAGTTGTGGGATTATATTGTGGAATGTGAATTTTCCTGTATCTGACAGCCTGTGTAAATTGGATACAAGTGTCGCTTGCTTCAAAAAGACATTAGGCAATTCCTAGATTGTAGTCATGTGTACCCAGTTGATGACAACGGTTCGTATTGAATTATATTCTTTTTCACCAACATGAGAAAGTAACAAGTAGATGGAAATGCAATTTTGTCTCATAATCAATCCTGAAATGAGTGGATTGATCCCTACAAACACATTGAATTATAATCGCAAATTAAACAAACTATGAAGGGGTGCAGACTGTAGATAATAAGAGTAAAAAAGATTCACATCCAAATATATACTAACTTCATACTTTAGAAGTTGCATGAGAAAGGTTTACACAATACAACAGCACAACCAAAACAAACCGGACACAGCCACACAAACATATTTTACATATGCTTCACTGGCCGGAAGTATTGCATGCACATAATTCACTTGCAAAAACGTGTTTATTCTCTCCATCTATACACAACACAACATTAATAATTAAGCTGGTGCGTATCCATTCAAATTAATCACGTGGATAGCTAGGGTTAATTCTTAGTAGTATCATCACTGGTGCCATTATCATCTCCGGGACTAGAGCCGCCGGCGCCACCGGAACCCCACTGATCATAAGCCTGTCTAGGAATATTGTGATGATTTTCGACGCTGCTCTCCGGGTTCACATCTCCCTTCTTCCAGTTTTTGGCGATGCCTTCCGGGCGGAGGACACCGCCTTTCTTCGAATCATTGATGATCCCCTGTGGGTTTATGTTGCCCTTCTTCCAGTTTTTGATGAGTCCCTTTGGGTCGTATACATCTCCCTTCTTCCAACTGTGGCTCGGGAAAGCCGCCAAGCAGCAACTCGCCATTATGAATAGTATTCCCACCAAAACAACCCGAACCGCCATATTGTTCTTCATTTGCACTTGCACCTGCATATGATAACACAATCAATGATAGAAAAAAAAAAAAAAAACACGTACACACACAAATTTATTTCATTAACAACTTGCATCCAAGCAGAAAAAGAACCTTGCTTGTAGAGGATTAGGGGAGTTGAGAAGTATTTACTATATATCTGGATCTGTGGCAATTTTTAGGTGATCAAAATTATACAAAAGAAAAGAGGTGAGATTTAGTAATGAGGTTAGGTTTTGTTGTATTTATAGTGGGGGGAGGGTGGAGCACAAACTACTATTTGTATATATTATATACCGTTGACTTGAGTGCGTACTTACTATTAATAGTGTGTTTTTATAATCTTATTGGTTGATGTAAGAGTGCCACAATCCTAAGCTTTAATCATGGAGTTTCCCACCAAAAAACACTCCCCTAGGTTTTAATATATATATATATATATATATATATATATTCTTCACTTTTTTATTTAATTACATTTTGCTGTGTAGCAAATGGTGGTGGGAGAATGGGGATGATATATATCGTCAAACACAAAATGAAATGAGGCGGCCAAAATAGGAAATCTCCACCCAGCAAGTGGAAATTGTGGGGATTTACTGCTCCATTTTTAGAGTAGGGGGAAAAAAACAACCACCTCAGAGATATGCTAGCTTAATGGGGTTTCCTGTTGAACTCTCTTTATGATGCGAAACCTAAAAATAAGTGCTAGTTACACACAATAGTACTTCATGATTTTGTGTTCGTGGGTTTTTTAAGTGGAGAATGTCGGACTCCCTTTTCCTTTCATGATTTTTGTGTTCTATTGGACAAGCAACATTGATTTTTAGTCTTATTGCTTGATTATACATCATGAAACAGAGGAAAATTGGAATCAAGTGGTAGCTCGAGAGCAAATCCTGAAGTTGAATCAAATAAATCGTTCCATGCACACCTCCATGTTATATATTCTTCATTTCAAAAAAACAGTACACATTAGAATTTGTGATTTGCATTAATTTAAGTATAATTTACAAATTATAATGTAGATTATTTCTCCGAACAGATGAATTACTAGACAACACGGATCGATTGTCTTGAGCTTGAAACAATGGCGCATTAATCTTGTATAGGGTTAGACTATACATTTCATAGAGTTTTTTTTTTTTTATCATTTGGACGGGGTTGATTAAGCTCATGTATGATCAGCGTTCCTTCCATCAAATCGCAACTCATCGGGCTCGGCCTCGCTTTTGATGTGCGGTCACCGGTGTATGCATGGGCGTCCATGTACGGTGGGTCTTGCTTTATATACATGATATATATATATATATATATATACACAGCTGGTCTGTTGCATACTATGTGTTATAAAAATGGAAGCCATCAAACTAATCCCTTTTACAGGTTGGTTATGGGTCAACAAGAAGCTCAGAAACCAAGATATGTAGGGTTTCTCCAAACAAAAATGATAATACCGGCGAAAATGAGATAGGAAATGATGTAGTCCAATGTTAAAAGACCATATAATTCCTTTTCAATTGGAATATAATATATTGATGTGATGATTTTATCTTTTCACCTCTCACTACTCTATTGTGTGAGTTTCTATTGCACCCGTTTTCAAAACTATGGTCGTATTTGAGGCGGAGCCTAATGAACACGTCGAACAGTTTTGCTCGATTTAAGTAAGCAACGAGAATGGATATGACCTATTTCATTTTCATGCTATGATTGCTTCGGTTGCCACGTGAAATAACGATATTATTGTACTAGTACCATTTTTGTGAATTTCTTTTATAGATACATTGTTGCGATTTTATTTTATTATTTTGGGTTCATTATTGCGATGTCATTGGGTGTACGTTAATTTACATTTGTGCAGGTGCCAGCTAAAGAAAGATGAAAGCACCACGTGGAAGCAGAGATGCAGGGAGTCCAATCAAATCATTGGGCGGTTAAAGAGGGTAGGATTGATGAGCCTGATCCCTTGCGGTGTCACAATGTCTTTTCTCATTCATTTGGCTTTCTTTTCGTATTCGCAACAATGTCTAATTCTCTTGTTCAAATGAAAAATGATATTTAAACACTTGACATCAAGATGAATCTCTTCTATTCTACAATTAACACAATTTCTTTGATTCACTGTTTTTGTTTCTTATCATTTATAGTGTTCACTATCTACCATAATAATTAAATAAATTGTAAGAAAATAAATAATTAATCAAAAGATTTAAGATCGCTTTATGTACTTACTGTAATTTCGAAGCACTAATTGACTTATAAGCTCTACCCATTAGTTTTGTAGAAGAAGGAGCAGGTAGGCCTGGCAGCTTAAATTATGGGGGCCCAATTCTCATGTGCTCTACATTCCTCCCGACTAAATTCAACCGGGCCTACTCAAATGATTTACGGGCGATGTGGGTCGCCTTCGTGCTTTTGTGGCCCTTTCTATACTCTGGCCTAGAAAATCTTTGCTCCCTGCGGTTGGGAATTCTAATAAGGGGAGTGGTATCTGAAAAAAATAATAGAAATGGAATAACAAAAACCAATTTGCAAAGCCCCCAGATTCCTCCTCGATTCAGACAGTTAATTGCGATGCTGTTCGTTAGGGGAGTTTGCTCATCTCCTTAAAAATATCTCTGCCAGTGCAGCCTGCAGTTACACTACACACGACGGTAGTCGTTCATCCCAAACAACGAGTCTTATCTGTTGAACTAAAACAGTAGGACGTCTTTTTACAGTCCGAGGGTAGTGATAATATTTATAACTACGTACATTACATTATTCAAAGCATGCAATCAAAAGACAAACAAATACAGAGGATACTCTGTTCCCACTCTGTATTTTACCCGCTTCAATTGTAATGTGGGAGTCCTTTTTTACTTGGATAAAGAAGACTAACCGATTTGGGAAGGAAGGAGAGATGGATGGATGCAGACAGGACGTTAAGAATGAGCCGACCCACTCTCACTGTCTGTGTCTCTCGAGCTAATCTAATTTCTGACCAAAGTTCGAAGAAGGGAAAAGGGATAAAATCAGTTAGTTGGAATCATGTTCTCAACTTATGTTTCCATTCAATCACAATATTCGTCTGCAGGGGATGAATATATATGATTTATGTGCTGTACAATGGGTTGGTTATTCACTCATCTCATAATAATAATAATGCTTCTTCAATCTGTGATGAGAAATGACAATTCCTTACCCCCCTTTTTTCCCAAATTTGAGGGACAAGATGTCATTAATTTCTTCAGAAGCCAGAGATTTGCCCCTCCAACCTGGATGGACCGTTTAGCTCGGAATAATCATCGTTGTTGAAAAAACGCCCCTTCGGGAAAACAAAAAATGCATGATTGATAATTTGACAGAAAAACACAAAAAGTTACTGACCAAAAATGAAAATTCCAGACCAAAATGGGGTACATATAAGGAAATCAAGAAAAAAAAAAAAAGGGAGCAACTTTGGCGAATATATCCACAAGTCCAATGATCATCAAGAACCCATGATATTGTCCTCAAGTTATCGAAATTTGATTAGGGTCCAGACCTTTTGAAATAAATTCTCAGGATCACATAATGCTTATCGATTGAAATTGGTGTAAAAATTTTCCACCACCAGCGCTGCCAGAATAGTGAGGTTCCGCAGAACAGAGAGTTGAGTTGCTCTTTGTTACTATTAACTTTAATCTGAAATCCCATAAAGACAGCATCTGATCCGCTTATCATGATAACTAAACTGATATCCAAAAAATTCAGATTCACGAACTAAATAAACTGTTTTAACTTTATGATGAAGCCTCGTGCAAGGATGATATTGCCCCAAACCGCCTCGTGCGGAAATTTTAATGACTTAGTGGATGATCAGCAAAAAATCTTTTTGTTTATTTAGCTATATAAAGTATATGGCGGCATACTTATCGTCTTAATTCACTTTGATAAAAAGGAATGAAATACCAGGGAAAGGTAAACATCTGGATCCTGGAAATGCTCCAGTTTAGTCCAAATCTTCTTGCTTTGACATGAAACCACTACTTCTCGCATTTTGACTTCCGAGCATGCAAACTTTTGCTGATACTTAGAAAGTGAAACTACTGACCACAGCTTCATATGTAGTCAAAATCTTCACGTATAAAATCTATTGTCGCTCTTTGAATTTTCTATAATATATGTACCTCCAATATTTACAGAAATGAAATATTTTACAATATCTGCAATTTATTTTTCTCTAAAATAAAGCCCTACAATTAGAAGTGGGCATCGCACTTTACCCAAGGAGAACCTTTATCCCCATCCATGCACATATCTTCTTCTCCCATATCTTATCTCTTCTGCGTGGGGTCGACCCCCTTCTTTTCTCCAAACAATTTGCCTGATAAGTAGAACGGTGAAATGTGTTTACCAATGTCCGAATTTTGTAACAGATTATTTGTCTTAGCGTCGTAAAGAACTGAACCATCCACCCACAAGAGTCAAAACCTAGCTAGAATCTCCCTCTCAGGGAATATAGGGAGATAAGTTTTGAAGTTTTTGCCTCTCTCAAAGAAAACTGTTTGAATAAGAACCACTTCCCCAATCAGCATTGCTGTACAAGCAATCATCAGTCATACCTCCTTCATAACGCTTGAAAATGATATATTAAACAACTAAGGTTTCAGGAACAGAAACAGAATGCGTATTATGTGATCGTGCATCAACAAATTAAAAAATTCAAGAGGGTGATTTGTTCGTACAGTTCGTATAAAAAAAAGCAATACTTTGTTTGAGGAAATAAAAGTACAGCATGACAATGGTCCGCAGCCATAACTAAAGGCAAGATATAAAAAGCTTAAATTATTACAGTCACACATACTGTGCTTCTTAGCCATCTCCATTCTGCACCCCCCACATACATGTCAACCAATTATTCATTTAATGAATCTTCTTTCCCCCCAACCCTTTTTTGCTCTCTTTTCCTTTTCTATATAAACCCTGTCATCATTTCCGTACGGATCACCAATCCCATTCTTTTTTTTTCCCCTTTCCCTTCCTTTCCCATCTCTCAGTTTCCAATTCTTTGACACAGATATAACAGAAAGATGAAAGTGATGGAGGGAAAGTTTCTCAAGTCCTGCATGAAAAGAAACATAAAATTAGGGGCCAAAGAGGTACCTTCTTCGGCTTGTTCCAAGTGCTGCCAATGGTTTCTGTGGCCACTGGTGCAGCAAGACAAGCGCACCATTCCGAGGGATGTTCCAAAGGGTCACTTGGTCGTTTATGTCGGGGAGTACCGGAAAAGATACGTGATCAAGATTACCTTGCTCAAGCATCCACTATTCAGGGCACTGCTGGATCATGCTCAGGAAGTATACGATTTCAGTGCAGACTCAAAGCTCTGTATTCCTTGCGACGAGAGTGTCTTCCTTAATGTTGTTCGTTGCACTACGTCCCCGGAACATCGGCAAATCTGTCTCTGCCTTTGATGGTGATCCAGCTATAGATGATCTGATTTTGTACAAGATCATTTAACTCGGTATATTAGTAATACGAGTATTTACATAAAGTCCATCTCTTGTATAATATATATGCCCATTCTAATGTTAAATTCTTTGCCTTCAAGTAAACTAATGATGGATACTTTTCCCAGGCCACAATTAGCATGCAAATACTGCAAACTCATTCAGACTTTTTAAGGCTACTAAAACTATTTAATCTTTTTCAGCAACGAGTTTCAAACTTTGAGGAATCATAACAACTACTACTGTTACTTGTCTTCCATGTCCCACTACAACTCAAAGCTATAAACAAGTGAATTTTTGAGGAAATATGGACTCCAGGATTTCCAAGCGTAGCAGTGAGTTGCCGGTCTGAAGATGACTATTAATGCTCCGGGAGACCAAGTGTTCAGATCAGTAGAAGTAGTCATATTAAAGAGCAAAGAAAACCAGTTTGAGAAATCTGCTGCATGACCATCCAACAAGAAAATCTAAGCTTAATATAGTGACTTTTCGCTAAATCCATCTACTGCAAGATGAAACAGCACAATAGAATCATGGTTAAAGTAGGATTACTTATTCCCATAGTTAAACGGAAAGAAGTACGTATACTTCTACAGCAGCTGCAGAGACAGTGACAACTAGGTTCAGTCATTATTATGGCTAAACAAGAAGAAGAAACTTAAGACTCTAGGGTGGTAAGGGTGGGGGATCATAATCAAGTTGTGGTGTTTCAAACCTCGCTGAGAGCAATCCCAACGAAAATATAAATAAACTAAACCTAAGGCTCATGTCAAAGACAGTTTTAGACCATCAATTTAGAGAATTGTGCGAAATTCTGTCTAAGTGGGAATATACATCTTAATTTAGTTATCAGAAATTCCAGTAATTCATGTTTTTCATGTCGTGTGTTCCTCGGAAGTTAAAGACAGAAATAAAAGTTGACAGGTAACCAGCCATTGAAGCATTTTGCAGTGACTCTAAAACTTTTTTGACAGGTAATTTGCATTTCAGAGGATAGTTCGAACCTCACTTATTTGCAGGGGAAAATACAAAAGAAAATGCGGAAGTTTACTCCCTTCCTAGTCGAAGGAAAATGTATAAAAACAGTAATGTCGCTGGGTGCATACACTTAAGAAAGTCCATGGTGTTTGAACTTGCTGAAGCATCTGATTTTTAGGTAGGATTCACTGTGGAAGGAAACTAACATGACATGAATGCTCTCCCTAAAGGAAATGCAAGTGCTAGAGGTTGACATCATCACTGCTTTAGATGAGATCCAGTCTCTTATTTGCCTCCAGGACTCTTGCTTAAGGTTGACATCAAACATTTAGCTTTTAAATGATAGCAACTAAAAATTCACACAACTACATAAAGTAACATGATGAATGGAAAAAGAAAAGAAAAGTAACTCAGCACAATGCTTATTTTCTCAAAGATTGAATCAGCATGTACCAAGAATTGGGTATCAAACTTCAAAGCAGATTTTCAATGACTTCATAGATAGAAAGATTAACACGCACACTTGTACAAAACAGATCAAGATTCACCATTAGAGACATAAATACCTTTTCGAGAACCAAAAGGTCAGGGTAACTGTAACTTGTATAAGTTTCCAATAAGATGTTTTCCATCTTGATGCTTTATACATGCACAGATAAATATGCTTCCAGCAATGCAGCATCTGAGCATCTATTCGAAAGGGGGAAAAAGAAACTCCAATTTCCAGTCAAAAATAGTTATGCCTTGGCATGAATTTAGTTTCAAACATTTGGGTACACCTGAAGAAATCATCTTTAAACACAGCACCGCTACAACTACATTTTCGCTACAGTTCAACTCTCCCTACAACAAATACAGGATACAAAGATGACTCATTTCAACAGTCTTGAATTCCCAAGACAAAAACACAAACCAATCAGATGGTGTGCAAGAAAAACTGAATTTCATATCTTATACACATGAAGATTTCTCATGCAAATATACAAGTTATATATTGCCTCGTGGTAAAGTACATACGATAGCAGAGCTGTTGATTGACCAACAAATGGCAGTGCCGAACCAAGTGCAATGCAAAGCCTCGGATGGTAGAGACATTGCATGCTGCAAAGCATTTTGACAAAGAGCTCAACAGATTGCAGCAGCTTTCAGTCCGAGCCAAACACGGCCATCTTCATAGCCACAATGGAAGCTTGCAAGATAATCATCAGCCAATTTTCAACGAATATTATCTTGCTCCCTCGAGGAAGACCTCCAACTCTCTCTGCCCAAATTCCCTCCCACTTAGAGTGGCATCTTTATGCCTGGCTGCCAAGTAAAACAAAAGCCAAGCCACCATAAAATGAACTTCCATGACTGATTGAAAGAGCAATGCAAACATCTCTCCAACCATTACACTCAGAAGCCATCTCAAAGGCCATCCACAAACAATTAATTCCCAGCACTTGATCTCCACGGCAGGCTGTAACAGTGTCGCCAATAAGTGACAACCTTCTTTGACTACCTCCTTCCCACTCTTCCTCGAGTCAACAATAGCAACCCAAGTATCCACAGCAAACATAAATGACACAACCAATTCCACAAAAAACCAGGATGCAACAAACCCAAAGCTCTCCTTTTCATACCCCATAACCCAGGGCAATGTATCAGAAAAGGGCATCAGCTTCATCCTCATAAAAATCTTAAAGAATCTATACTGATCATCAATTTCCCCAAAAAAATATATCCCCATTAACTGAGCCAAAGCGTCCCTCACTGCCCACCGCATCAAAACAAACCCAGAAAGTCTTCTTAAACCCAAATTGGAACCATCCCAAACGGCCCTGAAGATGTTCTTGGGTTTGCCTAACAAATCATTTAAAACCCTATAGAATACTATACCATTAACCCAAGTGTACGTAACCAGGAACGCCAAGATCACATAACCGTAAGCAGCTGATAAAATCCCAATAAAATAAAGTAATGCAGTAGTATCCCGCCGGCCCAATTCAAGACCCCTCAGCAAGAATTGCAAATCGACCACAGAATTCGAATCATCGTCGGTAACATTCTCATCAGATTGCACAAACTCTTGGCGGGTTTCTACCGGCTCCGGAGGGGGTTTAAAAGAAACAACGCCGGAACGAATGGTTTTAGGGAAAGAAACGCCGTTGTCGATGTCGGGATCAGTAGCAAAACCAGAGCTGAAATTGAAATTGGAAAGGAAAAGATAGGTCCCATTGGGTTGGGATTTGGTGGTGGGATGAAAGAGCGAGCGCTCGTAATCGGCGTCCCCGGAGAAGAAGTCTTCATCGAGGGTTCCGACACGGGAGAGGTGGAGAAACGCCCGGCGGCGGCGGCGTACGTGCAATTGGTGGCGATGCTGCTGGTAATGATGATGCCCAGACAGGTCGAGACGGGAGATAAGTGACTTTAAAGAAGGATCGCCGTCAACGAAGGAGATGAGGTAGTCGGCCCCGTTCTCGACGTTGTATCGGAATGTGAAGACGAGGGATACGATGAAGACGAGGGTGAGAGGGTGAGAGATGAAGAACCTGGCAGTCTTTGTAAAGATTTGAGCCGCCGATTGATGGTTGATCGGTAAGGGTGGCGGTGGTGGCGGTGGTTGGGGAGGGTGGCGGTGGTGGCTCATGGTGGTGGATCGGAGACGCCGGGGGAAGGAGGAAGAGATTTGGAGATGGAATTTACAGAGTGGGGTCTTTTTGAATAATGAAATGAAATAATAGGAAAGTGGTGAGAATTTGTTGGGTGTTTGAGGCAGAGTCAAATAAAAAGATAAACCAACGGATTGACGGACTTACTACTTACTACTATATGGATTTATTAGTACTTGTCTACTACTGGGCTGATACTGCAAAATCAAACGTACTGCTTATATATTATTCGGGATTATATATTATCAAGATTTTTGTTTTTATATTATATTTTCTTTATAAAAACAAATCATTTTTTAGAGTACTCCTCCAAGATTTGATGAACATTTTTAAAAAAAAAAACAAAATTGGCCTAGAAAACATCTGAAAATTATATAAATAAAAAAGTTTTTGCTTTTTTTTTTCCCTACCTTTAGATCTTTCTTTATTTCTTTTTTTTTTTTATTTATAAAGCACCGAGTTGAAGAATAATAGTGTGGATGTTATGTAAATAGTACCACCAGAGGAAATTCTATATCTGTTGTTTTCCGAGAAGGAAGTGTTTGTTTCAAGTTTCTTGGTTATATCTCTTCGTCGCTAAATCACAAACAACAAAAAATTAGAGTTGGTTCAAATTTCTCAACTTTCTGTGTTGTGAGAATGAATGTTAAACTGCTCCTTCACAATTTAGTAGTATTAACTTGCTTTTTGCCTTTGCCTGTGTCGGTTATCCTCATAAGGGTTTATTATCCCTTGTGAATAAATATATGTAAATTTCCTCAATGTCCATATTCTACAACTCAAAATATGGTTTTGTCACATGTATTTTTCATAAATATGTCTTTTCCTTTTGACAGTTACCAAAGCTGCAATGCTGCATACAGGCATCCTTCCTTCAGCTTCGGCAACGTATATTGATCATGGATTATGGGCAGTAGGCGCAAGAGTTTTTCAAAACAATAATAATAAAGAATATATTAAACATATTACTATATATTACTGTTTCAAGAACAAAAATTAACTGGGGAAGAAAATCAGCAAGTCTTAAAAACAGACGATTATTTGGATCACCAAATACAACAATAGAGATCATCAATCATGTATATTTGTCGAGAGGCTAACTTCAAGTACAACAAAAGGTGAATCACTCCCTCAGCAATAGTGATCATCAATCATCGTTACAGAATAACATTCAACTGACTCATCATACAACATTTAAAACTCATGCTTGCATCAATCAGCTCATCAGTTTCCCCATAGGTAAGAACGATGCAAGCAAAATGGGACAGTAAGATTCCCCGATTAAATTGCTATTTTGGTCAAAAAGATATAAATTGCAGCCACTACAAGTATGGCCAAAACACAAATATGAAAATCCAGCAATGAGTTTCTCAAAGATTTTAACTAATGTAGACACAGAAACAAATCAAAAGTTTAAGGCCTTAGTTAAAATCAGGCTTCTCGGGGTAGGTGCAGCCAGACCTCTGAATGATGACATTCGCAGCATAGCTACCAGCTCTTACACATTCTGCAATAGGTCTCTCTTGAACCAATTGTGCCAAGAATCCTCCAACAAAAGCATCACCTATAGGAAAGCCCCATCAAAAACACAAATGAGCCGTTTATTGTCACCATAGTATGACAATTGACAACTTCATCAACCGTAATGGAAGGAATATCAATACTCCGATAATGCAGGTCCGCAAAGCAAGTAAAATAGCTTTATCCTCTATTTTTTACCACTTTCTTTATCTTTATACCCGTAATTGAGTTCAAGCAGACAGAATTTTATCCTCAAAATGGAGTGGGAATTGAAAGACTATGGAAAGAAGTACCTGCACCATTGGTGTCTACAAGTTTCTCCTTTGGCAACAAAATCACGGGGTACAACTGCACCTTTCCATCCTCTGCAACAACTACAGGATCGGCACCCTGAGTAATGACAGTAATCCTTTTGTGGGTTCCAGAAGCCTTAGGCCACTGTGAAATCTTGAGAGCTATTTCCTCAACATTATCAGTCTGCTCATGGAAATACCAGGAGTTAGTCGCAACATGAAAAGTAAATGACAACAAATCACTAATAATCATGAAGTCAGTACCTCCCAGCCATGAACTTTTGAGAAAGTTCTTGCTTCTGTTTCATTTCCAAAAACAAAGTCTGTGTACCTGATCAAAGATCAGAAGCCATGTCAGTACAAGAACTTGCCAAACAACTGATACAGTACACATTCTACGAACAAGTCTTACGGAAGAGCTTTCTCTTGAACATCCTTGAAAAATTCACAGATAAATGGAGCCGAAAGGTTCATCGTGAAAACCTGCAGATGAATAGAATATCCGAGTTCATTAATATGAAGATGATAGTACAAAGAAAAAAAATAATGAAGCTATCATTTAAAACTGTGGCAATTTTACCTTGTTCTTTGCAGCTGCATGTTCAGCAACAAGCATGATAGACTCTGGGGAGACAGTGAGGAAAAATCCAGCAATGTAGTAGTACTTCGCCTTTTCAACTGTTTAAATACGAATAAACTTAGCTCAGAAGAGAATGCACTGTGTAAATCAAAAGGCCAACTAAAAGCATAGAAAACTACCCAAGGCCCAATTTTCTGGTCTCTTTAAGTGTTCAACTTTATAGCAGTTTGCAGCTGCCAAATTTGCAATGAGAGATCTGCATAATATTAGATTGTTATCTTTCCAGACTAAAAGTCCAAGCATTCAATACCCCCTAATGATAGTTGTTCATTGTCCAGCACAGGATTCTGAAGCAACCCAAAAACAGACAACCACATTATCACTCAACCAATTATGAACTAACCTTTCACCACCCACCACACAAACAGCACAAGTTCCTGTTGGAGCAGACTCATCCTCATAGTAATGAACCTGCATAAGATGTGACAGAGTGAGTATTGTGGAATGCTATTCTAGTTTCTTGTTTGCATTGTGACATTCGTATTGACTGAATCACAAGGGTTTTGTATATGATAAATGCACCATCTATTCATCAAAGTAACGACTAATAACACAATTGATAGCAATTGTCTTGTGAAAATGTAGCCTATTAATAAATGCTACTTCAATCAACGTGCGGAGTCACTAAGATGTTTTGACCAAAGGCAGAAGTCTCAAACTAAATGAGAAAAACAGAAGATAAGCTCATCTCATTACATTAACACCAGCTTGTTTTGAGTTCTTCTTCATTTCTTCTCCGTACTTGTCCTTTCCAATGGAACCCATGTAACTTGTAGCCCCAGGAATTTGAAGCATCCACTGCAGTAGACAAACAGGAGATGATGATTCTGTAATAACAAATGATTCTCCACAAATAGACTAGCCAAAACAATGAAATGGCAAATATACCTGGGCAACCCTGATTGAGTTTTGAGTAGCACCTGTGATACATATATCAAATCAGTTGGGTCTTCATGTCAATCAGGAATTAAAGAGCAATTTGAACAGCTAGTCAAAATAGTGCGTAATTACCTCCAGCAATGTACTCTACATTGGGGTTGGCCGACATCTCATCATACCTGTCCACGTTCATCATTACCACCATGTAAACACAGCTATTAAAATACAAGTAAACGAATCATTACTCATAAAAAAACAAGTTTTTAACTCGGAGTTTCCTTACATGGGCAAGTGCTTCTCCTCTGCAAGAATGGCATTGTTCAACTTAATATCATATCTGCCACATCAAACGAGAGAAAATTACTTTCTGCAGCATAATCAACAAACTTTAAAAGCTAAAAAGTCTGCGAAACCGCAACATTACACGGTAGTTGTATTATACATACGCAACCATAAAGCAGAGGTATGTAAACTTATTCCCAGAAGTAATATCTAGTACTGTTACTATATACCAGTCAAGCCATCCCCATCACCCACCAATGAAATATACCACCTAACACAGCAATGCACTCTCATTTCTGCAGATAAGAGCTTAATAACACTAGATCGGAGATTGAACTATGCATAGCAAATGAAAGATCCGCGCAGTCGAGCAGAAACCATCAACATTACGAAGATAAACAAACATAATACCAGCTCCTTAGATCTATTAACCAAAACGCTAGTGAACAACAAATGAAATCGGTACCAAATAAGCAGAATTCCAATCAAACAAATCCGCAAACAACAGTAAGTAAAACAACAAGATGCAAAGCTCCATAGATCAAATCAGACAAGATCCCTCGAGACATTATAACTAACACTTTGCAGGGAAGTATAAAAATAAAAAATAAATAAATAAAAGAAAAGAAACGAAGCCCGGAATGGATGGATTAAAACTTACTTGTCCAAGAATTCTTGGTCGACAACAGATGAGATATCCAAAAGGGGATTCCCCATTCCCAACAATATGCCTTCGGAAACCATTTTCTCTGCAGAAAAATGCTGCAAATATATCGGGAAAAAAAAAGGAAAATAACGAGACTATAAATGCTTTGGAAACGAAGGACTGTAAGAAGAATGAGAGCGTCGGTGAATGAGGGTGGCTGCAGACTGATATATATATATAGTGTAGGTATTTCAGCAATTTGGTAAGGCCGTCGTCACTGACTAACTTCTCACATTGATGGAGGGAGGTTGGTGAGTTGAAAAAAAAAAAAAACAAAAACAAAAACAAAAAGTTCCCGGGTCGGATCCTCTACTTGGGAAGTCCAGTACCGGAGATTCTCTGGTCATGACACATTGACTCATGGAAGGCAAGGCATAATTTTTTAATCTTTTTTCTTCTTTTTAATAATCCACATTCCACTGGAAAATTAAAATTTTGGAATGTAGCGTTAATTTAATTAACTCAATATTCATAAGTACACAATTCTGATAACAGTTGATTATTAATCATCGTCATATGTGCTTAATTCATTGATTTATTTAATTCTGTTAAGTTTAAGTGTTGATTTAATGAGCCAGTAACAGTATAATTATTTTGTTTCCTTTACTTATTTGTTTTCCTTTTTTCTCTTTGTTCGGTGGTGGTAGGTATACCTACACCTAAATTAGGGTAACAAATTAGCAAATGATTAAAACTAGCTAAAATATATTCCAACTATAGATATCAAATCGTGATACGTATCGTGTATCAAAAACCTAAATTATAATACGCGTATCGTATCATATACCTTCTGTATCGTAAGATACGTTTTAATATAATAATATGTATAAAATATCTTAAACTCCAAATGTAATTGGTATAATTATATATTTTTTTATTTTTCAGTTATAAACAAATAAATTGATTAAGTTGAG